AAGCAGTTCTGGAAGTCCTCTCTTGTGTCTTTATGAGGTATGATAAAAAATATGGTGAACGAAAAAATGGTGAATGCTGCGGATGAATTTCATGAGCAGAAAGGCAGGTTCTTAAAAATTTTGGTGTGTATATTCGTTTGCCTTATTCACCAGATCTGGAGCCAGAAGATTTCTGGCACCTCCCCAAAGTCAAAATGACCATGAAAGGTAAACGTTTTGAATAGATTCAGGACATTGAGGCAGCCGTTACAGCACAACCAAAGACCCTCAAGAAAGACTTCCAGAACTGCTTCAGAAAGTGGCAACGATGATGGAATAAGTGTGAAATGTGCTTGTGGGAATATTTTGAGGGGGTTTATTGACAGTGTGTCTTTTACTATAATAAAGTTTTTTAAAAATTGAACATATTTTTTGAGCCTCTCTCATATGATTTCATATATTTTAGAGCGAGCAAAGCTAATCTACAGGAATGGAACATAGGTCTGAATTCCATGAGGTATTATGGAACAGGAGAGAAGATAGTCTACAAAGGGGGATGAAGAACTGTTTGCGGGGATTGATTGTGGTGATGGTTACAAGAGTATAAGAAGTGAAAACTCATCTAACTATACATGTAAAATGGTGTGTTTTGTTGTATGTAAAATTGGCTTAAAGAGAAAACTGTAAAAGATAAGGGATCTAGTTTGAATTCTACTAACTGGCTCTGTATGTTTAGAAATGAACATTGCTAGGGCCAGGGATGTAGCTCAGTGGCATCACGCCTGCCTGGCAAGCACAAGGTCATGAGTTCGATCCCCAGTAGTGTTGGGGGAGGGGGGAGATTAACATTGCTGACAAAACCAAGTCCATATTCCTACATGGCAACAACTGCGTAGTGTGGCACGTAGGTCAGACACATTAGTGTTCCAAAGCACCACCGTACTCTGTTGCCTGCTCTGTTCCAGGGGATGATGATCCAGAGGGGAACTAAACAGACAAAATCTCTAACCTCATAGTGGATTGTGAATACCCATCTACGTATTCATCACAAATTAGGGAGTGTTAGACCAAGAGTGCTATATATTTCAGGGGAAATGGGAGAAAGTATGTGTTAGTTACTTTTCTCTCGTTGCTGAGACAAAATACCCGACATCCAAAGTTAGAGGGGAAAAGGGTTTATTTGGCCTACAGTTTGTAGAGGTTTCAGTCCACAATTGGCTGGCTCCAAGGCAGGAATTGCAGAGAAGAAACAACATGGTGCACACAAGGTAGCAAAGGCTACAAGAGAGCTTGCTTTGCTGCATCTTTCTGCCTCTTTTACCTCATCCACACTACCGGGATTAGTGTGGTGCTAAACCACTCACTCACATGTAGTGGTTTAGTAATCACACACCCTTAATCCCAGCCTCATATTCCAGATTCAGCTACCTCTGACTGAATGAGGCTTTGGGGGGACATCCAGACCCAAACCATAACAGTATGTTTCTTTGTGTAAGTAAAAAACATCCCAACATATGTAATAGATGAAGTATGACTGTTTCAAAATTATCATGCCTACTTCACTTACTTGCTTCACCTAACAGATTAGATCCTTTTGCCTTTTGTGATTCAGTAAATTCATGGATGAGATTATTTTAGTGTTTCACTGAATGCCAGTAGGCAGAGAGACTAGCACAGGCGAGTTAGATTTTCTTAACCTCTGTCCGAACCATCCTTACCTTAGCTCTAGATTTTTCCATTTAACCAAGATCTTGGGATGCAGCTTGGTCTGAAATAAGCATCTCTATTGACAGCTCCTTCTGTAATAGCCTGGACCCTCCTTAGCTCTGGCTGAGAGTCTTTACCCTGATCTATGTATGACCAGTGCTTGAGAAATAGCATGGGTGGTATCTCCCCTCCATCTTCTGACCTAGTAATTTACACCTCTGTTTGGCCAATGACACAGTGACAGTGGCCATATTTTTGGAATAACATACTACTAAGCTTCAATTTTGAATTCATGATTTAAATCCTTTTCACCCACAGTTAAACCCTTTTATAGACATAGATGCTTTTAATAATGTGCTTCTGTGTTAGACATAGTAATTCATTGCTTTGCTTTTCGATTTATCATGGTCATAGGCTTTGAGAATCTGGTCTGGCCTTTCCCAACCAGTTGTGCTTGCAGGATGGCGAGGTAAGTGACCTGTTTTATCCATCCTGGCTGGAAAAGTCGTCTTGCTAACTGCCCTGCTCCTATCTCTTACTACTTTGGTCCCATCTGGTGGCAGTTATCTCAAATTGCAGCACCATCAACCTGCTTCTAAAAGGACTGATTTATTTTTTGTGGTGCCAGGATCACACATTGAAATGCCTTTAAAAATGCCTTTAAAACGTATACAAATGCTGGGTGGGGAAATATTCCATCAAATCCTCTTTATGCAAGAAAGGCAAAAACTATGATAGTGTATGAGCTAGTACTTGTATGTATATTTTGGAGTTTATATGCAAGTCATCTTTAACTTCAGGGAACATGTGCCGTGTCATTTTGGTAAAATGAAAGTTACTTATTTCCAATAAAGGAAATACCCAGTTCCAATTTTTGTTCTGCAGCACTGTCAGATATCTTCTTATTATCTAAAAGGGTATTAACATGGGTTTTCTCTACAATAGGTGAAGTAGAAAGAACATTTTTTGGATAGTCAGGAGAATGGCACCGCTCCAGGTTCTGCCCCTAACTAGTTATGGAATTCCTGAGCCTCACTTGGTTTTTCTTTTTCTTTTTTTGGTACCGGGGATCAAACTCGGGTCCTTCTCTCACTTGGTTTTTCTTCATGTAAAGCAAAATTCTTGGACTTAATGCTCTGTAGGACTTAATATTACTGGTGCAAAGTCTGTAGTTCTATGATTTTTTTAAACATTAAAAATATCCATAAAATGAGACCTACTTGGACTATGTATGAATCACTTATGGATATAAATAGAAATTTCATAATCTGTACTACCACTTTCCCTGATTCCAAATAATTGCAGAATGCACTCATGATTTTAATGACTTTTTGGAAAAAGAGACAAATACCATTGCATTAAATCTACATTTTTATTATAAGACAAATTCTGATATCCTAAAAATTAAATATAAAAGATATACATCTTAGAATTTAGATAATATGTGTGTGTGTGTAAAAGGGGAGGGGGAGAGAGAAGCATCTTAATTTCAATGCTAAGTGGTTTAAAAACTACTCAAAATTCTGGAATTAAAATTGATAATGGAGCAGTTTAATGTATTATAAGAAAATGGAAAATATTCTTGATTAGAGATTAGATTAGAGGATTAGAAACGTGTAGTTAAAATTAAAGGTTGCATGGTAAATATCTTGAGTACTGCAGAACATAGTGAAAGAAAATATACAAAATGCATTCTCTGCTAAATTATTATCACAATGCACATTTATGACATTTGAGTTCATTAATTTTTTTTTTTTTTTTTTGGTACCGGGGATTGAACTCAGGTCCTTGCACTTGCGCAGCAGGTGGTGCAACCACTGAACTAAATCCCTGGCCCCATGTATGTATTTTATGACATCATGGAACAATGCTTTATGATTAAGGCTCATTTTGGTTGTAAGGAATTTGATCTTACTCAAGTTAACTTGCAAAATGTTAATTACTGTAATGTTACAATAGGAAATGCCATAGACAGCTACTGAAGTGCCACCGAGGGTCAGGAGAATTAGAATAGCATCATCAGTTCTCAAGTGTTATTTCCTAGAGGCTGGAGATTTCAGTGATGGCTGCTTATTGATCTATACAAGTTTTTGCAGGTGGCTGCAAGCCCCAATACTAAATTATACCCCCAATTCAAGTTCCTATACTGATGACTTCCTTCTGTGTTCACTTCCGTCTTATTCATGACCATCTTTGTGGATGGAATAGCCTAGTGATTGCTTCTTCTTCTTCTTTTTTTTTTTTGCTGCACAGTGACAGTGAACAAGATGTGCAAGCTAAATAATGTGGTGGACAAGGCAGGCAGATGGACTGAGTATACGGTATAACTGCTGCTTGTTCCAAAGCCTTCAACTTTAACAGCTTTTCTCCACCTTGTCTGTCTAATCCTCTTAACAGTGTCATTGAACACATCATACAATGCTTTGGAAGTGAGGTTGAGGCTAAGAGTTCTAAGAATTTGTGGAACTCTAGAGGTTAACAAATACTAGGACATTTGTAAATTCCTATTAGAGTTGTATAAATTTTTGTTAATGAATTGTGAAGTGTTTTCTAAAGAAAGGTTACTGCAGATTTTAAAATGTACACCCAATAACTGAGCCCTAAAGTATGCTAGGTAGAAGAGCACTCTCATACTGTATCTTGTACTGCATCTTCTTAATAGCCCTCAGAACAGGAAGAGCGGGAAAAGTCTTCAAGCTCTGTTGATTTGAATTGAAGGGTAAAGTGAGGAAGGGTGAGAAGAAAAGTAGATTGTTGAAATAAATTGATAACTGTTTATAATAGCAGTTATTAAAATAATTTTCTAGCCTCTGTGAGAGAAAGAGTCCTGGACTTAAGTTAAAAGCAAAACAAAACAAACAAAACCTTGGTTTGAATCAAATCTCCTTTGAGCCTTTGTTTTCTTCAGCTAGTTATTGTTTTACTAGGGATGATAACCCCAACCTCACAGGATTGTGCTATGAATTTAACAAGAGCATGAGAATATCTTGCACAGTAGATGGAATGTAGCTGGATCTTTTTGCTTTTTCTGTTCATTCATCTGTTTATTTGTGGATTCTTTGGAAGATAATCACTGTTCTTCCTTGATTCTGGGATAACTGTTTAGGAATATTTCTCTGACTCTTGCACCCAGTCCCACAAGTCATATGTCTGAGTCGCAGGAACCTAAGAATGCCTTCTGGGCCAAGCCAACCTTAAGGACTGGCTGACAGGGGCATCAGTACCATTAACAACAGTGACAGCAGCAACCTGCACCCACCATGATTTTTTTTGAATCTGACTGAAAAGAGCTCATATGTGTGCTTCTCTCACAGGTGGATTTGCTATCGTGTTTCTGGTGAGGACAAGCAATGGGATGAAATGTGCCTTGAAACGCATGTTTGTCAACAATGAGCATGATCTCCAGGTGTGCAAGAGGGAAATCCAGATCATGGTAAGGCTTCCCCTTGAACCTAGACTCTATATGGAAATGGAGGTAGAGACTGCCCTAGCAGAAGAATGCCACAGGTGGACGTTCAGGGTGCCTCATGGCAGTGAGGCCTCTGGCCAGATGGGAGTGAACAACCAGGGGATAGTCTTGCCTAGGTTACCCTCAGCTGAAGGTTGAGCAAAAACAAGCACTTTGAGACAATGGACCAAGTTTTATGTTAGAGAAATAATTTGAGACATTGGGAAAAGCTTATTTTATAACTTAGTATGCAGAAAACTTTAATCTGGAAACCCTAACTTTCCAAAGAGCCTTCTTTTGTAGCTTTGTCTTCTTAGTTACCAGTCTCCTCTCCCAGTCTTCAACCCTCCTGAGGTCAGCATTTCGTGAACATATCCCTATACAACTTTGTATTTTGTGCATGGAGTTTCTACTTGGAACATTTTCCACCTGTTTAGGCCAAAACCTAAAAAAGCTTGTATAAACTCGAACAATTCCATTTGTGACAGTCTGAAGAACAGTTAAAATCGATCATTGGCAATAAAATCAGAATGTGGTTTTCTGGGTTGGAAAACTGGCCAGAAAAGGGGGAATATGAGAACTTTCTGGGCCATGGAAATGTATCATTTTAAGTAACAGTCACACAGGTATATGGTCACCAGAACTCAATTGAACACATTATCTGTGTGTTATTATATGTTGATTATATATACATTGTATAAATTACACACGCATACATGTACCTATTGTATATGTTAATTATATACATACAATTAATTAAACATCAGTTTTTCAGAACTCATCAAGATTCATATTTTTATTATATTTATGAGATTTGCTATTTTTTTTTTTTTGGTACCGGGGATCGAACTCAGGTCCTCGCGCTTGTGCAACAGGCGGCGAAACCACTGAGCTAAATCCCCGGCCTTATTATGTTTAAAGAAAGAGTCCCTGTGCATTAGAGATGCATACTGAAATATTTCGAGGTAAAACAGTGTGATGTCTTGAAGACTGTAAGTGGATGTAGAAGAGAAACAAGACTGGCCATGAGTTGATGATCAAAACAGAGTGGTGACTATGGGAGTTTTCTGGCTGTGTGATATTATACATAATAAAAACATTAAATAAGTAGTCTTTCATTCCTTTGTGTTTCTGTAGTACTTTTGTTTAAACCAACTATTGTTTAACCTGTTGTTTTAAATAATTCTGCCATTGGAAAATAAATTCTTTATAATCAGAAACTTTATACCCTTATATAGTGCTTGACATTTAGCAAATGACTTAATAAACTTTGGGTGAAATAAATGCATGAACAGTGGCAATAACAGATACATATGTTTACCTAAAGATAATTTCTTTGTGCCCATTGTTTTAATGCTTTTGTAAAGAGCAAAAAGAGATCCAAAAATGAGGTGGTGGTATCCTTGTGGGATTTCACCAGGCTTTGCTTGCCCCTGTCCTTCCTTTGTGGGGTCACCCTTTCAGAGACTTGTGAGAGTAACTAATACTGCACTTGGGCTACTGAAAGAAAAACTCAGGATAGTAGAGAACCTGGTGTACTATGAATTCTAGAAAGCTGACACTGTCTGGGAAAGAACTGTTACCACTGCTAAATCAATCCAACCCCCAAAGCTCAAGACCAGGTAGCCTTCCCACTCCCCTGACACATGGCTCCAAGCTACCCTTCTTGCTATGTCTCTTTTCACACACCCAGTGGGTTTTCTGGATATTTCTCATTACTCTTCCACCTCCCTCCTCCTTGTTCCATTCTTTTTTTTTTTGTGGTACCGGGGATCGAACTCGGGTCCTTGTGTTTGCGCAACAGGTGGCGAAACCACTGAGCTGAATCCCTGGCCTTGGAGGACTTACTTTAAACTAGGCAGTTATTGTAGTTGAGGAGCTAAAGAAACACAGGTTCATAGAAACTCACAAATTAATAGACCTGAGTAGGAATTAAGTTACATGGGCTCAAGTTTTATTAGCTGTGATAGTTTTATATTGTTTTAATTTAGTTTAAGTTTTTAGGGCTTATATAATCAAATAGTTGAACTGAGCTTGTTAAAAATAGCCAAGTGGGCTGGGGATTTAGCTCAGTGGTTCCGCTGCCTGCCCTGTAAGCACAAGGACCCAAGTTTGATCCCCGGTACCAAAAACACAAAATAAAATAAAAATAGCCAGGTAACCCCAAGGGTATCCTATGCCATTTCAGCATTCCAGAGGCAACCACTTAGTTGATTCTTTTGATATGTTTCTGAATAACATACTAGTATTTCTAGTTCTTGAATTTTCCTCCATTTTAGGCATTAGCTGCTGTGGGAGGTAAAGATTTAGCTCTCTTTGATCCCCTGCATAGCACTTTCCCTAAATGCTTGCAGCATTCTCATCCCCCATTCTTCCAGAATACCAGTAAATTTTGACCATGCATTGGTTGTGTTAATATTTGTTTTTTATTATTATGTAAGAACTGTTCTTGCTGAATGTTCTAGTGGACAGTGATTAGTATGCCTTATTCATTTAACTCTATTTTCACTAGAATTAATAATTGTTTTATTTTTCTTCCTTTGGTCTTAGTTTTCCATGTACTTTTTAACAATGTAATCCCCAAACCTAAATTGTGTGAATTGCTTTTTGAATATTTAGATATGTTTAGTGTTTTCTGTTTTGTCATCTTGAAGATTTTTCCCTTGGTCTTCTGACTTGTTGGAATCTGGACTGGTTGCTCACTGGGACTAACTTAATTTGACCTGCTGTGGGGGTGAACCTGTGGCACATGTGGCACAGCAGGCTGTTTGTATCATTGAAAGCTCTAAAAGGTTTGCCTTTGCTGTGACCTAGCCATTCCCTTTGCCTCACTTTTTTGTTAGATCTATTTGGTATCAGGGTAGTAAAGTCTCTATACTGTTAATTGGGGAGTGTCCCCTCCTCTGTGCTCTGGAAGAGATTGTGTAGAATTGGTGTTGATTCCTCTTTAAGCTTTTGGTAGAATTCTCCACATGGGCCTGGGGATTTCTCTTTTAGAAGTTTTAAATTTCAAATTTAGTTTCCTTAATTGTTATAGGGCTGTTGAGTATTTATTTCATACGAGTAAATTGTGATATTTTGTATGTTTGAGGAATGCATCCACTCAGGTTAAGTTTGTGCTTTAAGAAGTTGTTTTGTTTTAGTGTCCTACCAGTTTTGATTTGTAATTCTATGTGTTTTTAACTCCACTTAAGTTGAGATTTCTCTCAAGTAGGAGCCATATCCCATCCCCGTCCCTCTCAGGAATTATAAGAATTGTGAAGAGAATTGGGAGATGTAACATGTTTCTAACATGCAAAGGCTTGTGTGTGAGTATTCAAGATGAAGAATTCTCTCTGTACTTACAGTGGAAGGATGGGTATGCTACACCCAAATGCAGGGAGAACTGATTTCACTAGAGTGGCTTCACATTTTATTTTGATAAATGCTATCTGCTAGAGTCTGGTGTGTGTCCTTTGATACATCTGGGATTTGTGGTCTGAGAGAACCAAAAGGATTCTGATTTCTGATGGACAGTTGGAAGTGGGACTTCTGGCCTGTTTGCCTGAAGGCAGGAAAAGATAATAATTATTTTCAGATTTAAAAGGGTAAGAAGAGAGATAGGAAAGATCTAAACCTTAAGATGTGTTAAGCACTGCTCTGTGTTCACATCACCTGGCCCAAATGAGTTACATCTTCATTGAGCTTGATAATGAGGACTTTGCGCTGCCCCTGGTGATGTTTGAAGACTTACTTAGAACAGAAGAGAGATTAGACAATTCAAGGCAGGCAAATGTTTTCATATTCCCAAAAGGGAGGAAGGTAGATTCTGTACAGTAGGGAGCTCAGGTTTTATATGAGGCAAGAATCTGGAGCAGATTATTATTATTATTATTATTATTATTATTTTTGGTACCGGGGATCGAACTCGGGTCCTTGCGCTTGCACAGCAGGTGGCAAAACCACTGAGCTAACTCCCTGGCCTGGAGCAGATTATTTTAAAAGACTCTTTGATGTTATCTTTAGTGTAAGGAAGTTGGTGTGTGTATGTACCTAATACATATTTTGAATTTGATTTTCTTGGAAGAAAAACACTGAAGGGGGGGAGGGTTCTCTAGGGTGACGGGAACAGAAGTAGAAGGTAATTGTTAATATTTTGTTCTATTTGGATGTTAATATACTACCCATTGAACACAATAAACTTAAACTTTAAGTTGTTTTTTTAGTCACTTGGATGAGTAAGCAGGCTCCAAAGAGCCCTGAAGTTCAGTAAGTACAGGCCATGTCACATCAACATTTTGTCTTGCTTTAGGAGCTTTTTGGGTTGGGGGCGTATGTAGTAAATCCAGTGTCTGGGGATTTTTGCCAAGTTCTTGATAAGGACACTCATCAGAGATCTGTGAGCAAGATGGAGGGTCTAGGCTGGTTACTGCTACAGTTAGGTATAATTGTTACTGGTTATCAGGATTTCTGATCAATAGCCTGACATTAATCTGGAGGAAATTTTCAAAAAAAAAAAAAGCACTGTAACAACGTTAATGTTATTTTACATTTAACAAATAACTTGGTTAAAGAAAAAAAAGACATTTAACAAGTAGGTACTTAATATAAACTTGGAAGATATAACACCTATCTTGGGTGATAGAATGATGCTTACAGATGGGAGCAGTGGACTGAATCTAATGAGATGAAATAAGGTAAAGTTGTGTACTTGGATTTTTATTTTATTTTAATCAACTTCATGAGTATAGTTCAGGGGAGGCAAGATTAAAAACAGCATGAATGGAAAAAGACTTAGACATTTAAGTGGTAAATTAACTCAGTGTGAATGTGTAGTGTAAAGTGACTGCCAAAAGAAAAAAGAATGTAATTTTTAACTACATTAATAGAATTATAGAAGGTGGTGGTACTGGTTTACTCGGCATGAATCAGACTAGGCATGGAGTACTTCATTCATTTCGTAGGGCCATTCATAGCAACCAAAATGGTCTTAAAAATCCTATAAAAAGCTGGCATAGTAGCACATGCTTATAATCCTTGTACTGTGGGAGACTGAGTTAGGAGGATGCAAGTTTGAGCCCAGCCTGGGCAATTGAGCTAGATCCTATCTCAAAATAAAACAGGGGGGCTGGGCTGGGAATGTAGCTCAGTCATAGAGAGCCTCTGGGTTTGATCCCTAGTACGGGGGGAAAAAAGATCCTATTGAAGGAAGTAGGGCTGTGTAACATAGAAACAAGAAGACTTAGTCTAAATAATTGTATTTTATCTCTTTAGGGAGTGAAAAAATAGACTTACTAGTTTTGCTCTAGAGTACCATTTAGAAAATCAGGAGGTAGAAAGTTTTAACTGGATTATAAGCAAGAACTGTTAAACACTTTTGTACAGATGGACTGAGGGCCTAAGGAAGTGGCATTATTCTGAGAGAACAACTTGTCAAAAGAATATAGCGGGGCCGGGGATTTAGCTCAGTGTTGCCGCCGTCTGCCTTCCAAGCAAAAGGTCCTGAGTTCAATCCCAGGTACCAAAAAAAAAAAAAAAAGATATAGTGAGAATTCGGTGCTGCTCAAAGGGCTTCTTTTTGTTTTTCTTTTCTTCCACTGTATGTTTACTTTTAACAAAATTTACTTGTCATATTACTTTTTTGTTGTGTATAGAGTTAAAATTCACATTCTGTAAAAAAAAAAAATCATCCTTTTAAACCATATGGCTCAACAGTTATTAGTAGATGCACACGATTGTGCAAACCTCAACACTGTCTAGTTGCAAAACACATTTTTATCGCTCCCAAAGGAAACCCTTTATCAGTTAGTAGTCACTCCCCTTGTTCCCTCTTCTTAACCCCAGTAACCAATAATTTACTTCCTGTTACATGTTATGGCCATTTCGTATAAATGTACTCATTCAGGGTATTTTTTTTGTTGTTGTTAAATTCTTTTATTGGTACATTTTAGGTATACAACACAATTACATTTCTCATTGGGAATTGTACCTTTTATGCATCTTGGTTCTTATTTTTTCCCCTTCCTAGCCCTCCCTTCACCCCCTCCACCCTTCCCTATTTACAAAGACTTTATTTCCATTTTTTCCATTTCTCATCATTTTTGTTTGTTTTTTTGTTTTGTTTTGTTTTTTTGGTACCGGGGATCGAACTCAGGTCCTTTCGCTTGCACAGCAGGCGGTGAAACCACTGAGCCAAATCCCCAGCCCCATTCAATGTATGAAATGTCTGACATTCACTTAGCATAATGTTTTCAGGGTCTCTCCATGTCATAGCATGTGTCAGTACTTCATTCCTTTTTACATCTGTATCGTATTCCATTGTATAATTGCACCACATTTTATTTATCTGTTCATCAGTTGGTGGACATTTGGGTTATTTGCACTTTTTGACTATTATGAATTTTTTTTTTTTTTTTTTTGGTACCGGGGATCGAACTCGGGACCTTGTATTTGCGCAGCAGGCGCCAGAACAACTGAGCTAAATCCCCGGCCCGAACTTGTTTTGAACATTTTTGCACAAATTTTTGTGTGAATACAATGCTTCCCTTTTCTTGAGTATATACGTAGGACTGGAATTGTCTCATATGGTAACTGTATTTTTTGAAGGACTGCCAGATTATTTTATGTTCCTACCAGCAATATATGAGAGTTACAGTCTCCACATTTTCAATATTTTTTATTGTTTATGTTTTTGATTATAGCCTTCCTAGTAGATATGAAGTAGTATCTGATTGTGGTTTTGATTTGCATTTTTAATGATTGATGATGTTAAATGTTTTTCATGTGTGTGCTATTTTTGTATATGTTCTTTGGAAATTGTCTGTTCAGATCCTTTGCTAACTTTTACACAAGTGTTTTTTTTTTTCTTCTTTCTTTCTTTCTTTTTGGTACCGGGGATCGAACTCAGGACCTTGCACTTGTGAAGCAGGCAGTGGCACCACTGAGCTAAATGCCCGGCCCCATAGTGTTTTCTTTTTGTTAAGTTGTAAGGGTACTTTGTATATTCTTCTGAGTACAGATGTATGACTTACATACTTTCTCCCATTGTATGACTTAATTTTCTCAAAGAAAGAGTCATTGAAACACAAATTTAAAAAATTTTACAAAGTGCAATTTATTACTTTTTCTCTTTGATGTAGGTATCATAGCTAAGAACCTGTTGCCTAGCCTAAGGTCACAAAGAATTGCGGATGTTTCCTGTGAGAAATTTTTAGGTCTTTGATATGTTTTAATTTTTATTTTTTGCAGTATTGGGGATTGAACCCCTTTCACATGCTAAGCCATTGCTGTACCACTGAGCTACATACTGAGCCCTTTTTCTTTTTTATTTTGAGACAGGGTCTTCCTAAGTTGTCAAGGCTGAACTTGTGATTCTCCTGCCTCCACTTCTTGAGCAGCTGAGATTACAGACATTCACCTGTAATTTGAGTTAATTTTTGTATATGATGTGAAGTAGGGATCCAGATTCATTCTTTTAAGCTTAAAGTAAGACAGTTTATTAAAATAATCTTACCTTGTATTTGTGTTAATATTTTTTTTTCGGTACTGGGAATGAAGCTTAGGACCTTGCACTTGCCCAGCAGACACAGCACCACTGAGCTGCATCCCCGGCCCTGTTTGTGTTAATATTACTCAGCTTGCTCATGTCTTTCTTTCTCTAACTTAGTTCTTAGTGACTTTGGATTCTAACCTCATCATTGCAAAGATCTGACTCTATGGACTTTGAAATGACTATTCCAAGGTGTGAGACAACTTCCAGTTCCTAACAGGTCCTAACACGAGGTGCTCAGTAAATATTTGTCGTATGAATGACACTCATGAGCAGCCCTTTGAGTTCACATGCAGCTCCACTGATGCCCATCTTATATCCCAGTTGGTTGGCTTGAAAGGCTTAATTATGAGCAAAATGCTTAAGGCTAGATGTTGTAAAGTCCCTGCAAAGCTTCGTAAAGTAGTTATTCTCTTCATGTTTTTCTTAAAGAGAGAAAAACAATGTGAACCACTTAAAATTGAGTTAAATTCACTTTTGTCTCTACAACCAGGAAAAACATAATTTTTTTTTCGTGTTAAATAGTTTACACACACTCTCTTGGTTCCTGTGCATTGTTTCTTGAAATAAGAGTCTTTGCTTCTGGGTTACATGGAGCACTGATGCAGTGAGCAAGTAGGTATCTGTGTGCCTTTGACTTTAGATTCTAGAGAGGGCTGTGGGTTATTAGGTCAGTAGAATCCTTATTGGATATTTGGCTGTTAATCTCAAAAACTGCTAGAAATCTGTTCTTGACCTTGCTTCTCAGTCTTACCTTTCAGCACTGTTATTGTTATCTCTGTGTGTTTAAATTATCTGTGCTAGTGGAACTGGCTAGCTAATTCTGTCCCTATTGGTGTCTATAACTGACAATATGTTTCTCAACTCTTGTTCACAGAGGGACCTGTCAGGGCACAAGAACATTGTGGGTTACATTGATTCTAGTATCAACAGTGTGAGCAGCGGTGATGTATGGGAAGTTCTCATTCTGATGGATTTCTGTAGAGGTATGTACATGAACCATATTCTTAAATTCTTTTCTCTAGTCTTTTGATTATCAAGGGCATAGGGATCATATTATTTAATGTGCCTTCTACGCTAAACTATGTTGTTCTGGTTTTACAGATAGAAAGACTAAGAGATTAAAAAGATACAGAGTTTGCTGTAAACTTTTGGTTATTGTGATGACAAGGAACAGTGGCACAAACAATTAAAAGTGATACAAAACCCTGTTTTTGGTGGACTTAGAAAGGTTTGGTCATGTATATAAGTAAGAACATACGAGAATTTGAATGAATGTGATCTTTGTGATGCTTTAAGACAAATGATGAAGACACATAATAAAGGCCCAACTCCAGATAGACCAAAGAAACAGTGCAACCTCCCCACCCCCTCATATGTATGTCCTCTTCCCCACTCACACTGTCATCCTTGTGTTACTGAGTAAAAGAATCCTTTTTGTATAATGGAAATGATCTTTCTCTCCTTGCTCTAGAGCTGTAATTTCTGGTAAGGCCCCATTCACATAATGCCGCTGTTAACAGGGGTGTTTAAATAGTTGAAAGCTTGCAGTTGCAAACAACATTTGTCCTAAGAAATACAGACTGTAGATTAAATGTGTTCACAGAGTTGACTGTATTCCGTATAACCACTGTTTGGGGATTGGCTTTTTTGCCCTAAGCAGCTGCCACCTACAAACTTGAGTCATTGTCTTACTGTCTTATAATTGCCTTTGGTTCCACTAACATTTTCCTGCCTTTAAAGATACTGTCTATAAATTAAATATGTTGTTTATTGCAAAGATGTAATATCAACCAGTAATTTCAGCCTTCATTATATTAGCTATTAACTGATTTTATAAAACACTGCCAAATTCGAACTTGACCATTCATTTTCTCCTGACCATTCCTTTTTGGACAGTAAAATGTTTAGAGGCTGGTCAGTAATACAAAGATCTGGATGATTTTGTAAGAGAGGTCATTAGTCTTTTGGTCCTGCAGATGAAATGCTGGTGTAGCATTTCCACAGGCCAAGGAGTACGTGATGAAGCCAGAATTATAGTCCCAAAGCACAGATGTAATGCTGTCTTCTTCCTGATTCCTGGGTCTGTTGTACCATCTGATTCTAATGAAAAAGTATGGCGAGTGAGGTTGCGGCCTCATCTCTTACACAACGGGGACAGTATAACCAGGGAACTATAGCAGGACCATTTTTTCAGTTCTCCTACTATCTTGAAGACTTTATGAGGGCAACTTATGTCTGGGTACTTTATAAAATGAACAAACTGTTTTTGACACATTAGAGGAAGCATTGGATTGTTAAAAAACAACAGGTCCTAAGCTGTGAGGACACAGGGGTTCAGTCTGGCTTTGCCTTTATCAGTTCTGTTACTTTCATCTGGGGTGCTCCTCTTTGGATAGCCACTCCTTCTCTTGGTCTAAATGAAAAAAACCGTTTATAACCTCTCCTTTGCTTTGTACCCCTCTCAGGAGGCCAAGTGGTAAACCTGATGAACCAGCGCTTGCAAACAGGCTTTACAGAGAATGAAGTGCTGCAGATCTTCTGTGACACCTGTGAAGCTGTCGCCCGCCTGCATCAGTGCAAAACTCCTATTATCCACCGTGACCTGAAGGTAACATACCACATTATTTTATTAAGTGCTTTTTTGCTGAGTATTTTTTCTCTATTCCAGGGATGGAGTAGATGCTCTGGGGATGTGAAAGAATTTTAAAGCATGATCCCTAATGCCAAGCTTACATTCTTCTTGGGGTGAGAAGATACAAAGAAAAAGTACAGTACAGTATCAGTTTTGCTACTTAAGTAGCCTCAAGAAATTATAATTCAAATACCTGAACCTATAACGTTTTTACTTTTCTTGCTGTACGCTCAAATTCACATTTCCAGAGACATGAAAAATAATAAATTCTTTTAAATTGTTTGTAAATGCATGTTTTTTTTTAAAGTCTGTTTCACATTTTACAAAAAATCATTAATCGATTATTTTTTAAATTGGTGCTGCTGATTACCTTTACTTTGCACTGTGCCTTTCATATTATAGACACTTGACAATATTTGTTGAATGGAATTGGCACCCGATTAGGGTTCAGCTTAGCATTTATTGAGCACCAACTATGTGGCATTTATTGCTACTGTTTATATACACTATCTCATTAGAGGAAGAGATTTTTTAGTACATTTTACAATTGATGAAACTGAGTAGGAGAGAGGCTATGTGACTTTCTTATGGTCATATAACTATGAAAGAACAGTACCAAAATTTGAATCTAGCTCTTCTGATTCTAATTATAGTTTCTTTTCATTATATCTGTGCTTCAAGAAACATGTTTCATGGCTAATAACCTGTGTCCCCGATTGTGCTTGTTAAATGCAGGCTGGTAGGTTCCACACTGACTCTTTTAGCCTAGAATTTTGGTAGTAATGTCAGGAATGTCCAGGAATTTGTATCTTAATAAGTGACTCATGTTATTTTTGTACTCTCTAAATGAGCATAGCAGCATACTTTTATTTTTTCAAACAATTGATGTACAGGTCACATTCCATAAAATTCACCTTTCAGCAATTTTTACTATATTTTTAAGGCTGGGCAAAACATCACTGTCTAATTACAGAACATTTCATCGTCTTCCAAAGTGCTGTATCTATTAATAATTACTCCTCGTTCCCCTCCCTTAACCCAGCCTTCACTCCCACTAATCAATTTCTGTGTTTATGTATTTTCTTATTCTGGACATTTCATATTGATGGACTTAGGTGACCTCTTAGGTCTGACTTCTTTCACTTAGCATATTAAGCTTCATCTATGTTTTTGCATTTATTGGCACTTTATTTTCATAGCTACGTAATGTTCTGTTGTATGGATATGACACATTTTGTTTTGTTTATCCTTTAATTCATTGATGGACATTTGAGTTGTTTTCTACTTTTTGGGTATTATGAATAATGCTGCCATGAATATTTGTATACTAGTTCTTGTGTGGACTTACGTTTTGAATTCTCGTAGGTGTATACCTACGAGTAGAATTGCTGGGTCATATGATAACTATATTTTAGCTTTTTGAGGAATGTTCAAAATGTTTTCTAAAATAGCTACACTGTTGTATCAGCAATATGTAGTGCTTCCACTTTTTCCTGACCCTTACTAGTACTTGTTAATTGTCCTTGTTTTCAGCCACCCTTATGGGTTAGAGGTGGCACATACTGACACTCCTGTGGTAAAGCAGTTAGCTTACAGGAAGATAGATAGGCATAGACCTCCACAAGCATTAGACAGCCTTCTCCCATGTACCTCTGCCCACAGCCCTTTTTTTTTCTGAGAAGAAAAAGAAGAATACATCTTGATGAATATTTATTATGTACCTAATGCAAATATGTAATTTTATGTATATATATTTTCCACCCTTGAGATTTTTAAAGTATTGTTGGTGAGAAGATACAAATGAAATATTTAGGCTTGAAACAAGAAGAAGTGAAATAAACTCTACAGAAGAGAATGATAAGTAGAAGAGCATTAAGTCATATAATATATGGTCAGACAGTGGGAACAGGTAACAGTGGTTGGGATTTTTGGAAAAGTAGAATTTTGAAGGATTGGTGGGCTATGAGTAGTCAGAGAGTTGAAGAACATTCCAGACAGAGCAGAGCTGGAGGGCTGAGGACAGCAAGGTATGTGGAGATGAGGAGTCAGGTAAGGTTGGTGGTTGGCCAGTTCTAGACTAGGGTAGGGTGACTGCAGGCTACTGCTCTAAATATGTGTTGGTACTTTATTCGTAGTTGTCTTTAAAAATGAGTGAAATTCTTGGTTAAGTTCTGTTACTATGTGTTAGTCAACTTTCCATTACTGTAAGAAATACCCGAGATAATAGGATCATAAAGAGAAAAGGTTTGTTTTGGCTCACAGTTTTAGAGGGTCCAGTCTCATTATCATTTGGGCCTGTTGCTTTAGAGCGTGTGGAAGACAGGGAGCCCATGGCCGAGCAAAACTGTTCAGTTCATGTTTAGATGTGAGGAAGAAAAAGAGGAAGGGTCCCCTTTGAGGGCATGCCCCTAGGGATGTAAGGAACTCCCACTAAGCTCTCCCTCTTAAGACATCCCAAAACACCAAGCTGGAGACGAAGCTTAAATAAATATATAAGCTTTTGTGGAACATTCCAGATCCAAAGTATAGCACTTACATTTTAAAATGAGAAGTGGCACCAAAATTTAAGGACCTGACCTCTCTGCCTGCTGCCTGCCTTAGAGAAGAGTAAGGGACACAGAAATAGGACAGAAGTGTGACTGATGGGCACTGCTTCTGCGGCTCTTGTGATCCTTGGCCTCTTCGTATCCTCCCTCAGTCTCTTGGAGTGCTGAGGTTACAGGCATGCACTGCCATGCCTGGCTCAGTATGTATTCTAATGGATGATACAGCATGAGAGTTCATATTTGCCCCCTGATTCTGTGGTGTTATATGACTGATATCAACAGAATTGGGAGAGAAGAGCATACCCAGCTGCCTTCACAGTTGCCAAGTGCAAAGGATACTTTTTAGCTCATCAGTTCTCCCTGTAGCCATTGGCTCCTTCATGATTGTCTCTTCACACTCTAAGATAGCTCTTCCTTCTCTGGCTCTTCTTTCTCTGGCTTCTTGGCGTGTTCCTCAAGTCACTTAGCCTCTCTGAGCCTTAGTTTTCTTATTTATTGAGTGGAGAGAGCAGTGTCCATTTTTTTAGGTGTCTGAAGGAAAGAGTGTGCCAGTCTCTAGTTATATCCTGCACAGTAAATGCCTAAGAGGTGAGAGCAAGGGAGGAGACAGAAGAGCCACATGGAGGCTTTTAGAGTATGATTCCTATATTTTTAAATAAAGTTGTCCCTTAGCTTAAGTTTTTAAACATTTATTAAATTGTGTGAAGTCTAAATGGTAATCACTCCCTTCCTTTCCAGTTTGTGTATTTCCATGATAGCAATGCCCCATATTGAGCAGTGCTGCTGTGAGGAGTGGGTTAGCATCCCCTGGTGACAGGACCTTGGGGACGCAGAGTGAGTCTGAGGTGTGACTAAGACAGCAGGGCATAGGCTCTTCCTTCCCTGACTAGGGAAGCTATGAACTGCTCACTGGATCACGGTGGGAGATGGTGCAGGAACACATTGCCTCCTTGCTTCCCTGGTGGCATCTTACCCAGGTTGCCAACCATGGTTCTGGAGCCTGGCTGTGTTCCCCTTCCTCGCTACCGTGTAAATAGGAACATACATAGGGGCTGTGGGAAGAGGCCTTGACTGTGGATATTGTGGAGAAGTTCTTGTTGCTACTGTTGATGTTGTTAACTCCTGGTTGTTTGATTAGAGCTTTTTAAACCTCCTAAATCTGACATTGGGCACCACCTAGGTGTTTTCATTGTGGATTACATTTTGTTGATTTCTACTCATATGTGTGTGGTAGGCAGTAACATTTGCCTGCTGCACCTGTGGCTTCCGAAGGTCTGACTGAAAAGTCTCCATGTACCTTCTGTTTCCCTGGCTCTGTCCTTGCATCACAGAGCCTCAGCTACTCTGAGCCCCATGTCAGTGCTGGAACCAGCCACTGCATTCCTGACAGTAGCCAGAAGCAAGGAGCTCTTTATTCTCCTCTTGGCCAGAGAAATTGGTTCTTTACCTCCTTAATCTCATTTAATCTGTCCCTACCCACCTACCTCTTTCCATCCTCTGCGAACAGACTTTCTTTCTGGGGAGGAAGCACCACTGCAAGTACAAATCAGTGGGACAGGGGAGAGGGCACAGGCCAAGGCTGTTGTGGATCTTGATCTTGATCAGCCAGTGCCTCCCTGGGTATGCGGCTGCCCAATCATGTATAACCAAGGAAAGCCCCTCTTGCCTACCTGCCTCGGATGAGGTCTTTCTTTCCAACATGACGTGTAGGACATAAGCTGAAAACCATCCCTGTCCTTAAGCAGCTTTTGTTCTAAAAATAGCCATAATGGAAACACTGTTCTGTAGATCTCTACTCAAGCATATTCCTGCCCCCCTTTAATTATTTCCTCCATTTTAAATTTTCATTTCTCTGAGAAAATAAAATCATTTCAGATCATGGGGTCATAGATTTGGAAAGTTCACCTAAATCAGCCCTTTCCTTTTACCAGTGAAAATCCTTGCCACAGAAAGGTTGTGATTGCTGTGCACAACTGAGTAATCAAACCGGCATGAAGGCAGAGGCTCTTCTGTCTTTTATTTGTTTTGTTGTATTATACTGTGCTGGTTGTCCAAGCACTTAAGAAAGGGGAACAAAAGGTTAAGGCTTAACAAGTACACTCAGGTAGAAAAAGTCATAGATTTAGCCTTTTTTTGTCATAAAAGAGATTTTGATCTCATGGGGTATAATAGGATGAAAATTCTTATCCCATTTTTAGAAACACAGGTTTGAAAACCTGCATTCGTTGACTCTTCCAAGTTTTCCAGTGATGACAAATTTTCTGACAATGCTCTCCTGCCATACCTGTTTGCAATAAGTTTTCGGTGAAGAGGTCTGTGGGAGGTGGCTTTCTAGACCTTTCAGCTAAAGCTGTGAGCAGAGTTTGAGAGTGACAACATTAATAGCCACTTCAGCTGATAGGTTGGGAAATAAGGTCAGCAGCATTGAATTCTCAAAGAGCTGAAGTATTTGAGGACCGGAGGCAGTAGTAACCAGTCTCAGCTTATAGGGGTTTTGCCAAAAACAGTGTCACTATGTACATTCTCTGAAGTGTTCAGACAGTGGTGTATGAATATCTACTTGATTCTCTACCTCCTTGATCTCATTTAACATGTTCCTGCTGGCTTGACCCACCAGTGGTACGTACATGCATAACTATCCCATAGGGAGGCATGTAGCACCTGATGTCCCATGCCGCCTGATGAGACAGCCATATATGTACCAAAGAGCCACCTGGCAGTGAGACGTGAATTATTGCCCCACAGCAAACATGTTAATCTGCCCCCCCTTCTGTCATTAGTGGTTGCACCCTAGACCTGGCCCTAGTCACCTCACACAGGACTGTCACACCTTCCGTACTTGTCTCCCTTCTCTTTTCTTCCTCTTGCCAAGGTGGTTTTCCTAAGTGGCTCTTTGCATGTGCTGCTGACCTTTCAGAAGTCCTGAATGCCTCCTGAGTGGCCTGTCCCAGCCTTCCTTTGGTCTGCTTTACTGATCACTTCTTCTTTGTTCCCTTCTCTTTTACCAGTCTGAACTGTCCCTGCTCCTTCATTGTGGATGAGCGTGGTCCCAATAGTTGGGGAACCTGAGCCCAAATCCTGTTCTACCAGCTTTGTGACCTTAGGCAAATTGGGTCACTTCTCTGGCCTCCCTTTTATCATCTGTTAAGGAGGACATAAGGCTTTGTAAGGATTACATAAGCTTCTATAAGTAAAAATGCATGGCACCAGTGATAAAGGCACATGCCTGTAATCTCAACACTCTGGGAAGCCCAGCCTAGGCAATTTAGCTATTTAGTGAGGCCCTGTCCCAAAATAAAAAATAAAAAGGGCTGGGGATATAGCTAGTACAGACACCCTGGATTCAATGCCCAGTAGTGCTAAACAAAAACAAACCAACTGTATATAACACACACACACACACACACACACATATACACAAGGCATTATCAGTATATACTAAGTGCTGTTAGCTGCTGCTACCATCATCATCATCATCATCATCCTCCCTTTTGCTTCTGTTCTTTATTCCTGTAGTTAGTTTCACTTATCTAAGTCCTTTACTTCCTCAAAGGCCACCTTATCATCCACCCAACCCTGAGAGCACTGTAATATGTCCCGTCTCCAACTTTCAGCTCCCTTTACAGTGCCAGTATGAACACATGCTGGTCCAGCGACACTGGTTACTTCCACATTCAGACCCCTGAGCACATGTCCATCTTGGGGCCTTGGTGCTGATTGTCTTCTGCTCAGAATGTTCTTCCCCCAGAGAGTCCATGGCTGCTTCTTCCTCATTCAGGCCTTTGGTGTCTTCACCAGAGAGACCCTCCCTGACTGGGCTATTTAGAGGCATCCCTCTACACCTTACATATGTTTAACAAGCTAGAATTTTTTTCATGACATTCGTGACCCCCAAGCAATTGTAATTATTTTCTTATTATCCCCAGTGGGACTTTAAGCTTTTTGTTTTCTTCATGGCCTTGTCCCTAGAATCTAGAAAAGTACTTGGCACATAGTAGAAATTCAAACATGCTTCTTTCCTAAATGCATGGTAGTAGTATCTCATATATGTATAGGAAGATGTAAGGTTTTCTTTCATCTACATTCTCTTACTTTCTTTATATCAACAATGATGAAAATATTATCAGCTTTGCTTGGCAGATGAGAAACAAGCCAAAAGAGGGTTACCCATTTGGCCAGGTCAAACAAGAGAAGTAGTTCTGGAGCTTTTCTGCCCCCAAGCCCAGTGTTACTGCCACACACCATGTTAGGTGTTGAGTAGTTTGTTGGTGTTGGTGACAAAGGAGAAGAGTAGCCAGCTTGGCCTTGGCAGTTTCCAAAGGAGCTATAAGTTATGGACACTCGAAAGGAGGTGGAGAATACAGCAATGGCTAAGGTGGCTGCTTCCCAGCAATTTCACCTTGGTGGATCTCTTTGGATTCTCCCAACAAATGGGCAGAGTAGTCAGAGAGGGAATACTGTTCTTAGCAAGTTACCAGTGTGGTTCATTTCATTCTGTACTTTGTCTGCTTAGTCTTCCTCCTTCCCCCAGCAGTAATTTTGGTTCCTACAACTGCCTTGTTTGTGTTTTGGTATTAGTTATTAACTTTTTAGTTTTCTAGATGTACATCCCAGCATCAGCAGTATAGAAGCTGGCTCAGAAAGACAGTGCACACATGCTGTAGGACAGTCGGCATGGCCTGATTTGTTCTGCAGGCCTTTCCCACCCCATCCTGTCAACACTAAGGTCTGTATATTTTGTAGGATGGTCATGGAAAGTATTACTCAGGAGTTGGAATTTAAGCAGGGTCTTAAAGAATAGCTGGGGTTTGGTAGGCAGACAATGAACAACTGAAGAAAGGACAAATTAGGTAAGATAAAGAATGCTTAGGAGACATTGATCAAATCAGCATGGCTAGTGTTTAGACACTTGGCTCCTCTTTGACTAGATTTCTACTATGGGGGATTTTTTTTAACATAAAGAATTAAGAAAGCCCTGTCTTCAACCCCAGTACAATGTACTGGGCAAATATAAAGTCGTCGTGTGTCAGCTTTAGCTCAAGCGGTTACTTCCTCACACTGGATTTTCCATCCATATAAGGTCATCATAACCCCTACCATAGTTGGAGTGTGGGATCCTTGAATAATCGCTCTGTTTCTGATGTGCTTCCTGCCCTGACAGAAATGTAATTTTCTGTTCTTCTCTAGAGTTAGATTGCTTAGGTTCACTTCCCAGCTCTACCACTTATTAGCTGTATGACATTTAGAAAGAGATTTAATCACTGTAAGCCTGACTTTCTCTATCTGCAAGATGGGGGTCATAATATTATTGTTATTAAGTGGATTTAGTGGAATAATCCATGTAAAGTATTGTATATAGTAGTACTGACAATAGTAAAAGCTCATTAAATGATGGCTGTTATTTTATAACTTCTAACATTGAAAACATTAATATTACTTGGTTGGAATTATTTTAGTTGCCTCAAGTGAATATATGCTCAGGATGGCTTGACTGTTTCTCTTGTGTGTAGATTAAATTGATAACCTTTATAAAAAGCTATAGATAGTAGAAATATTTGCCTACCTCAGGTTACCACAAGAGAACAAATCTGTCTCAATCATTCTTAATTCATTATTCTGTGGTTAAGAATTCTTCGTATGCTAGACATTGTGGTGCATACTTGTAATCTCAGAACTCCGAAGACCGAGGCAGGAGGATTATTGCAAGGAGGATTGAGGCAAGCCTAGGCTATGTAGTAAATTCAAGGCGAGCCTGAACTAATAGTGAGACCATGTCTCAAAAGAAAAAAAAAAAGAGCTCATGCTTGTCTTTAAGTAGCTTATAGTCTACCCTTGCCTTTATTTTCCTAAGATGGTCAGTCAAAAGACAATGAAGACTACAGTCTTTTTGGCCAAACAGGATTTTTTTGGCTGCCATTTTACTGCCCACACATAGCCGGGTTTGTCCTCCAGCATACCAGTCAGCTCAGTTCCTCATACCAAAAACTAATCAGTACATCTTGAAAACTTGCTGTTGTTTCTGTTGGTAGCATCCTTTGATACAAGGGATTTCTTTGTGTTTTGGTCCTCAAAAGCTCCCAGCTACTTAGACATCCTGTCAGTGCCCAAAGACTTCATTTATAAAAAAAAAAAATTAGGATGATAGGGCCTGGGATTTAGCTCAGTGGTTCCATCGCCTGCTTCACAAGTGCAAGGTCCCAAGTTCGATCCCTGGTACCAAAACAAAAACAAAACAAAATTAGGATGCTATTTCAAAAAGAAACTACCCTTTTACTTCCAGGTGTTTTATCAGTTTGAGAAGTAACTAAAATATAAAACATTAATTTTGAAAATCCTAACCTAGTGTAGTAAATACATTGTTATATGAGCTTAAAGGGGCCAAGTGAAGTAGTTGACATCATGGAAGAATGAATAGGGAAAGAAGATAGGGAGGAGTGATATTTGTCTGAGTGAGGGCCTGAGGAAGGCTTCAAAAAAGGAGTTGGTTGGGCCAGGGATTTAGCTCAGTGGTGCGCTGGCTGCCTCACAAGCACAAGGTCCTGAGTTCAATCCCTGGTACCAAAAAAAAGGAATTGGTCTTTGCACTTGGGTTTGAAAGATGCTTGATAATTTAATAGTTGTTTAAGGAGCTGGGAACTATGTAGAACATTCTAGACTGAAAGAAGAGCAAGAGTTCTAAAGTGTGGACTAAAGTGAGGACTGTTTCTGCAGAGGTGAGAAATGTGGTGAAAATCTGGAGCAATGGAACTCTGGCTTCCCCTGCTGTGGAGTTTGCTCTTTTTACCCTCTCTGCCCTCATTTTACCCTGTTACTGTGCCTCTCCTTTGTTCTACTTGGGATGACCCCTGTTGAGATACTTGGCAGGGAATAACTTTTTTGTGCACACTGAGACTAACAGAAATAAAACATTTTATTTATGTGATGGTGAAACCAAATTTTCATGTGCTTTGCTTAATGATATCTTGGAATGGATGGTTGGGGAATGTTTTTCAGGTTGAAAATATCCTCTTGCATGACCGAGGCCACTATGTCCTGTGTGACTTTGGAAGTGCCACCAACAAATTCCAGAATCCACAAATTGAGGGAGTCAATGCAGTAGAAGATGAGATTAAGAAGTAAGTCCTTCCTCCTTTCTTGTGGTTTTGTTTCTTATCAGATGAGCAGTTTTACTTTCAGGTTATGAATGAGGCAGGCAGAATGGGAAAAGATGGTGCTAGTCAGTTATCCTTCATTTCAGAGTGTATTTTTCACAGTTGGGTTGTTTGATTTTAAATGAAGAATAAGGAGGGCTTTCACAGGCATTGACCAGTAATAAAATAAAGGGATCTCATAACACTTTATTAATGATCCTGTATGGTCATTGTTACAAACATTTTGATTTACAATGCCACGTGTCCATAAGAATCTGAGTGGTACACACACTGTAAACGTACTGTGATGTTTTCAAGTGTGATCACAACTGTGACATTATCAAACAGATGTGCTTTTATGCTGAGTCCTAAACTGCTGCCTCCTTCCTGCTCATGAGGAACTCACCCAAATTAATGGTGAGTAGGGCTTTTGAAGTCTGTACAAAGTCACTGACTTTCTCAAGAAAAAGTTTTCTTAGACTTGTGCATGCAGTAAGAACCTGACCCATTTTCCTGTCATGGCCACAATGTTGGGTTTTTCACAGTTGTACTCACTACTGCTACTAGTAAGTCAAACATCTGGTGTACACTCTCACTTTCTGATCCTCTCTCCCCTTGTATATATCACCCCTGACAAGCAAGCTGGGGGCAGAACAACTGGTCTAAGGCCCTGATAGACATCTAAACCAGTCCCTGCTAGGATTCTGAGACCAGAGCAGCAAAATTTACATGCTTAGTGACCCCAAGACACTCACTCTGACGTGTACTTATACTATTTTCTCAAGCCAGAGATAAAAAGAATGCTGTTGTTTCAGCCTTGCTCCAGGAGCAAAAATCAAAGGCACTTGATCCTGTCTACTCCCAACCCAGCCAGGGCCCACTCTCTGCTGTTCTCTAGAGTATCCTAGCTAGCACTCCATCTCTGTTGAGCCACATCTAAAGGGTTTATTTATTTATTTTTTAATCAGCAAAATATGTATCAGGCAAAAAGGATTCCTAGGAGAAGATTTTATCATTTGAAGACCCAAGAAAAGTTGCTTTTAGGGCTTATTTAGTGCATTCCTATTTGGGTCCCAGCATGTTCTTAGATTAGGTCTGCTGCTAGAGTGCCATGCTGTGATGACGTCATTGTATCAATGCCAGCCTTTCATTTTATCTGCACTAATACTTCACACTCTCTTCTGCAGATTGCTCCCAGGGAATGAGTTCTATTAATGTAAAATTTTCTGCTGCTCCTGTTTTTTAATTATAGCATTAATATATTTAACATAAAATGAATCTCTTGATTGTAGATACACAACGCTATCCTATAGAGCACCAGAAATGGTCAACTTGTACAGTGGCAAAATCATCACTACGAAGGCAGACATTTGGGTAGGTGTCAACTAACCTAAACACAGCCCAGATATCAGTAGTCATCGACTGTAAACTCTCAAGTTTAATGCAGACAGTGCTGTAGCACAGTAGTACCTGTACCATATCATTGTTTATTTTTCCCTTGGAACTGTTCTTGATGTGAAGGGACCATCCACTGCTTCTTGGAGCCTAACAAATAAAATTACTTTAGAGCCCTGTGAAAATTATTCAGGTGGTTTCCACTTATATTTACTAGTTTTTAAGAGCAATACAGGTCAAACATTTGTTCCTTTTTTTTGAGACAGGGTCTCATTATGTAGTTTAGGCTGGCTTTGAACTCACTATGTATCCCAGGCTGGCCTCAAACTCGTGGCAATCCTCCTACCTCAGGCTCCTGAGTGCTGGATTACAGCGTCTGCCAGTATGCCTGGAAAAACACTTGTTCTTTACTGGAGGAGAATTTGGTAATAATGGTAGAAATAACTGAGCTGCTAAATAGTCATATTGGGTTCTAAATTCACGTTTTTAATAGATAAATAATATGCAGTATTTATATCTGCTAGTAAAAGTTGATGGTGCCAGTGTTTCTCATTAGATCCTCTTGGAGTTATGGTAAGTAGACCATGAGTAGCAATCTGCTTTCTTTGTTTTTTTTAGGCTCTTGGATGTTTGTTGTATAAATTATGTTACTTCACTTTGCCATTCGGAGAGAGTCAGGTGGCAATTTGTGATGGCAACTTCACAATTCCTGATAACTCTCGATATTCTCAAGACATGCACTGCCTTATTAGTAAGTATTTCAAGTTTTTAGTTTCATATTTTTACCTCTAATCACTAGAAATGAATTGGAGGGTAAAGGGATTAGATTCCAGGCACAGTAGATTGGATCTAGTGATAAAGCAATCAGTGATAATAGTTGGGAGGGAATACATGATAATTAAACAGTGTCTACTTCAAGTGGTGCATCTTTTTGCTAGAAATCTAAACTGTTTCATACCTGAGCCAGAGGTACAAGTAGAAATCCTAGTTGTGTTTTCAACAGTACAGTAATGCTGTGTTCTATTGCAATCTGTATGAAAGTTCTGGTACCAAAGGTATCCAGCTGACAAGAAATTCATCTTTACAAAACTGGAAGCAACTCAAATGAAAATGATTGCAGTGCATTGGCTGGAATGAATATATAATTAAGACTGTATAACTCTATGGAACTAGGTTTTTCTTCCCATTTAGGTTAATCACTGGGTTTGTATAACAAGCATCAGTGCTCAAGATTCTCTAGTTTTTTTGTATCAACATAACAAGCATATGTACTAGCATCCATTAACCAGATGGTAGAACAAGTAATCTTTGCACAAGACCCTGTACTAAAATGCTAAAGAAGTGGGAATTTTTTTAAAAAAATCATCTTTCCACTTCTGTCAAGGCATGTAGCATCTTAAGTTTTAACCATTTGGATCTTAAATCCTGAGCAACCTAGTTTGGGTCCTGGGTGGGATACACTAAGAAAAACAGAAACACCAAATTTGAGGTGGAGCATCTGACGTATATTGAGGGGCTTGTGTAGACAGGTGTGGTGTTGCATGCCTGTAATTGCCTTACTTGGGAGACTGAAACAGGAAGATTGAGAGTTTGAGATCAGCAAGGGCTACATACTGCGTTCAAGGCCAGCCTAGATTACATAGCAAAGGGGCCGGGGATTTAGCTCAGTGGTTCCACTGCCTGCCTCACAAGTGCAAGGGCCTGAGTTTGATCCCCAGTACAAAAAAAAAAAAAAAGAAGAAGAAGATTACATAGCAAGACTTTGTCCCAAGAAACAAGCAAACAAACAAAAATAACTCTAGGTTGTTGTTTGTTTTGTTTTTGGCATTGTTGGGGATTGAACCCAGGGCATTGTGCATGCTAGGCAATTACGACAGAACATCTCAAGCCCCAAACTCTATATATTTTAAGTATAATTATCCCTGTTTTGCACATGAGGAAACTGAAACTGAGAAAGTACAGATAGCTTATTCAGGTTTATATAGTTGCAGCTTTTTTGTTTTGTTTGTTTGTTTTTTAATATTGAATCTCACTAGTTCAGGCTGGCCTTGAACTCACTATGTAGCCTGGACTGGCCTCAAACTTGTGTTCCTGCTGCCTCAGTATCCTGAGTACTGGGATTATAGGCATGGGCCACACGTGCTATAGTTGTAGCTTTTAAGTGACTACCCATTCCATTTGCAAGATTTATTAGCCTCTTCTATTACTTAACAAAAGGTGGGGTTTGGGAGTGTTTTTAAAGGAACCAAATATGGCATTTCATGATTGTTGGATTGTTTACAGAGTGAAGAATTGTAGGTATACTAGAATTATAGCTATGTGTGTAAGATTGGAAGGAAATACAAATAATAGCCAAATTTGATACTGCTGGTATCATTTTTTTTCTGAACATTTGTACAGTAAATTCATATTGGTAAAAACAACTTTATGAATATCTGAAGCACTTTACAGCTTTCCAAAACTCTATTTCAGCTTACAAACTATTTGAAAATCCATTATTACCCTAAACTCAGATGTCTAAAATTCTGTTGGCATTATCTGCCCCCTTCAGTAGAAGATTTCTCTCTCCTTTCAATTTCTCTCAGTGGTGTTGCCATTCAAGCCTGGATGGATGAAAGTTAAGATTTTCTTTGGACCTGCCTAGTAAGAAAGGGAAAAAACCCAGTCATTTCTTAAGCTGTATTAATTATATTTTTGGGGTCTCTATTTTCATTGGTCTTCTTGATTCTTATCACTGTCACCATAGTATGTACAGTATATACAGACTGTCTCATGGCTGTACCCAATACCCTTACCAGTACTGGAGATTGAATGTAGATTCTTGTGATCCATCCCCAGCCCTTACAAAATTATTCTTATAAAACATCACCCTCTCACACACTGTTCAGTCGACTTGAGTGGCCGGGCAGTGGTTCCACACAATGGTGCCAAGGTTCTTAGCATGATATTTAAGACCATTCAGAGTCTGGTTGAGTCCTACCACCCAGCTATCTCTTTACCTTGTCCCAGCTCCTTTGTTTCCCTGCAGCATAGCATTAATTCTCTTGCCTTTCTCCAAAGTCACCTTTGTTTGCACTGTTCTTATACCTGCACTGTCTTTTTCTTTGCTTTTCTCCTAAATTTTTGCCTTACTTCTTCTGCCAATCCTTCTAAGACTGCAGTTTCACTGATTTTTTCTAAACTTTGTGTCCAAATCATTTATTTTATCACTTAAGCAGTAAACTGCATTGCACTTTTTTGTACATTTATATACGTGTTTGTGTCCTCTCAAATTTTCCACCTTCACAGAGGCCAAAAGCTGGGCTGAAGGTGTAGCTCAGTGGTAGAGCACTTGCCTAGCATGTGTAAGGCCCTGGATTTGACCCCTGGGACCTTAAAAGGCAGAAGCTTAAGAGGCCTGTTGATCACTGTTAACTTAGATCTGTGTATGTTACTTTATAATTTCTCTTAAACTAGAAACCAGCAGTTATCTCCAACAAAAGGTTAGTAAGTAAATTCATGTAGTTTGGGTCTTGGATATAATCATCAGAAGTAATCATTTGTTTAGCAAGAGAGTATGAACCAGGGAAGCCATAAGCAAGACCATCCTAGTTGTTCAAACATGAGTTGGGGGGGTAACTTTCATATTGACAGCTTAAGGCCCTGTTGTGCAAGGCCCAGAATATGAACTTTAAGAAGCATTTTTACAATTAAGATAGTTTATTTTGATTTGGATATTAACCATTATAAGAAATTTAGAACTTTCCTTTTTAGGAAAAGTGCTAATTGTGCTTTCTGACTTTTATGAGAAATAAAAATTTAAAAACAAAAAAGTTTTTAGTAGAAAAGTTATACTTCCTAGCTAATATAATAACTTAGGATATTACTAAATAAGTTTATATATGTTTGTCTTAGGGTATATGTTGGAACCAGATCCTGACAAAAGGCCGGATATTTACCAGGTCTCCTACTTCTCATTTAAACTACTCAAGAAAGAATGCCCAATTCCAAATGTACAGGTATGTGTATGGTGCCTTAAGGGGAAGTAAAATTATGAAACTGTCATTTTGAGTTCCTAGGGGTATTAATCAGCTACTTAAATGAATGTAGATGTCCCTTGGTTTATCTGCTAAGAGGCATTAGCAAAGCTAACTATGAAACAGTTGTTATAAAGAGAATCCAATTTTCCTGTGGAATTTAATTATAAACCTCAGGCAGTTACTGGGAAAAAAAAAAAAAAAAGTCCCAGGGATTGAGTTGAAAGCTCTGGGTGAAGAGTGGCCAATTTCTTGTCTTCTTGTCTCACATAGGTCTCTCAGCCACAGCCTGTTGTATTCCCTAGATGTGATCACACTCGGCCTTCCTGAGGCAAGGTCCTGACTTGCCCCTAGGCCTACTGCAGAGGCAGCCCCTCCTCCCTTTTCTTGCTGTGGTGCTTTCTTGATTTTGCTTCTGCTGTTGGCCATCTGTGATCCACATTCATCTTTCTCTACCCTCCCCACACACATTAAACCTTGAGCATGTTTTCTTAGTAATCCTAAACCCTGCACTCAGTTTTTGTAATAAAATGCTTTGCAAACACCTTCTTTATAATCTTGTAGGAATCTTTTTATGTTTTGTTTTTTTTTTGGTACCGGGGATTGAACTTGGGTCTTTGGGTTTGCAAGGCAGGCAGCAGAACCACTGAGCTAAATCCCTAGCCCTCCTTCTTTATAATCTTGGCATTTTTTATGTCATATTGTGATCCAGTTCTCTTAAATATTTTACTGATGGATGCTGTAATAAATAGATTCTAATCTGAAATTTTTTGCTAGTTTCTCTGACGATGAACTTTTGATGGTGCTCTTAGTGCTTCAGGGGTGCTGATAAATAATGCCCTTCGTTCACTACCACATTTGAATCTACAGTGGTGCTCATTCAGATGGCACTCAGAGTCAGAAGACATAGCTTGAGCATTCAGGTTCCCTAACATTAGATCCTTGTGACTGAGATGAAAATGCCTGGTTCCCAAAGGGCAGGCTGTTCAAGAAAGGAAGAAGAGCAGGGTAAACCAGATAAACTCACTGTTTTCTGCCAGTTCTTCTCCCATGGGAAAAGAATGCTGGACAGGTGGAGGAGAAGAGTTTTCTAGTGGAAGTTAGTCCCTCCTGGGGGACTAATATTAGGAAATGAGAAGATGCTCCTAAAAGCCAGCATTATAGCTAGTATTCTGTTTGTCAAGTGACCCAAATTGAAACGAAGGCTATAGTACAGTAACTTTACATGACTGTTGTAAAAATATTTTTTGCAGTCTCATTTTTCCCATCCATACAGTAAATAAATGAAATATAATTGAAAGCATTCAGACTAATAACTAATTTTTAAAAAGTAAATTTTGCAAGTCTCATGTTGTCTTAGTCACTTCCTTCATTGATGTGACACAGTGCCCGACATCCACAACTTAAAGAAGAAGTTCATTTTTCCATCCATGGTCTGCTGGTTCCAAGGCAGAAAGAATGTAGTGGAAGGGTCTAGGCGCACAGCAAAGCTGTTTATGTCCTGGTGACCAGGAAGCTGAGAGAGAGAGAAGAGAGGAGCTGGGGAAGGAGATACCCTATTCCAGGTCACGCCCCTAATAACCTACCTCTAACCAGGCCCCACCTCCCAGAACAAGTCAGCTATAGCACCTCCTTGATTCAGTCACTTTCCAGAAGCTCTGCCTGTGAGCTCATAGGCCTTTGGGGGACATTCTTGATCCAAACCATAACACATGTCATTTGGAACTCTCTCAGGAGTGGTAAGTCGTTGCCTTGTATGATTCAGGACATCTAGCTGGCACTAGCTCGATACATGCCTGTCATCCCAGCTAGATGGGAGAGTGAGACAGGAGAACCACAAGTTCAAGGTCAGCCAGGCCAATTTAGCGAGACTGTACTCAAAATAAAAATAAAAAAGGCTGAGGATGTAGTTCAGTGGTAGAATCCTTGCTTAGCACAAGTGAGGTCTCAGGCGCAATGTCCAGTACTGTAAGAAAACAACAAAAAAACCAAGAAGCAATATTGGGTGGTGCAGAATATAACCCAGAAGAATGCTATTTGGCTTGTGTTTCGAGTAGTGCCTCCTGCATTTGGAAGGGGTGCTGGCTAAGCAGCCACAACCAACAGCAGATGGCACTAGTATCCTCCCAGGATCTTGCCTAGAAGACTGAGTGCACCCTGGTGGTCACCCAAGTCAGCTCTAACTTCTCTGAGATGTCCCTGGCAGGTTGAACAATGCCATCTCTCTTTCCCAATCCTTTTATAACATCTCTTCTAAGATGAGAAGTAGGAAGAGAAGGGACCAAGATCAAGCCCTGGTGAGCTGAGCCTGGTGCAGAAGGGGAAGAGTAATGGGAAGAATGTACTGCATGCAGATTGCTCTCTCATCTTCTCATGCACTTTGTTTCTCTGACAGTGACTGAGTCTTGTATGTATTTGGTTAACTTCTGTTCCCTCTTCCAAGGGGATCAGGGCTGGAAGTCACAATGAAGGATTCTCAAATGTAACATATTTTTGTCAGCCCTGTCAGGCTGTTTATTCTTTTACAAAAAGATCTGTGATAACCATTTCTTGTTTCTCCTTTCAATTCTTTAGAACTCTCCCATTCCTGCAAAACTTCCTGAACCAGTGAAAGCCAGTGAGGCAGCTGCAAAAAAGACCCAGCCAAAGGCCAGGTAAGAAATGCCTTCATGAGCACACATCGTGCTGGAGATACTGCAGCAGCAGAGGAGAATGCCTTGTGTTTCTTGATTCTTATGCTGCCATGACCAGAGGGTGCCCAGAGTGGGAATGGAATCTCTGTCTCCCTTGAGCAGAAATGCCAAGAAGAATATAATGAAATACTGTCATCTACATTTAAAAGAGAATCAAGAACCCTACAGCTGTTTTTCTTCCACAGGAATAACACTGGGGCATTCAGAAATGAGGCCAGGTAGATTTTAAATGTTGCTAGTACAAGTGTCGTAGCATGTGTCCTGGCTTGTGGTTAGCTATGTTCACTACCCTAATCCTCCACCTTCTTTTCCTTCTTCCCTCTATGACTCCAGCCATGTTAGGGAAGTGCAGGAGGAAGCAGCAAGTTGATGAATAGCAAAAGATCTTGTGGGTCTTAGCTTATCACATTCTACGCCACCTAGTGGTTTCTAGAAAACAAGTGCTAAGAAATGATTAAACACCCAAAGATATGATTTGGGGAAATGCCCAAGAGGGGGAGAGAGAGGAAAAAAACAGGGAGAGAGCCAGGAAAGGATGAGAGAACCCACAGAAGGTGCAACGTGACCCAGAGAGAGGAAGGAGAGTGCTAGTTTGAAACCATCACTACACATGTTAGGAGGTCCTTGCTCCAAAGTCAGCCAGCAGAGGAGTCCTCTGTCTTCCAGGAGACTCTGCATTTGGAATATGAGGCCAGGGAGAAACTGATGAGAAACATGGCTTCAGGGTAAACTCTGTGTTGGATTTTTGGAGCACAGCAGCTGAGGCATGTATCTTTCACACTTCCAGTACTGAAGATATGTCAGGCACATCCTCATAGCTGCCATACAAGTGGCAAATTCTGGGACATACCACAGGAGATATGTGTATCCTTCCTTGTCCTTCCAAGGAAATGTCAGAAGTAAACTGTGTCAACAGGATCCTAGATCTTTGTGACTATGCAAATTTTAATAGAACAGTAAAATAATTTTGTATTTTAAAAGCTCTTGAATATTTATAGAATACCCACTATATGCAGTTGCAGGTGTGCCTTTAAAGAAATGTGACGTTTTTTAGCAGACTTGCTTAACAGACGAGCAAAATGTGTTGCTTTGTAGTCTGTTGATTTCTTACAATAAGGCTGCCATGCTCACCTCTTTGGAAATCATTTTGGGGGTTTATTTTAACTAGCTTGGTCTTTTGAATTTAAAGACTTCTTATGTGAGCCCCAAACATATTTATATAGAAGCTAAGCAAGGATCGCTTTCTCTGTTCCCACAAAGCACACTCGTTGAGGTCCTCACAAACTTAACATTTTGGATATGCTATTGTTTATAAACTGATTTCATAGTTATCAATGCATAGACACATTTCCACATTTTACATATAAGGAACCAAAACTGAAAGACATGACATGGCCTTTATCACACAGTTAGTAGAGAGCCAGAGTTCATACATAGTTTCTTTGACTATATCTTATGTTCCTCTTAGGAAAGACCAGTGTGGAGGGTCTCACATTTGGATTTTCACAAGTCTGTTTACTTCCCTCACCCAGTGTATTTTCTTATACCTTTCTCTGTTCTCCAGCATCTCTTCCATTTCCCCTCCCACCTCCCTTCTCCAGGTTGCAGCCTCCCCAGATGTGATAGCTTTAATATGCCCAGTTTTCCATGCAGCACAAGAGCTTCTCTCTAACAAGATGCCAGTGAGAAGTTGCTGTATTCAAGAGGAACATACCTTGGAGTTGTAGAAGTTAGGGAAGAACCTGGGGCCAGCTCCTTTGCTTCCTGTTTCTTGTTTCATGGAACCTGTGTCAGACATGTTTTGGAAATACTCATGAAGCTTGTTTATTTTGGCCTTAACCTCAGTTGTATTCCCTAAAGTGTTAAGTTCAAAGAACGGTTGACCCATCAGAGTTAGCCAGCTGCCTGGACTACTATAAATGAATGAAAGTTAGCATCTAGACTTCAGCACCATCACAAGGAGTAAGTAGACGACACAGCAGTTCTCCTTGCATTAGTTTAGATTAGGTATAGCTGTTACAGAAAGTTCAGTGTAACAGCGGTGTATGGAAGTTTTTATTTTTTTCTCAGAACTTATTACTTCCAGTTCCCACATTGGATTCACTCATTTGCCTGCTGTTCATTGTAGAGAGACCATTTTGACAGCTACGAGTTCAAACAGTGTTTCAGTTCCTTCTGTATGGTGAAAACCACCTGCCTCAAACTCCTCTTTGTGTTGTCATCCAGCATGTATTCTGGGAAACCCTAGGAAGTATTGGGTAGAAGGGTCCTGACTCAGCAACTTTCCTTGTCCCTGACACAAAATACCCAGTACAGTATCTACAGTTTAAAGGAGGAGAAGTTTATTTTGGCCTCCCAGTTCAGAAGTTTTAGTCCATGTTTGGCGGGTTTAAACACAGAAATGGCATGGCAGAAAGGCCTGGGCAGAGAAAAGCTGTCACATCATGGCAGCTGGGAACTAGAGAGTGAAGGAAAGAGCCAGACAAAGAGAGACACCCCTCCAGGTCAAACCCCAGGGCCCCACCTCTAACCAGGCCCTACTCCTAACAGCAAGTCAGCTGTAGCACCCCGTAATTTAGTCACCTTCCAAAAGCTCTGCCTGTGAGTCCATGATGCTCTTGGAAGTCGGGTGGTTCTAGATACAAACCATAACAGGTCCAAAGAGCAGATAAGCTTAAGAAACATATCATTCTATATAGTATTCTCCTTGAGATTCACCCACTACCTTTATACATGAAAAATTCTGCTGGAAAGAAATCTGCTCTGTATATTTTGGTTAGTGTATTAAAAATTTATTTGTCCACCAAACATTTTTTCAATACATTTAGTAACATCATAACATTCTGTGGTCCATCTTTTGGAAAGAGTTGATTAAGGATATCCAAAAGGTGTGGAGAAGAGTTGAGGGGAGTGCATGGTGTACTCTGCCCACTCCTCTTATTTTCCCACAATTTAACTTGAATGAACTTCTTTTTTGCTTTTCATTTTCTAGACTGACAGATCCCATTCCCACCACAGAGACTTCAATTGCACCCCGCCAGAGGCCTAAAGCTGGACAGACTCAGCCAAACCCAGGAATCCTTCCCATTCAGCCAGCCCTGACGCCTCGAAAGAGGGCCACAATTCAGCCTCTACCTCAGGCTGCAGGTTAGTAACTAGATTGGTTGGCAACTTAGTATGTATCTTTATTATGGAAGTGTTGGAAAACCTGGCTGTGCTTTCGAAATGGAATCCAGAAGCACATAAAGAATTGAGGTGAGCCACCGTTGAAATTTATGGCAAGTGGCTGCAATGGGAAGACCTCTCATTGTATTCTCAGGTGGATCTTAAAGACACTGGAGTCTGCTGTCTCTGTTTTTTTCTTCTTGGTCCTAATTTTGTAGGTTGGTCTTTTCATCCTATACTACTTTTTTTTTTTTTTCTGTGGTACTGGGGATCAAACTCAGGACCTTGCACTTGCTCAGCAGGTGCAGCACCACTGAGCTAAATCCCCAGCCCATTACTTCTTTGTTTCATATATTTCTCCTTGCTTATAATAAAACTTGGCTCACCTGTTTTTGACACTCACAGAGGAATATTGTTTTTTCCATGCTTTGTGTCTTAAAGTATCTGTCACCCCTTCTCCACCTTTTCATGTTCTGTTTCTAATGAGATTAGTGAGCTGTGTGTTTCCTAAAGAGGATTGATCCAGAGTATTAAGTAACTGCACACAACCCTCACTCCCCCTACAGGAAGCTGCTTCTGGTGAATTTGGTGACCCATCTACTCACAACCAGGCATCCACGTGGGGGTTGTGTAAGCTACATAGAAATCATCAAAGAATGCTTTTGTTGTGCACCACACAATCTGGTGTAGAGATTGTGTTGATGTATGGTAGCATCATCACCGGTTGACTATGTAGATACTCAGGGTGTAGACTACAAGAGTATAAATGTGATGATTGGTAAGGGAAGACTTTCTGAAGGAGCCAAGTATTGAATCTTATTATTGAACCCTGCTTTGAAAAAAACTGAAGCACATAGTGTTTAGCAAGAAGATGGAAAGACCTTTCAGGTTGTACAGAGCATGTGGAAAGACATTGAGGAGCACATGGATCTTGGAACATGCTGCTTATTTATCATCCCCTCTTTACTGTTTTGGCAAGTCCGAAAGCAGCTTGTGTCTGGAAGTTGTGAACCCTGATACAGCGTTTATTCTCATTGCAGGACCCAGCAATCAGCCTGGCCTTTTGGCCAGTGTTCCCCAACCAAAAGCCCAACCCCCACCCAGCCAGCCTCTGGCACAGTCTCAGCCCAAGCAGCCACAGGCTTCACCCATCCCTCAGCCCACACCTTCCACCCAGGCCCAGGCCACACCCCAGCACCAGCAGCAGCTCTTCCTCAAGCAACAGCAGCAGCCACAGCAACTGCAGGCACAGCAGCAGCCGCAGCAGCCGCAGCCACAGCAGCCAGCAGGCACATTTTACCAGCAGCCACAGCAGCAACAGACCCAGACTCAGCAGGTAAGATGGTTAAAGTGTGACCCACACTTTGCAAAGCTGTGTCATGACAGTCAGAAGGCCCACTAGGTACGAGTACCTCCCTTAGGAGGGGCTGAGATGAGAACGCAATTAACCATGACATCATTTTTCTTTTCTTCTTTTTTTGGGGGGGAGTACCAGGGATCAAACTCGGAAATTTGCATTTGCGAGGCAGGCAGTGGAGCCCCACTGAGCTAACTCCCCAGCCGCGGCCCCCATGATACAATTTTTATTGTATCTTTTAAGTCCTCTTTTATTCATAGGTTCCCTCTCCTTTATTTCCTTCCTTTTCCATTTATGTTTTAAAGAAACTGGGTCATTTGTTCTGAAGCATTTTCTGCATTCTGGATTTGGCCAGGTTGTCTTGTGGTGCCGTTTGTTAAGATGTTCCTCTATCCTCTGTGTAAACGTATTTCTTGAGTCCTGCTCAGTGTTTAGTTCAGCCTCACGGTTCTGTGTTCTTTATTTGTTACATGACAATACGAGGCCAGTGATGTCCTCTTTTTTTGTTAATATCAAGACCAGTGTATTTAAGTGTTGTCTGTCTTAACCATTTTTTCAGTGTTCATTGGCTTAGCATCCATTGTTGATTATTTCCTAAGTATTAATTCACTTGGGTTGGCAAAATGATATTCTAGCTTTCCCTCTTCATTTGGGGCTGGAATTTTTCTATGAAGACTTTTTTTTTTTGGTACTGGGCATCGAACTCGGGTCCTTGCGCTTGCATAGCAGGCAGTGAAACCACTGAGCTAAATCCCCGGCCCATGAAGACTTTTTTTTCCATCAACTATTTAGTTGCCTGTGGTAATTTGCACAGAATAGGCAAGAAAAATGCTGTATCCATTCCCTTTGTTTACTACTTTTCAGAAAGATGAGTTTGTTCACTGTATCATCCAAAGGTGACAATGAGGTTTTTGTTTTGTGTTATCATAAATTCATGGATTTTAATGTACTTCATATCTTTCAATACATTGCAATTTTTAAAAAACTTATTTATTTTGATGTTCAAATTGTCCTAACTTTGGCCAGGGAAAGTTCCTTCAAATTGTCTTCTGGGTCCTTTGGATGAGATTTCAGGAGTCTTTAATGATTCTCTTGCCATCAAGCATAGCAGCTTGTTCTACGATCATTGTGCCTCAACCTGGAAGCATCCATTTGTCTAAGGAGCTGTTTGTTTTAGATAGAAGTGATATTTAGAAACCATAGTTTGGTGCTAGAGATACTCACTAATGAGTGTGTGGTTGTGTTTAGGCTATTTTAAGGAACAATTAGAAAATGTGTTTTGTTTTATTAGAAAATACATGTCATGAATTCAGTTATACTTTTAATTCAGATTTGTAATTATAGGATTTGTGCTTAGCTTCTTGGACTTTGTTGTGTTTTTCTTATCTGAGAATCTCGGGGCCTGACAGCATTAACATAATTAATTAATTGGTTTTTAGCTTCAGGATAATCATAGCAATATGATTACTTAAAAAACAATTTAGGATTTATCTTCCCTTTTTACCCTTAGAATGCTTAGCACATTATTTTCTGGGGAGTACACCAATTTTATGGAAAGGTTTATTTGCTTCATTTTGCTTTTGCCTTTTATTTATTACTTTAAAATTTTTGGTTTAATTTTGTTTTTAAAATATGCAAATCATACATAGTTTAACAGTTAAATCTACAAAATTCTATCCTTTTTAATCCTTAAGTAAAGGTATCCCTCGTTCCTGTTTATAACTTGAGAACATCCATTTGATGCCCCTCAGGATTTGTCATAGTTTATTCAGTCTCCTCAACATTTGGATTGTTTCCAGCATTTTGCTGTTATAAATAGGCAGCTATTTTGACACCTGCTTCTTTTGTTAACCCTTCAACTTTGCCCCAGTAGATAAACAGTATCCTCTCAATTAACTCTCTAATGAAGTAACAGAATTTAGGGTGTTCGAAAACAAGATTTTGACTTTTATTCACCTTACTTTGAATAGGCCCTTATTTTGAGTTCTATTTGTGTGCACATGGCACATAGTCCCTAGCAGTGGGGATAAGAGGGACACAAAAAATGTGCACAGATGTGGACATAAAACTGGGCACAGTGGTGCATCCATAGTCCTAGGTACCTGGGAGGCTGAGGCTGGAGGATTACTTGATTCCAGGAGCTTGAAACCAGTCTGGGCAACATAGCAAGACCCTCTCAACAACAGCAATAAAACAGACATGTAGGGAAGTTGAGGCAGGAGGATTGCTGGAGCCCACAAATTCAAAACAAGCCTTGGCAATACAGGAAAGACCCTCCCCACCAATCTTAAACAAAAAAAAGAGAGAGAAGAAGAGGAGCAGGAGGAGGAAGAAGTGGTATCATAGAGTATACTAAACATGTTGAATGTGTGGTTGGCTTTCATAAAGATAGGTCTATTGGGAAATAATTTTGAGAAAGGATTGAAAGGATTGAATAACTGGGCTGACATTTAGGTTATTCTTTTCAGTGTCATCATTGCTTTATTCTCCTCACACAGGGAATAATTTTAATCTTGGCTGCTTCAAAACGCTTTATAGGAAGAATTCCTTCCGTCCTTGAATGATCAGTTATTTGTTTATGTTATGGTGGAGTCACATAATGTTCATCAGGGAGCTTCCCTTGGGCTAAGCCTGGAAACCCTTGGGAGGCCAGGTTAGCACAGTAGGAAGGGCCTCACAGTATAAGGTAGTGCTGGATTTATTCAGTCCCTTGATGTTCCCGTCATGAGTTTTCAGGCCTGGCCAGAAAACTTCTGCCTGCCCTTGTCTTTACCTTCAATGCTGGGTCTCCCTTGTTATTGAGGCACTCAGTTGTCATTTTTGAACATGGTTCTGCAGTAAGTTCTTGCTCTCCTCCTCATGTCTTGCCTTTCTCTCCTGCTCAGTTCCAGGCAGTACATCCAGCAAGCCAGCAAGCAGCAATTGCTCAGTTCCCTGTGGTGTCCCAGGGAGGCTCTCAGCAGCAGCTGATACAGAACTTCTACCAGCAGCAGCAGCAACAGCAGCAACAGCAGCAGCAGCAGCTGGCCACAGCTCTGCACCAACAACAGCTGATGACTCAGCAGGCTGCCCTGCAGCCCAAGACCGCAGTGGTGGTCCCGCAGCCCCAGGCACAGCCAGCTGCAGCCCCACAGCCAGCCCCTGCCCAGGAGCCTGCGGTAAGAAGCAGCCAGGGCTCAGCCCAAAGGCAGAAGAAGGCTGTGGAGTGAGGGCTAGGGAAAGGGCCAGGAGCGAGGCAGCAGCAGCTGTGAGGGGGCCTCCTACTGCTTAAAATATTAGATCTTTTCTTGACATCCCAGAACAGTGTGAGGTATTCCACAGAAAGTAGTGCTTTTAAAAAAAATGATTGTAGGCTGCTGATGAAGAGGAACATTCTTGTTTATCACCATGAAACTAGGCTGCTAGAAAAAGCTGTTCGTTGACTCTTTTCAGTGCCACTGTGGAACACTCAAGGATCTAGGATTAGAACTAACCTCTTTCCCTTCTTCAAGGGCCAGTTTGATCCGTTATGCCCTTCCCAGTCTCTGGAGGTTTACCTGGGCTCCGATCCTTATGCTGAGTCCCTGTACTGTTGTGTGTATTCTTTGTCTTGAATGGCCTTACTAGCTACATCATCTTAAGTCTACGATGCAGCACCCTTTAAGGGTCTGCTTTCCTGAGACCATTTACCATGGCACAATAAGCATCTGCATGTCCAGTCATCAGAGCATCCTGTCAATTTAGAAATAGGATATGTTCACTTTTAGATAATGGCTGAATATAACATCAGAGCCTTCTTCTGATTGACCTCTAGGTTTCAGCATAGTCAGGCACTTTTGCTTTGGCTGTTAATAAGTGACCTTTATTCTAGACTCAGAGTTTTCTGAGTAATCATGTTAGAAAATTCTACAGTAATAGAGAAAAGCAATTTGCATACCTAGCAATAGAGCATCACAGCTACTCTTTTATTCCTAGGGAAGTCCAACTACTAGATGAATGAAGGAAAGGTAAGAAGCCATCTTTCTGAGGATTGATTTCGAATAGGGTTGTGTCTCCCAACTTAAACTGGAAAACCTCCATCTCTTCAAAAGGAAGCAGTACCAGAAATAGGTTGTCTTTTGTAAATCTCAGCTGGTGTGTGTTCAGTGTCTTTACACCTTTATTCCTGAAACAGCGCAGTCTTCCAGCAGTTGTGTGGTAGACAGTTACTGTTTATATTTTTAACAAAAGAACGTTCTCCTGATTAGTGGAAAAAGGTTTTGAAAAATTATTATATGAAGTAGCTAGCTATAAGGGGAGGAAGGGTACCTGAACAATTTAGGCTGAAGATTGAACTCAGTACCTCTGGCTCCTCAGCCATTTTAAACTTTTTTGTTTTGAGACAGGATCTCACTAAGTTACCTAGGCTGAGCTCAAATTTGTGATCCTCCTATCTCAGCCTCCCAGAGTTCTGGGATTACAGGCATACACCACCATTCCTGACTTAGAAGGATCTTAATTATCCAGTTTTATCTCCGTATTTTATGGAATTGGAAACTGAGGCCAAACTAGAAAGTGACTGCCCAAGGCATACAGAATGGCAATAATAAAACTAAGACAAGAACCAAAGAATCCTGATCTGTGTTTGTCCAGGATGATGACTTGACCAACTGATACTGATTATACTTCTTATGAGGTTCCCCTCTGCTTTCCCTGGACAAAGTGTCCTCTGTCTTAGGAATGAAGCATAAATCTCCACATTTCCTGGATGAAAGAGCACTTTGTGCTCTGGGGTAGTTGGTTTAGGGGATGTGGAACAGACTGTTCCAGCCAGGAGCCATAGAACTGTCCATCTTTGCCCATCCCCATCTTGCCGACTCATGAGGTGCTGGGGATGTAGCTCATTGGTAAGAATACTTGCCTAGCATGTGTGAGGCACTGGGTTCCATCCTCAGTACTGCAAAAAAGGATAACAAAATAGAGAAGCAAGTGAGTGAATTTGAAGAACACCCTGTGGCATCTTGAAGCAATAATTGGCAAAGGGAGAATGGCCATCTGCCCTCAGTGTTCATTGCACTGTTATTAATAATAGCCCAAAGATCGAAACCACCTAAATTGTTCAGGAGCCCAGCTGGGCAGCCATTAAAAATCATGGTTATAAAGTCTGTATAATTGTATGGAAAAAATGCTCATAAGGTAATGTTAAAAGAGTTGTGAAATAGGAATAGGTATGTACTTGAAAAGAGGCATCTTTAAGGCACCACAAAGATAAGAATAGTAGTGGTGAAATGGTATACTCTTCTCTATATTCTAACATTTTTTGATGTGATTATACTTTTATAATTACATATTTTGTGGTTTTTGGGGGGTTTTTTTGGTACCAGAGATCGAACTCGGGACCTTGTGCTTGTGATGGAGGCGCCGGAAGCACTGAACTAAATCTCCGGCTATATCTTGTGTTTTTAAGTCTTCTGCAAGATAGGTGCCAGAGTATCCTTTTTAGCATTTCTCCCATGATCTGTCTCTTTTTGCTCCACCTTCCTAATCCTGTCTTTGGATAAGGAAGTATCATGGTGTTGAAGAGTCCTAAGAGGCATGGATTCTTCTTTCAGGTCATCTTGTGACCTTGAATGAGCCCTTAGCCTCAGTGGGCTGTGGTCTCTTCCTCAAGTGGAGGCATTGGGATCATCTCTGACATCCCTTTCAGCTCACGTTCTTTGATTCTAAATGGAAATAAAACTGCCTAACAGATTTATTGTGAGCAGTAACCAAACAAGTTACAGCTGCTTTGTATTACAGATTGAGTCTTCTTTGTCCAAAATATTTGGGACTGAAAATGTTTCAGAGTTTGAAATATTTAATACAAATGAGATATCTTAGGGATAGAACCCAAGTCTAAACACGAAATTTATTTGTTTCATATGTACTTATACATGAAGCCTGAAGGTAATTTTATACAGTTTTTTTAGTGCACTTGTGTTTTAACTGCCACCTGTCATATGAAGTCAAATGTGTTATTTTCTGTATGTGGCATCATGTTGGTGCTCAAAAAAGTTTGAATTTTGGATCATTTGGGATTCCAGATTTTTAGATAAGAAATGTTAAACCCGAGGGGAAGGAGAGGTAAAAAGATTTGATATATCTGTACATGTACCACATACCCACAATGAATGTAAACATGAACTAAAAATTTCAAAAAAATAGCAATAATAATGAAAATGGGGAAAGGGGATTTATAGAGGGAGTAAAGTGGGTGAGGAGGGGAAGGAGATTAAAAGAGAATCAAAGTATGTTATGTACATGCACCTACTTGCTAAGATAAATGTAAACTTCGTATACTGCAAACATGTAGTAATAAAATAAAATTTAAAAAAATAAATAAAGGAAATATTCAACCTGTGGTTGAGCTGGGGATATAACTCAGTGTGGTACAGTGCTTGCCTAGCATGCATGAGGCCTGGGTTCCATCCCCAGCATGGGGGGGGGGGGGGGTCGGGGATTCACCCTGTAGTAGATTGCTGGTGAAGGGGAAAGTGATATCTGCTCTTCAGTGTGCTGCATGTAGAGAATAGGTAAGAGGAGGGAAGATGTTCTCCAAGTATTATGGCTCTTCATCATAAATGGATCAACAGTGAATTATACTTTTCAGAGTAATGAATGTCTTGTGAGATTAGCCAATCCACTCTGTCCTCAAAGCTCTCTGGCCCCTGGAAATGCTGGCAGGTGCAGCTCTGGACCCCTAGAGGATGTTGTGGAGCCAGAGCTCTTGTCTTCACAGAGCACTCTGCTTCTCCCTCAACAGGGCAGCTCTATTACCCTTCTTGTCTTAGTTTGATTGGTACTAAAATATTTCTGTTTTATCATTCAGTCTGTTGGTGAAGTGGTTGGCATACTAGTACAGGTAAATGAGTGTTCCAAGTCCTGAGGACCACCTGTGTCATAAGCATCCTGACACAAGTAGCTGGATACTCTGAGGCTGGTTCCTCAGCTCTCTCAAGACCTGCCTGTGGAGAAGCAGAATGTGGGAGCTGAGCCACAGTGTATAATGCAACTCCAACCTGAAAGGAGGGAGTGGGAGAAGGAATGGTTAAGTCCCAAGGCATCTGATACCCTATGCCAGTGATGGCGAACCTTTTAGAGCTTTCAGAGATAACAAACAGCCTGCTGTGGCATGCGTGCCATAGGTTCACCACCACTGCCCTATCATTTTATCTCTAGGTTGACAGAATAAAGGGAAGGCTCCTGTCTAAACATTTTATTGTTCACTTTCCTTGATACAGGTGGCTTATACTTAAGGACCATGCATGTTGTCACAAAGAGGTTTCCACTTGTTTATTATTCTGTAATTTGGCCTTCATTCTGAAAATGGCCCACATCTCAAGAGTCCTTGTGTTGTTAGTTCAGTCATCAAAAAGTATTTTTTCTTTCTTGTATTTTCTGCTAGCTCTTCAATAATGTTCCTAAGCTGAAGATTAGAACAAGCAAACTTCACTAAACCACTGTTGTACATTTTCTCAGAGGTTGCCACATAAATAAGATCTTATAGACCCATCCTATCAATGAATGAAGAGCCTTAATCACAGAACAAAAGAAGTACTACCATATTGCAGTCACAGTAGAATTTTGTCTAAGTCACTACTGACTGGCAGCCTTGGCGATGCCTGAGAGTCAGGGCCTCTTAGCAGAAATCGTTCAGCTTAAATGCATTGTAGCTGGAAGCATGTCTTCTTTGACTTCTGACGGCAGTAAATGGTAAAATTAATTGCCTGCTCTTTGGGTGCATTTTGAACAAGTCACTGTGACCCCAGAAGCAGAAGGAGGTCCTTTCAGAAAGATGCAGTCTTGATCTTTAGAGCTAAGAATACTCTTCTGCAGGCTTAAGCTCTGAGCTAGATTGATGTGGTTACCCTATATATTATTACTGCTCGTGAAGACTCAATTTATATGTAAGTACCAGGCAAATACCCTGTTGGTATCAGTCTCTTGAGTGGCGGCTCAGATTGTCAGAGCTTGTTTTTGTCTTTCTAAATGTTATCACTAAACTTAGCCACTGGAGTCCTATGTTAGCATTCATGTGGCATTTTTTGTTATGCTTAAGCGTTTGTTTTCCTTTTCAGAGAAAATAATGAAACACTTTCCATCTCTCTCCCTAGCAGATTCAAGCTCCAGTAAGACAACAGCCAAAGGTTCAGACAACTCCACCTTCTACCATCCAGGGGCAGAAAGTTGGATCTCTCACTCCTCCATCATCCCCCAAAACTCAGCGTGCTGGGCACAGGAGAATTCTCAGTGATGTAACGCACAGTGCAGTCTTTGGGGTCCCTGCCAGCAAATCGACCCAGCTGCTCCAGGCAGCTGCAGCTGAGGCCAGTCTAAATAAGTCCAAGTATGTGGCGCTTCCCCTTTGTTCTTCTTATCCTGTGGGCAACATCTCCCCTAGGCTGTTATTGTGTGGTTCTTTGCATAAGTATATGTGTGTGTACATAAATGTATAGTAGTGAATGTCTGTATTTGAAAAAAACTAGGCATTTGTCTGTAGTATAAAGCATGCAATTGTATGTGTACCAGACTGATCATAAGAAATAATTTCCAACTTGGCCCACTGTTTTTGTTGTCTCATGTGTTTCATGCTCTGCAGAGTACAGTATTTTCTAAACTCTCGATCTGACTCATCCTCTCCATGCTGAAAGTCTTTCATTTGCCCCCATTGGTTATAGGATGATATCTGAACCCGCTGATTACCTCAGCAAGCCCTGTTATACACACTCATGGACTTTCTACCTTCATAAACCCTTGGCTTAATTTGTGATGTCTCCTGGGATTGCTGTTCTCCTTGTCCCCAAAGAAATGCTCATTTATTCTTCAAGATCCATGTCAGAGATAACCTTTTCTTTAATCTTTCCTTTCATATCATTTTATCTGATTTTTTTGAGCATGTATCACATTGCTTTATCATTAATTATTTGTATGTCTGGCTGACATAACCTATGAGTTCTGCAAGACAAGGATTTTGTTTTAGTCAACCTATTTATTTATTTTTGGTACCGGGAATCAAACTCACGACCTTGCTTTTGCAAGGCAGGTGGCGGTGCCACTGAGCTAAATCCCCAGCTAGTCAACCTTTTTAAACACAGTGGCTGGCTCTGTGCCTAATATAAAGTTGATTTTAATGAGGGTTGATTGAGTAAATGCGTTTTCACACCCTCAACTATCTTGAAATCATATATTCTAAAGTTGAAAAATCATTAAGTCAAAGGAGACTAGAAGAAAATTAAATAATGATATCTAAACAGAATAGTGGTAACTGTCTTTATATCTTCTTGTGGTGGTGGGTCTTAATGCTGAGCATGCTAGATCCTGAAAAATGAAAGGCATCCTAAATAGATCTTAGTTCTAGCCTGTCAGAAATCTGTTGGGGTAGTTGTTAGGATCACCAAAGGATACACAAGCCTAAAAACATGTTGCTGAGGGATCCTGAACTAAAGGGCCTTGCAGATGAGACTGAAAACTAAGCAGGAGATTAAAGAAGTAGTGGAAGACATAGGAGTTATGAAGGAAAAGAGACGCTAATTTCACAGAGTGGAAAGGGAGTATGTAGAAACTTCAGTTTTAGTATAAAGCCCTTTTAGGTAAACAGTGAAAAGTGATATTTTGACTTAGGAAAGGATTTGATCCTGGAACCAAGAGAAAATAGTTCGGCCCTTTTTGTTTTGTTCAATTTTTATATGCTTTTTTATTTCATGGGGGTGGGAACCTACCTAGGTCTGCAACCACCACTCCATCAGGCTCTCCTCGGACCTCCCAGCAAAATGTCTGTAATCCTTCAGAAAATTCTACATGGAATCCCTTCGATGATGACAACTTCTCCAAGCTCACAGCTGAAGAACTGCTGAACAAGGACTTTGCCAAGTTGGGGGAAGGTGAGGAAGTCATATCTTTTTTTTTTTCCTACTTTTTTATCAGTGCATATTGATCATACAGATTAATGGATTTCATTTGTGCATGCACATAACATATTTTAATCATTCATCTCTCCCATCACCCATCTCACCCCACACTATCCCCTAGTTTCACCTTTTGGAGGGAGTGGTTCCAATGTGTATAGTGTATTTTGGTGGTTTTTTTGCTTAAATTCTTTTATTGGTACATTTTAGGTATACAATACATTTACATTTATCATTGGGTGCTTGTACCTGTACATGATGTATCTTGGTTCTTATTTTTTCCCCATTATCTGTGCGCCCTTCACCCCTCCACCCTTCCCTATTTACATACTTCATTCATATAGTGTATTTTGATCATGTTTACCTGCTGTTTCCTATCCCTGACCCCCCCCCCCACACACATTGCCTTCCTCTTACCTAGTAATAGTCTCCTTTCCTGTCATCTTTCTAGATTCCACATATTAGGGAGAACATGCAATATCTGTCTTTCTGAGTCTGGCTTATTTCACTCAACATGACGATTTCCAGATCCATCCATTTTTTTGCAGATGACAAAATTTTATTTTTTGTGGCTGAATAATACTCCATTGTGTATATGTGCCATTTTTTCCCCTTTATCCACCTATCTGTTCTTAGGCACCTAGGTTGGTTCCATATCCTGACTATTGTATATTGTGTCACAATAAACATGCTAGTATCCAGGTATCTGACTTTAATACCTTTGGGTATATGCCAAGGAGTGGTATAGCTGTATCAAATAGTAGCTGTATTTTTACTTTTTTGAGGAACCTCCATACTGATTCCATAGTACTAATTTACATCCCCACCAGCAGTTTTAGAAGGATTCCTTTTTCCCATATCCTTACATTTATTGTTTTTTTGTATTCTTGATGGTAGCCATTCTGACTGGCGTGAGATGGAATCTTAATGTAGTTTTGATTAGCATTTCCCATTCAAGTCTTTTTCTGTAATTCTTGGTTGTGAATTTTCTGTACTCAGAAATAAGCAAAAGTTAGAATGAATTTTGGCTCTAGAGGGATGTGCTTGTGCACATGTCAGCTTGGGCCTGATCCTCAAAGGCTTGATTTCCAGGGATGCAAACGAACCAACTTTTATTTTTATCACAGTACTGAAGTCTTTTCATCTTTAGGAAATCTTGACCTGTTGTAGGTGGCAGCAAGGAGAGATACTTTTTTTAAAAAAAAAGAGTAATTATGTTTATTTAGGGAAAAAAATAGCATTGCAATGGAAATAATGCATGCTGTGTAACAAATCATGAGCACATTTAAGGAGGTTGAGGCAGGAGAAGGTTATTAAAGGTGAAATGAGAAGAGTTATGTAAGATATCTTGAAACAGTATATTTGACCAGAAGCATTAATAACAAGGGTGATACCAGTCTGAGCTTAAACAGACAACTGCTGGGCAGATGTCTTTGCAGGAGTATTTTTTGTGAAAGGTAGTGGTGGCCTTGTGCAATGTTGTAGATGCATCAGTCTTTTGTGACTAGTCTTTGAGTTCTTGTTAGCAGCCATATATAAAGAGACCTTCTCCTTCAAAGCTTCCAGTTTATTTTTTTGTTAGAATTGACACAAACAACTCGTTTTATTCTTTTTTTAAAAAAATAATAGTACACATTGCATACTTAATGCTTAGATTCATCATGGGGAGTTGGTAGGTGCACATAACATAACTCAATTCTTTCATCTCCATCCCCTCCCCTTTCTCCCTCCTCCCGCCGTCTCTTGGTCCCTTTTCCTTTTGCAAAAGACCTATCTCCCTATAGAGAAGAAACTTTTAGGAGTGATTCAGTGGCATAAAGCAGGATAATGCTGTTAAGCAGAGTTACTCCTTGGAGAGGTATGATGATCTCCTCCTCCTCCTAATTGGTTTTATCATCCCAGAAAGTAGTGACTGCTTGTCCATGAAAGTGTGCCTTCAAATGGATGCTGAATCTCTATGATCATAGTTCTGTGTTACTATTGATTGACACAGAAAGGAGATTTTTGTAAATCAAAGATGAAATTCTGGTTGGATATGCTAGTGCATGTTTATATTCCCAGATACTTGGGAAGCTGAGGCAAGAGAGCACCTTGGCAAGGCCCTGTCTCAAATAAAATAATAAAAATGCTGGGTTGTAGCTCAGTGGTAGAAATCTCGCCTAGCATGTGCAAGGCACTAGATTCAATCTCTACTACTACCAAAATATAAAGAGATACACTTTTCCCCTCAAAATTCACAATCTAATATGGAAGGCAGGACACATACGCACTTCCACACACTTTGGAACAATAGGTGCATCTGAGAAAATTCTCTGATATGCATTTGGAAAAGAGTGCCCTCAGTTTACACAAGAACACAGAATAAAGAAGTGGTCAGAATCAAGTGAATGATTTGAACTGTTGACCAAACATGTTAGCTTTGACTGTTATTTTATAGCAATGTTTAAGAACCCATATTACTTTCTGGCTTTTTAAACAGAAGATAAGGACATAGGGTTTGACTTTCTTTGATAACCCACTTTTGATGTTGTTTGTACCAGTTCTTGTTCTGCACCATAAATGGAAATACCTTTAAGGATTACTGGAAACTAGTTTTTTTGTTCCTAACTAGCTCCCAAATTTAAAAAATTCTCCTCTTTTTAATAATTTCCTGTCTCTCTTCTTGCTGTTCATCTCTTGGCTTTCACATAACACTACTGCCATTATACCTGTCCTTCATAACATCTCACTACTGCCATCTCCACCACCACCTCTTCTCCTTTCCTAAGCTGCTTCCTACATGGAGCACAGATCCATCATCACATTAGAGTTACATAAAAATAAGATTCTAAATAAGGGCTGAAGGCATTCTGATCTGAGGAATGTGCTCGAGTTGTGAGGCTTTAGTTCTGGGGTCTCTCATTTCTTTTTCTTTTCATTTACTTGTCTTTAAAAACATCTTAATTTGTTATAATACATATATAACATAGTATTTGCCATTTTAACCATTTTTAAGCATCTAATTCAGTAGAGTTCACTGTTGCACAACCCCTCTCCAGAACTTTTCTTATCTTGTAAAACTGATATACAGTCTCTTGATTCTTAAGTTTCATTCCTTTTCTTAGTTATTGCGGTGATTAAAAAAGGACCTTTGAATAGCCCAGGTGTTGTCATAGTACAGTGAAAGGAGTCCAGTGTAGAAGGCAGTCAGAGATTGCCCTGCAGCCGTACCATATGTGTGCCCCTCAGGATTCTGCGAGAATGAACCCAGCAGTGCTTTGTCCTTCCAGGCAAGCATCCTGACAAGCTTGGTGGCTCAGCAGAGAGTTTGATCCCAGGCTTCCAGGCGACCCAGGGTGATGCTTTTGCCACTTCCTCGTTTTCTGCCGGAACTGGTGAGTATGGAACATAGCCAAGACAGGAGACTCACTGTTGCCATCCAACACTGTTTTCTTCCCCTCAGGTAGCATTAGCACACTGGGGAACCCTGCCCCGGGCAGTAACTCCTGTCTTCCCTCATTCAAAAGTTGTCAGTAAAAAAGAACAGAGGAAGAGCTAGGATCACTTTGAATGAAAGTGGTGAGAGTGATCTGTCAGTAACGTGCAGGGCTTGTTCTCATTAGGCTAGGACATGGCATAGTCAGTGTTTCTGAATTTGAGGAATGGCACTCTGGTGATCTTTTGTCATGCAGAGATTCTTTAGGACAACATGAGGAATTCTGAGAATTAGATTTTCTGTCTGATATCTAGAAACTCTAAGCTGTGTTTATTTGTGTGTTTGCTTTGAGGGTGAGGAAGATATTTTTAATGAGTTTTTTATTATAGAAGCAATAATATGAGCCTTATTTTCCTCTATATTAATTATACATTCTATATTACAAATTATACATGTTTATCACATATCCCCCATGATCTCACCACCGAGATATATGCAGGGTTACAGTATTGATGTCTGTTAGGCACTAACACACTCATGACAGGGCCATAATTTGTGCGCCTCGCTGCCAGGGGGCTGTGATTTGAATTCTATTGTCTGAGGTTAAACAGCCCAGTGAGACAGTCATGCACGTACTACTGCTGGTTCAGGCTGATGGCAACATGCTAATCTTTTTAGAATCATGGATATCTTTATGAATCTGGTGAAAGTTATATATCTCACTCACCAAAATGGATGTGACCACAGTTTGTACAGTTTTAGGCCTCACCTAAGATTGATGTATATATAGTCATACTTTAAAACCTAGTTTTTTCACTTACTAAATGTGACTTATTTCCCCATGCTAATTAAAGAAGGTCCTAAGTGTTACTTTTAAAATATCTACATTATAACCAAGCATGGTGGTGCATGCCTGTAATCTCAGCACTCAGACAGCTGAGGCAGGAGGATCACTGTGAGTTCAAGGCCTGCCTGAACTACATAGTGAGACCTTATCTCAAAAAAAACCACTAAAAAATTAAAAAATAAAATATCTACATTAAATTTCTTTAAGTAGCTACTAATATATTTAAATAAGTCCCTCATTTCTTAAGATATTATCTTATGTTCAGTGTTTTACTATTGTAAACGCTTTTGCAGTGGATGATCATTTTTTTTCTTATTACTTTTCAGGAGCTCTACTTATGTATAGTAAACGTCTTCCTCAGTCTGTCATTTTTACTGAGTATGATCTCATCTGACCCTAACAGCCCTTGAAAATGGTTTATGTATGAGCCCTACATTATTACAGCCAAGGTGACTGAGGCACAGAGCGTCCCTTTTCCAGGGTTACCTGCTAGCAAGTGGCAGAGCTGCCTCTCAGGTTTTCTGCCTCTTAATAAGGCAAATTTAGTAATTTTCTTTTTCTAGAAAATCATCTATAGTTTCAGGATTTTAAAATTAAAATAGAACATTGGCCAGGGATTTAGTTCAGTGGTATTGTGCCTGCCTTGCAAGCACAAGGTCCTGAGTTCTATCCCCAGTACCATAAAAAGAAAAAGTTAAAATAGAACATTGCAGTCAATCTTTTATAGTATTTTCTTTGTGTACATCAATTTTAGTCATATGTATTGTATATTTTCTGGTAATGGTAGCTAAACATATATTGTTTTATATTTTTAAAAAAATAACATTTATAAAATCTGTTGTTTGGGAGGTTTCAGAGGTTTTTGGTGGCCACATGGTCCTTGGGCATGTGGTGCGACCATCCATCATGTTGGCAGACACGTGGCAGAGCAAAGCTGCTCACTTGGCCAGGATACAAAAGAGAGAGGAAGAGGAAGAGAATGGGGCCCCACTGTCCTCTTTGAGGACACATGCCCAGTGACCCAGAACCTCTCACTAAGCCCACCTCTCGAAGTTTCCAGCACTTTCCAGTGGTCCCTCATTGACGGCCATGCTCATAACATGTGCCTTTGGGGGACATCCCAGATCCAAACTATAGCAGGGCACATGTGAAAACAGAGCAGTCTAGGTGACAGTGTAAGTGTCAGTTATACTACACTGCCATTGTATAAAGTGTCTTTACTGGGGAAAGGTAGATGTAGGGTTCACTCTATATATAGCAATTTAGTGTAATTCTATAATTCTTTCAAATAGAACATTTTAAACCACAATTATAAAAGGGGAAAATGAGAATTTAATTAATGAACATGCTGAAATGCAATGTAAAGAATGATAAAGTAGAAACCAAGAGACCTGGGTTCTGATCCTAGCTCTCTTGGTGGACCACTGGCTAATCTCTTAATTTGAGGGCTTTGTTTTCTTTTCTGGAAAATAAGAAAATTGTGCTACAAAATTCTAAAACCTCTTCAAGCTGTTATATTCCTTAGGGTGTATGCATATTTCTGTAAATCTGTAGTTTGCCAAATAAAGAATGAATTGTATGTTAGATACAGTCAAGAATTTAGGGCTTATCGAGCCCCACAATAGATAAGAAGTCTATTTCTGCCTCTTCCTATGTGTTTGCCCAATACTATAATAGACATTATGGTGATGTAATAAGATGCAGTCCCTAAAGGACCTCCAGGAGTTAATGGGTACATAGAAAGTAGTTATACACATGTGCTAGTGTTGACATGCCAAATGTGTAATATGGACAGTAATTCCTAGAGGATTTCTGAAAGAGATTCCTGTAGTCTGCAGTATCCAAGGAAGAAGTAGAAATTCACACGTATGAATATCCTGGTTTGATCATTCATTTGCATCTCATCATATGTTACAAGGGCCACATTGTATAGCTCAGATACTCTGCTCTTACACTGGGCTAGTTCAACTTTTTCCCTTTATTCTATCTCTATGGTTGGACTTACTCTCTAATTTAAGCTGCTGGGTTACTAAATGGTAAATTCCTCTAGATTTACTTGATGATCTCCGATTTTCTCATTTCTTTCTCCTGGCCCTCTTTCCCCTGCAACCAACTCCAGCTGAAAAAAGGAAGGGTGGGCAGACTGTGGATTCTGGCGTCCCACTTCTAAGTGTGTCTGATCCTTTCATTCCTCTTCAGGTACCTGATGCACCAGGTAGGTAAACAGAACTGATCTGAGGTTAAACAGCTTGATTCTTATGTTCCATGACCTCTAGAGAGTTGTTTTAAACATTCCATGAAAAGGATGTGAATTCCAATTTTTTTTTTTTAAGACAGGAAAGTCACTATGTACTTCAGGCTGGCCTTGAACTCACTTTGTAGTGCAGGCCGGCCTTAAACTCATGGCAGTTTCTCCTGCTTCAGTCTCTTGACTGCTGAGATTACAGGCATATGCCACATGCCTGGCTTATATATTTTTATTGTGTCTCAGTAAGAAGGACAAACTTAGTTGGAAGGTACCAACCAGCTCTTAGCAAAGATAATAAAGTCAGTTAAGGTTATATACCTGTCATAGCAGTGTTCTGTTTTTCATCCTTAATTGTGTATATGGTAAAGAGGAAGGGGCTGTATATCAAAAAGAACACTAATACAATATGAATATAATATTGTAGTATGGAACCTATAAGCATATGATAAAAAGAACAACATACAAATAGTGGTTATAGTGTGATGATGGGATTGTGGGTAACTTCCTGTCCAGTTCTTGTTTTTTGTAGTATACCTCTATACAATAAAAATACATAGTAAGGCCTTGCCACTTCCTGAAAACTTTCTGGGCCAGATCCACCAGTGAAGTAAGTTGGACCACAGAAGTTCACATACCCCTCTTGATTTGCCATATTCTTGATTTTTAAGAAGGCAGTCTGAAAAGTAAAAAAATGGTTAGTGTGTTCTGATTGAAACAGCTTTTGAAATAATTGGATGTTTTCTGTTTGGAGTTCATAACTACCAGATATTCCCTTTCTACTCCCCTCCCTATACTATACCGATTGGGGGTGGTGGTGAGGAATGAAAGTCTCCTTTTCTGATAAATAAATCCAATTTCATAAAAGCAACTGGTGGGTCATTTTGCTTCATTTTCCCTTTTTTCTCATTCCTACCCTTTCTAAGTCTTGACCTTGAACTGATAGGTTTATCTTCTCTTCCAGAACATTAAAGGCATTTGATTGTTTGCCTCATGATTGGAAGTGATTGTGATGTTCATATCTTTCACTTACTAAGACAGGCTACAGCTAGAGTACAAGAACAGCTTTTGTTTCTTTAGGCAGTTTGTTGACCCTTCTAAGGGGACGTAAACACTTGCTTTGATCAGATGGTGGTACAGTGGACCCTTGAGTTATGACTGGCCTGACATATAAACAACTTGGGTTATGACTGGAATTTTAGTTTTAATTTACAAACAAAGTCTTAAGTAACAACCCAAATGCTGGCTGCTTGTGCTGAGATGGTCTCAGATACAGATTTAACCTTAAAGAGTTCTAGAAGGAACATTACAGCATCCTTTCATGTGTGGGATTGAGAAATCCTGGGCCAATGTCCTCCTAAGGAGACTGAGAGAGACTTTGAAGGCTGTGGAGAGGAGCCTGAGCCTTCAGTTGACCAACTTGAGTTACAACCAGCCCTCGGGAACAAATTGAATTTATTAAGTCAAGGGCCCACTATATTTAATTTTATTGTTTACTGGACCTGGATGTAGCTCAAAAATATGTGAAATCACCAAGGAATGATTCAGTAGAGGCTGGTTAGAGAAAAGAGAAGAAAGGAATCAAGTAGAGGCCCTTTTCTCTTCCATACCCTTCACATATGTCTGGCAGTACCTAGATAGGCAGTTTTAAGCAGATTGGAAAGGTGTGCACTGTAAACTCAAGCTGGGGCCTGCTGGCCTCTTTTCCTCCCTGCTGTAGAATCAGACAAGGAAAAGGAGCTATGGAGCATTGTCCCTTTGACAGCCCCTTGCTTTTCTGTGACCAAGATAGCCCATGGGCTGCAGAGGTTAGAACCCTGCCTTACCCAGGGCAGAGAATGAGGGCCTCAGGCAAGTAGCTATCCTTTGCAGTTGTCTCAGGAGCCCTCTGGATGGGGGCCAGTGGGGAGCTAGGGACATGTGTCTTGTAGCTCATGAGACTGCTCCAGGTTTGGAGACAAGTCTCAGGTATCAGAGCCAGCCAGCTGCCATCCTGCCCTCTTTATTGCCATCTTTCCTGTCTCCAGTCCGCCCTACTTCTCTCGTTCTGGAGAATTCCTATAAAGTGTTAGTGGTGTACACATTAATAATACCAATGAAGCTATGACCCCTCTTGGATTTTACATATTTATGGGGCACAGTGTGGCATTTTAATATATGTATATAGTTGTAATGATGAGACCAGAGTAGCTGGCATATGTCACCTCACTGAATGGGTAGGTTTGAAAGCAGTGTCACATCATAAGACTTTAGAGCTTATATATACCCTGTGTCAGACGAGATATATATTTTAAAGCCACAGAGCTACAGTAGCCACAATATCTTTTTTTTTTTTTTGGTACCGGGGATCGAATACATCATCTTTTTTTTTTTTCCGGTACTGGGGATCAAACTCGGGACCTTGTGCTTGTGAGGCAGGTGCCAGAACCACTAAGCTAAATCCCCGGCCCAGTCATCTTTTTTGATGGAGCTCATATCAAACACTTTTATCATGTTTGTGAGTTCAGCCTGTTCTACTTCTCTTGTTGGTACAGTCAGAATGGTCCATGAGATTGCTCTTGGTCTTATTAGCCTGTATAGATAGTAGATATCTGTCCTCTCTTTTTATGGATTTTTTGTTTGTTTGTTTGTTTTGAGGCAGGGTCTCCCTTTGTAGTTCAGGCTGGCGCTGAACTCACTATGTAGCCCAGGCTGGTGTTGAACTCACAGCAATCCTCCTGCCCCAGCCTCCCAGAGTGCTGGGATTATAGGCGTCTGCCGCCACACCCAGCTTTTTATATTTTAAAAGAAAAAGGTGGGCTGGGGATTTAGCTCAGTGGTTTCACTGCCTGCTGCACAAGCGCAAGGACCCGAGTTCGATCCCCAGTACCAAAAAATAAATAAATAAATAAAAGAAAAAGGTCATAAACTGGGGTATGTATATCCCTGCTTTGTGTCAAAAAGTGATTTTAATTATCTAATCCTAGACTGATTTGTGAAGGATTTATTACCTTTTTTTTTTTTTTTGGTACCGGGGATCGAACTCGGGTCCTTGTGCTTGTGAAGCAGGCGGCGAAACCACTGAGCTAAATCCCCGACCCGATTACCTTCTTGTCTTGTGCTTAATATTTTTGAGAGGTGAGGGATAAGAGGAGAATCTGAAATACATTAATTCCTAACTCCAACCACAGCACCTACCTCCTTCTCTCTCCTCCCTGTTTCCCACTGCCACTTGAGTTATGTTTAAGAAGAGAAGCAGAGGTGCTCAGAAGACCCACTTTTCTCACTTAACTCCTAAATGTCTTTTTTTTTTTTTTTGGTATGGGGCATCGAACTCAGATCCTTGCGCTTGAGCAGCAGGTTGCAAAACCACTGAGCTAAATCCCCGGCCTTAACTCCTAAATGTCAAAACACCAACAATCCTGCCCTTCAGAAATACCCTTGGGCTGGGGGTGTACCTCTGTGTGTAGTGCTGGCCTAGCTAGCATGCACAAGGTTCTGGGGTCGGTCCCTAGCACCATTTAAAAATAAAAGACCTTCAGTTTCCTCTATCTAGCCTATATAATTCTGAGTTCATTTTTCCTGAGGGCTCTGTCTTTTTAATTTGTTAACCATGATTTCAGTGCTTCTCCAGGCCCTTACCCTGACTCATTGTTATGTGGGAACCCTAGAGAGTTGAGAAAGAACTGAGTATATTAACAGGAATCACCACTGACAAATATGAGAAGATAGTTCATATAAGAAGACATGTAAATTTCCAGTAATTATTTAAGTTTATCATCATGATAAATCCAAGAAGTATCACTTATAAAAAAAAAAAAAAGTGGTGTGCTGTGACTTCCACCATAGATTTTTTTTTTTTTTTTTTTTTGAGACAGTCTTGCTATGTAGCCCGGGCTGGCTTTGAACTCAGCATCCTCCTTCCCCAGCTTCTGAGTGCTGGAATGCTATTAGATTTGTAAAGATGGGAAAAACATTATCTCAGGCTTGATGAAGATGTAGGAAAATGGATACCTCCGATCCTGCTATGAGGATTATCACCCAGTACGACTTCTTTGGAAGATAGTTTGGCAGTTTATAAAGAAAGCCTTCTGGGTTTTACTTTCTCTTTTACTTAGCAACTCTATTTCTGAAAATTACACCACAAAACATGAATATGCTTAAATATTTGTGGACAAATCAGATTTCACAGGAAAAACTAGAAGAATATTCATTAAAAATGCTTAGGCCAGCCAGAGAGACACATTCCTGTAATTCTGGCACCTGGTAGGCTGAGGCAGCTTGGGTTATATGGTGAGATGTTTTCTCGAAAAACAAAACTTAATAGTCGATATATCTAGAAGTGGAATTACTGGGTACTTTTACTTTTATCCTTTGACTTACCTGTAGTTCCCAAATTTTCCACAATAGACATGTACGATATTAGTTTTATAAAGAAAAAAAATAGAAGTTCTTTTTTCAATGAGGCATGAGCTTAGTGTGCCTTTCTGAGCAGAGTTTGCATTTTGAGCAGCATATAGAGTTAACGTTCTGAAGCGTGCTACTTTGGGACCAGATATTCTTATCTCCTGCCTATGTCTTCCTGCTGAAATGTCCTCCAAGTGCCTCCCCAGCAGTCTGATCGCCACTTCTACTTTCTACTTTTCTACTTTTCTACTTTCTACTTTCTACTTTCTACTCCCATTTTTCCCTGCATGCTGGATGATTGGCTTTTAGTGGTAGGCAGAGTCTTTAAGTTCATCTTCATTTTTTTTTTTTTTTTTTTTTGGTACCGGGGATTGAACTTGGGACCTTGTGCTTGCGAGGCAGGTGGTGGCACCACTGAGCTAAATCCCCGGCCCTCCTCTTCATTTTATTGATTTAAAAAACTGTGATTCAGAGAGAGTGGAAAGACTTGCCTAAAGTCACACATCCCAAATGCAGACCCAGATCTCCTGCCTCTCCCTTTCTGTTAGCTGATGCTGCCTCCTCTGTACATCTCACTTCATTCTAGGAGTTCTGTTCATTCTATTCTGATGCATTTGAGTAGGAATTGGAGTGCACTCATGTTATACTCAGATATCTGTGGCTTGGTGACTCCTCATCCATCTAGTCTTCCTAGTAAAGGAGACTTTATCCCCATTTGTGTATCTAACCCTTTATTTATACACACACAAGCACACAAGTTATGATAAATATGCTCATTTAATCCTAATAAGCTTTTAAAGTATTTCTTATCCTCTGTTTATTATAAGAAACTGATGTTTAGAAAAGTTAGGTTACTTAAATTCAAGCTCTTTTACCCCTTCATGTTGCTTATTTATTTCTCAGAATTTTGCAGACCCCAGCGTACGTCCCTAAAATGTGTAGTATTACACCAAAAAGTAAGGTTAAATAATTCCATCCCCAAATCCTGAGTAGCTTTTCACCATCACCACAACCACTACCACACACACCTACACACAGGCACGCGCGCGCACACACACACACACACACACACACGAGTCTGTAGTCAGTTCTGAAAATATCAGAGGCAACCTAGAAGTTGATAGAAAGTGGACCCTTTTCTCCTATGCAAAAATTGTCCATTGTTTTTTCCCTTGGAATATGATGGGGTCATAGACCCTGACTCCAACACAGAGACAGAAGAACTCCATTTCTTAGGATCAAATCATTACTGAAATGCAATTATAAATAATTTGTACTTCTTTTGTGTGTCACTTTGAATAATAATTGAGAATAAGAGTGTGGGTCTTTGTGTATATCAGGTATGAACTGTCCCAGAAGATGGCTTCTGCTTTTGCATCTGGAGAAGCCATTTTCCATGCTTTATAAAAAATGTAAAGTGTTTGTTTATTAGACACAGTAAGTCATGATATGCTGAAGTGGGCCTTGGTTGAGGTTTTGGATCTTAAGAACACTTCCAGGCAGGTTTCCAAAATTCATTACCCTCTCTCTCTGCTATTCTGTGCTGTGTTTGTTTTTGGCTTTTTGAGGCAATGTCTTATTATATAGTCATCCAGGTTGGCCTTGAACTCACTATGTAGCTCAGACTGGCCTCAAACTCACGGCAGTCCTCCTGCCTCAGACTTCTGAGTGCTGGGATTACAAGCATGCACCACCATGCCCAGGTGAATATCAGTCTTAATGTATGCCGCTTTCTGCTATAAGGTCTTGGCTGAATTACTTAACTTTTCTGAAGCTGGTTTCTTCATCCATAATTGAGAAGGCTAATCTGCAAAAGAACTGAGGTTTCTTCCAGCACCAGCATGTCTGATAACTATTCCGTTGTGCCTGGGGCATTGCCTGTGTGCAGACTCAGCCTACTGTGCTGATGGGAAAGGCAGATCCTATAGGCCATGTGTGGAGAGCTCTTTGAAGTAAGATCTGGGCTCCATCTGGGCTTTATCTGACATGGGCAGGTCACACATTCTCAGTCACTGATGTCCATCTCCCACTATTGCATTATTATTTCCAAACCCAGGGATTTTTGTTGTTGTTGAATAATGAGTGAAAGTATTTGACAGTATACTCTACAAATGTAAGCAATGATTGCTGGTATTATTCTTTCCTTTCCGCCTCTGTCCTATGTGTCTAATATTTGAGTACTTCTACACAGTGATGACCATATAAATTATCGGTGTAAATAGTCTATTATTTTCAGATTTGAAATTCGCCTAAATTTGGCAATTTTCCCAGTGTTCACCTTCATTCTGTCTCATCACATTACACACACATTTTTTACCCTCTCATGTGTTCTGCTAATGGCTAATAAAATAGATTTCTTTTTTTTTTTTAAATAGATTTCTTATAAAGTACAGTGAACTCCCAAGTTATAACTGGCCTGACATACAAACAACTTGGGTTAATTAGGTTAATGGAAGATTCCTCTGCCTCTTGTTATCTATAGAGCATACCCAGGTAACCATCCAGATCTCAGCTGTGTTGACTTAGTTACAACCAGCCCTCAGGAACTGATCCAGATCGTAAGTCAAGGGTCCATTGTACCTGACTTTTTCCAGCTCATCCCCCTACCTCCAGTCAAACCAGAAGGAACAGGTGCAGCGAGGAGGCTGAGACTTGGGGATACATGGGTTAATAAACCCCCTTCTCTGCTTTCAGTCACATTGTGAGGGCTGCAAGAGAAGGGCAGAATGCTAGGAGGCTTAGATGTGGTAGGAGGGTGAGGAAAGACTCAGAGGAGACAGTGCCTGAGGGACTATTCAGAAAGGGAGGATCTCCATTTTACAGATGAAGAGATAGTGGATTGCATTAGGGTCACCATCTATCACAGGCTAAAGTTCAAATTCTGAAAGAATGCCTGCCTGGTTTCTACTAGGTAAGTTTTCATCTTTACTTTTTATGGGTTGCTTCACAGGATTGCAAGTTTAGGAGTATAAGTGAAAGAAGCAAATTTTTGTTTTGTTTTGTTTTTGTAGTACTGGGGTTTGAACCCAGGGCCTGATGTATGTTAGACAAGCATTCTAGCACCTATATACATCCCCAGCTTTTTAAAAAGCTTTTATTTTGAGACAAGGTCTTTCAAGTTACTCAGGCTGGCCTTGAACTTTTGATCCTCCTGCCTCAGCCTCCTGCATAGCTGGGATTACAGGCAAGTGCTACCACACTAGGCTTTACATTTTTTTTCATTTCTTGGCAAAAGACATCAACAGTAATCCATCTGCAGACTTATATGTATTTTGTGAGATTTAACCTCAGAATAACTAAGAATATGAGTATCTCGCAGGTCTACAACTGTCATCCGATAAATGATTGTTGAAGTTAACGTAGATCAGGCTGAATTGATTCTCTTGGTGAGTTGTAAACTGTTTCTAAATGCAAGTTTAAAAAAAAAAAATAGATTGTCGGGCTGGGGATTTAGCTCAGTGGTGCCACCACCTGCCTCACAAGCGCAAGTTCCTGAGTTCAATCTCCGGCACCAAAAAAAAAAAAAATAGATTGTCCAGGAAGAAGAATGCCTACCCAGAGACTTCTATGCAAATATATATGGCAGCATTATTTTCCATAGCTGAAAACTGGGAACAACCAAATGTCTATCAACTGATGAATGGATCAACAAAAATGGATCAACATTCATACTACAGAACACATACTATAGAACACTACTCAGCAGTAAACCAGAACGAACTGCTAGTACATGCTTTAATATGAGTGACTCTCAAAAGCTTCATGCTAAATGAAGGAAGAGAGACTCAAAAGATTACATACTGTGTGCTTCCATTTAAAACAGGAATTCTGGAAAAGGCAAAACTATAGTCACAGAAAGCAGATCCATTGTCACCAGGGCCTAGGGTGAGAGGAAAGAATTAACTATAAAGGAGTATGGGGTATTTTTTTTGAGGGTGTTAGAAATGTTCTATATGATTATTTCAGTGGTGATTATATGAATGTGTACAGTTGTTCAAAACTTATCAAATTGTACACTTAAAATTAGTGAGAACTATTGTATAAGAATTAGACCTAAAGTAAAAACAAGCAGCAAACAGGGCAGCATCTTGAATGTTTTACAAAGTGACCACTTCACTTGGGGAAATAGCCTTTTTTAAACTTTTGAGTTTGGAAAGCTTATTGTTAAAATATACTAATAACATTTATTTTTATGTTAGCTATACAAAATATTGGCCCCTAAAATGTATTTGCCTTGAAAACAGTGAATGATCCACTTGGCTTTAATATCTCATGGCACTTTTGCTTTCTCTTTTCTGCCTGACCTAGAAAAACTGATTGAGGGACTCAAATCTCCTGACACTTCTCTTCTGCTCCCTGACCTCTTGCCTATGACAGATCCTTTTGGTAGCACTTCTGATGCTGTGATTGGTAACGTCATTTTTGTTTCTTCTGTCGTGCATGTATATATATGTATTTCAGATTGATAAGCACCTGGTTAGCAGATCCCTAGTGAACAGAACTGGAAAGAAGTAGAAGTACTGAGAAGCCTCCTGGTGTTGGAGCTATGCCTCAAGCTAGCCCAGAAGCCAAAGCTATTTAACTTCCCAATGAAATGTTTTTCTTTAGCTTTCTGTGGGCACAACAGTGTAATTTTTACCTTTTGGGGTATCCTGTGATTTGTAGAGTGAATTTCTCATGAATGAAGTAGAAAAATTCACATTTAGTGACAAAAGCTTAGTTGGTTCATAGCTGAGCGTGGTGACACACACCTGTAATCCCACCACTCTGGGAGTCTGAGGCAGCATGGTTGCATGTTTGAGCCTAGCCTGAGCAATTTAGCAACTTTACATTTTCCAGTACTCCAGCAAGAAGGCAAGCAAAACTTACAGAGCATCCCAGGCCTCTGTATTCTAGGAGGGTCCAATGCCTTTGGGGGAAAAGTCCTACAATTCAGAAATGCCAGGACCCTACAGAAAGATAGGCCACCAGCTGAAAGACATGACATGATACAGAATACCTCAGTGATGCCTTATGAGATGGAGTTAGAGGCTTTTGCATTGGAGGATGGATTACAAGATGTTTACCCCAAATTCATTCCTTAAGAAAAGCAAATTTACCAGAAGAAATTAAGGTGCCTTTCAGCCAATCTCTTCTGACGTGGAGATCACTAAACTAGCCACGGTGGTAACCTTGTACATGCACACCCAAGCAGTGAAACCCAGACACTCAAAGCAGCAGAAATAAAGTCACTTAACTATGCTTTCTACCTGTCCTGCAACTGGCATTTTAGAAACCTGTAGAGGAAAGCCTTCACAGAATTTTCTGAAGAACCTTCTGATGTCCTCTCCCTTACCCTTTCCCCTCCTTTCTTAATGCCTGTTATAAAAGAAAAAGCTGATGTTGCTGTTGAGAGTCTCATACCAGGACTGGAGCCCCCAGTTGCCCAGCGCCTCCCATCTCAGACGGAGTCTGTGACCTCAAACCGCACAGGTCAGTCAGGTGTCTGTGTTGCTAAAGGGACTGGTCACTGTGACCAGAGCCAGTCTTTCCACCTGCAGCAGATTATATTTTGCAGTTTTTTTAGTTCCTCCTGAAGTGGATGCTCTGAATTCTTAGAGCCCTAGTTTTTAGATGCTGAGTGTACATTTCCTCTGAGTACTTTTTGAAGCCATATTCTTTTTTAGAGTGATCCTGGCCTTGCCCTGGTTAGAGAATTTCTTTATTCAGGATTTTCACTGGTAGTAGGTTCCCACCACCTGCTTAATGAAAGTACTGTGCTGAGCTGTAAGGCTGCCTTGACTCCAGGTTGCTGCCTGCTGAGCAGGCTTTCTTCCCTAGCAATTTCAGTGCTACCTGGGGAGCTCATCTCCCCTCTGTTGTCATTCCTTTCCCAGCACAGTGCTTTAATCATTGAGAGGTGATATGCCATTAAATTGTAGGCAAAGTCAAAATCTTCCCTGGGTCCAATGTTTCCTTCACCTTAATTTCAAAATTCAATCTTAGAATTCCTTAACTGCCCATAGAAATAGATTTGATAACCTTCATTTTTATTGAGTATAATTACTTTGATAAAAGTGTCTGCTTATCGGGCTTGGAATAGAAATAGAGGCCTTAGAAATGTGAGGGTAAACTCATCAAAGTGAAAATTTTTCTTCCCCAAGACAATATGGTTCCTTCTCCTCATCCTCACTTGGATGTTTTCTCCTAGAAAATCTGGAAAACAATTCCTGTTCAAAGCTTGACCTCTGAATATTGCCTTCCTTCTATAATCGAAAGCAGATTATGTGTTCAAAGGAGAGATTCAAATTTAATAAATACTAGAAAGATATTTAATGGCAATCTGGTAGGTTTCTAGAAGATACTGTTTAATCTCTTCATATTCTACTAATAACAAGCTAGTGTCGTAATCAGTTTCAATACCTCATCATAATAGTAACTTTCTTCCTGAGTGTTTTGGGATAGTTTAAGTGAAACTCTCTAATTGCAAGGTCCTTTTTCTCAGATGGCATTTACTAAGAACTGAGTTGTTAATAAAGTTTTACTGGCATACAAATTCCAGGCTTGTTTAAGAATTAACCTTTGAGTTTAAAATTCTCTACATTTATAAGTTAATGTTAAGAGAGGAATCTAGAAAAATGTGAATGGAAATCCAGAGAGCTTAACATGTTTATTCTGGGTTTTTTTCTCCTGCCTTGGCTTATATGTGTAACCTGTATATGCAATAATTTAAAAGCTAAGATCTAATCTCATGATATTGTTGTATGTGCTATTTAATTCCATCATTGACCTGGGATGCTGTTAACTGGACTCAGATTCTCTCACTGGGGAAGATTCCCTGCTTGACTGCTCTCTGCTTTCTAACCCTACTGCTGACCTTCTGGAAGAGTTTGCCCCCCTAGCAATCTCTGCTCCGGCCCATAAAGGTAAATTTTGCTTCTTGTCAGGGCTACATGTGTCCCTGGAGAACAGCTGAACAGCTTCTGAGAGTTGGCCCTTACCCAAAGTCTTTTTTAGTAGTGTTTTAACTACCTTCTTATATGGAAAACTTGAGTTTGTACTTTTAGATACTATGTTATAATACCACTTAGAATATTTAATAAGCTTTAGACAACAAACTGGTAAAAGTATTTCTTTCTGGCAAGAACTGGGTACAGCTATTCCATATTACCTTTGACAGCCATGTACCTTCACAGTCAGCCAAGTAGATGGTTGAGCCCACTGTCCACTAATGTAAGTATTAATATGTTGCTTGTTGGCTTTAGAAAGTTAAATCACGCCGGGGATTTAGCTCAGTGGTGCTGCTGCCTGCCTCACAAGCACAAGGTCCCAAGTTCGATCCCTGGTACCAAAAAAAAAAAAGTAAAATCACTTCTTCACGTCTGAGTTAAGGATCTTGAATAAACAGATACTCCCTAACTCTGAACTTGTGAAAGTTTTAAACTTCATCTTTAAGTCATGATTGATTACTGGGTTTCCCTTTCTTACCTACAATTTCACTTCTTAGTCTTAGATTAATATTGGTTTGAAATTCTGTTGGAGAGAGATAGATTTAATTGAGTTATATCAATGAGAATTTTGTGGCAGTGAGAGGCACAGTGACTGGCCTAGTGTGCACAGGCATTTATTAAACTTATTTCTCTGCTTGTGTAGTCAAAGTCCTTTGCTGGAAGGAGAAAATGTATAGAAAAGAAAGAGTCAATGCCTTTTTTAAAGGAAATTCAAGAAAGACCCTTCCCAGAGATGACTAAGAGTAGTTAGGTCATGGTTCATAGTGGCAATAGCCAGGTTTTTGTTTTTACCTGATAGCATTAAAATGATTGTTTTTAATGGAGTATTTGAAAGAAGTTATCTAGTTAGAGAATTATATCTGGCAGTAGTGTGTCAGCAGCAATATGTAATTACAGAGAACCCTCACTTGCAAAACAGGTGCTCAGTTAGCACTTGCTGGTAGAGTGGCTTTAATTAGAATGAAGAAGAATCTTCTAATAATCTTCCTCTGGAGGGCCCAGTGCATGTGATCTTGTGCCCCAACATTCCCTGAGGCCTCAGAGTTGTTTGGAAGTCTTTTTTCCCATTTATAGAATAATGAGTCCTTCCGTAAGTATCTTGCTTTCCTTGTGTATTGTGGTTACTTCTCTTCTGTTGTTGTTTGTTCTGGGGCTTTTTGCTTTTGTTGTTGTTGTTGTTGTTGTTGTTGTTGTTGTTGTTTCAGCTGGGGATTGAACCCAGGAACTCATGCATGCCAAGTACATGCTTTACTGAACTATACTCCCTACCCTTATGGTGGTAGTTCCAACTATTAGTTCTCTCCTCCCTTCTCTCATTCCTGGCTTTGAAATTTTCAAATATTGTTAGCCCCGCTTTTGTTCACTCAATAAAGAAGATAAATAACAGGGGCCGGGGATTTAGCTCAGTGGTTCCGGCGTCTACCTTGCAAGCATAAGGTCACAAGTTCGATCCCCAAAACCAAAAAAAAAAAAAAAAAAGATAAATAACTAATTACTTGACCATTAATAACAACGAAAAGATACTTTACCAAAATAACAGTTAATGGTCACATAAAGTGTAGAGAGAATTCTTCCAATAATCCTTCCTAATTATTTATGAAAGTCTTAAAATGCCTTAACTCTAAGGCATTTTTTCTTAAATCTCTGTATTTTCCAGTTTTGCTACTTTTATTTCAACTCAGAAAAATAAGTACTTTCACCTTTAAGAAGACTAGTGATTGTACACAATTGGGAACTTTGTGCTTCCTTCCTGTTTTCTTATTTGCTAATCTCTACCTCTGTTTCTGCTTGTGTGCGTGCATTATTAAGCTGCAGAAGATAGTAATCTCATCTCAGGTTTTGATGTCCCTGAGGGCTCGGAAAAGGTGACGGAAGATGAGTTTGACCCTATTCCTGTATTGATAACCAAAAATCCACAAGGTAAGAAAGAGGTTGGGGAAAAGAGAAGAGCTTAACATCGGCTCTCATTGATATATTAATGTACCTGATCGATAAGGTGGAGTAGTGGGGAGGACATCAACATTAAGTGAAGAATGTTGGGAACAATGTGTCATTGTAGGCTCAACCAGTATAGAAAGAGATGGAGATACTGATATAGGTATCTTAAAGCCTGCTCCTGCTGTTTATTTAGAGAGAAATATTTAATAGTTTGGCTAAAAGATAATTTTTACAAAATATCAAGCCAAAAGTAGTGATCTTCAGTCTGTGGAAACCAAAAAATATGTATAAAAGTACTTAACATTTTTTTATCATGATTAGAACAATTTGTGATAAATACTTTTCCCAAAGAGATTAAGTGGTGCCTTGTTATCAGCCACATCTTTTGGACATTTATGGAACATCCTTTTTCTCTCTGATGGGTTAGAATTATTTGAGTGTACCATAAAACAATGAATTGCCATAGAACCATTTATTAAAAGCATGTTCTGGGCCGGGGATTTAGCTCAGTGGTTTCGCCACCTGCTGCGCAAGCGCAAGGACCCAAGTTCGATCCCCGGTACAAAAAAAAAGCATGTTCTTATGCAGAGTCTTACTAATTTTTCCCAAAGCAAAAATTTACTTTACTGGGGAGATGGCTTGATGATAACAAGAAGCTAGTGCACAGCCAGAAGTTCTCAGGCAAAATATGTATTGATTTGAAAACAGCATCTTTGCAAGACATCCTGCCTGAACTTTTTTGGTGGGAGGTGATGGATAGTTAATTTACATATTTTTAAATTAACATGTATGAGTTTGCAAATGTAAAATGTTGCTTCTCTAGGTTTCATTTTTTTTTTCTTCTCCTTTTTCTCCTTTGCTTGCTCTGCACATCTAAACCTTAACCCTCTGTGTTTTGTACTGAACTCCTATCTCTCCACTTCCAGGTGGGCACTCTAGAAACAGCAGTGGGAGCTCTGAGTCCAGTCTTCCCAACCTAGCCAGGTCTTTGCTGCTGGTGGATCAGCTCATAGACCTGTAGCGGTGACCCAGTAGCAGATGAAGTTCTGTAACCTTCATACTGTAATACACGTTTTCACTATGGAATTATGAGAAAAATGATCTTTTTAAAAAATCTGCAAGTAAGGGGCCCTCTAGCTCCTTTCTCCTATCCCTTGCCTTCTCCTATAGAAATGATAAGGAAAGAAAAAAAATCACTTTGGCCCTCCAGATATATTCCTTGGCCAGTTCCTTCCTGTTAGTTTGCTGTGTTTTCTCATTACCCTTCTTCAATAGCATTATCTTAAATCAAGCAGTAGATGCCATGAGCTTCACCTCTGCTGGAATCAACTCCACCAAAAGCTTAACTGTAATTGAACCTAGTGAACTGACACCTTTGTCTTATTCTTGCTAGGAATGGCCTCCCAAATCAGTCCTCCCAGCCCCTGTCTCCTTGGCAAGATGCTGATGAATGTGTTTCCCTGTTTTTGCTTTTTATCCTGATGCATTGTTATGCGGCCAAGCCTACTTGCAGCTTGTTTTAGCACTAGGCAGTAGCCTGGAGATGGAGGTGGGGTTTCAGAGAGAGTAAAACTGACTGATAATATATATTTGAGAAGAGAAATTGAGCCCAGCTCTGCCCAACCAACTTTGACCTTGTTTGATCATAGACTTAGCCAAGGGATTTACACCCCATGCAACCTGCCCAGAATTCGTCCAGCTTTCTGGCTTCTGTTGAATCGTGATTTCTCAGATCTGGAGATGTGACTGCAAGTACTTGAGATCCTTGGATAAAATGTGTACGTTATATAAATCCCAAGTATTGCCATTCCTTTTCATGTTACCTGGCCCAAGCCAGGATTTCAGAATTAGACCAAAATAAGACAGTGGTGGTAATATGGTATCTTTTAATAGAAGACTTTTCACTGGGGGGTGGCTGGGTGAGGGGAAGGAATTGTAGCAGAAACAGATGTATTTTTCTTGTGATTTTTATTTTGAATCAAATATTGTAAATTGTGTATAAATGAAGACACTGAATAGTTCTGTTTCCACTTGACGTTTCAAGTCTGATACCAGGTGTCTGTACAGGGTTTTGATCTCTTTTCCCTGTATAATCACACAGCTATCCTACAGTGTAACATATGGAATTATTTTGAGTAGATTGTGTGTCTTGATATAAGCTCTCAGCAGGTCCTCTGTCTCTGTAAAGTAAGCATGTTGTTTATTTTCAGATAATCAGAAAAAGTGTGCTGACAAGCTGGACACAGATTGACTGTAGCTGCTTACTTTTTTTGGTCTCTGATGTTTAAGTTGAAGGCTGCAGTCAATGGAATGTGTTCAGTTGGTTCTCCTTGGCTTCCTAGATTTTAAAAAACCAAACAAAGCATAGTTCTTCACTAACCTTAGACTATTGTTCATAAACTAAATAAAGGTCCCTGCACTAATATGACAACATGCCTCATGGTCACCCTCTGTGTATGTGCCTACTCATCAAAGTGTATTTTATTTCTTTACTTGGAAAGCACTTTTATAAAATTATCCTTTTGAGAAAGAAGTAGGCACAGAGAACCCCATTGTTCTCTTCCTCAAGTGCCATTGTCTGTGGTCAAAAAGGAGAGTCTTAGTGGATTGGGTTTGTACAAATAAAATTCCAAGTCCATTTGCTCATTCTCTATCTAGTACTTTTGGTTTTTCTTCCTCACATTTGCACTTTAAGGGGGGAGGGGTTGCAACAAGAGCCTGCAAACACTGCACTGTGAGAACAGCCTGTGAAAAGGCACTGGAGGAAGAGTCTGAATCTTTCATTCTTCCTTCTGCCTTTCAATACTCCTGTGCCAGCTAAAACTCGATGAGCTAAGTAAAGGCCTCTGCTAAGAGAACAGATCATTTCCAGAATTGAGAGAGGCACAAACTTGGTGCTGAGGAGAGAAAAGATGTCCGTGAAAAGCTCTGTGTGATTGGGTAGCAGTGGAAATAGGATTTGGTTCACTCCTTATGGACAGGAAAATTGCTGCAGGTCAGAACTGTATTCCCTTTCTGGACATAAAAAGAATGTATGAACTAATGAAGGGAATGTTTATTTTTAAATAAGGATGTTTTAGTTCGATGTTTTCGAATTTGATTTTTCTTCATACATGTAATGTTAGAAATATAATGAAATATCTAGTTTCTTAATTTAATTGAAACCATGAAGAGTACAGTTTAGAAATTAGGTGTCTCTAAATTGTTCCTGTCATGTATTACTCATAATTACATTGAGATGTATTATCTAGTCATTTAGCTCAATAAAGCTTAATGGAGAAAATTAATAAAAATGAACAGATTAAGAGCCAGAGACGATGGTGGAAGCCTGAGGAAGGTAATGAGAAAATGTCTCAGGCTTATTCTTTAGGAGTACAGCCTCTAGATTAGAACTATTTTTCTGTTGAGGAATACACGTGGGTGATTTGGTAAACAGGGCCTTCCTTAGCTTGTAACATCATCCCTGAGCTAAAAGAATTTATTTGAGATGAGCATAGTGTGTTAGTAATTGGTAGACCTATCGACTGAGCTACATGAGGGACCTTAGCAACCATCTGGTAGTCCATTCACTTCATTTTACAGGTATGGCACCTGAGCTAGATTAAGGCAGGATGATGAGAGAAGCCTGGGCAGGTCAGGCCAGCTGGTATCTAATCCTGACCCTTGCCAGGCTCTGGCTAAGTGACCTTCAGCGGGCACTTCACCTCTCAGAGTGGCTGTTACTTATAGGACAATAGGTTTAGGCTAGATGGCCTTTAAAATTATAGAAGCATAGTCCTAAATTTATGCCATTATGTTTAGAAGAACAATGAAGGATTTATATAATCCTGATGTTCTTCAGTTATCTTCTATACACCTGCTACTACTGTGGCAGCATTTATGTGTTAGTGAATTGTAATAGGCTTCTTACTAACCTCTTGCTCTTCTTAGCTATCTGAATAGAAGCCTAAATCATCACAGAGTTATAGATATAGGTTTTCCTTTTTTAATATTATACACACGTGCACAGACACACGTACCTACCTATTCCAATAAAACAGTATCAGAAGATTTCTTTTCTTTTAAAATGTATGATCAAAAGTATGTATGATCCGGGATCTGGCATTAAAATATGGGCAAATACCATATGCATGTATTTTTTGTTTGCTTTTATCCCAACTGGGTGAGAGTAGTAACTATGGTAGAAAACAATATTTCTCCCTCACAGCATTTGAATGATGAGATCACCAAATTCAATTCCCAATGTTTTGTAAGAAAACAGCCCTCAAAGAAGGTAAAGTTTAAATGTTCACTTCATTATAATTATTTCTTTAGTGGATATATTAAAATTTTGACATCAAATTGAATGTTATTCTGTTCAAAAGCACCTGATTTTACTTTGAAAATTAATACTTATCCTAATAATACTGCTGTCATTGAAGTTATTTTTGAAACTCCTCTCTTTAGAAATAACATCAAGGAAGGTAGTAAGGTGTAAGGAAATCAGTTGCATTATCTAATTAGTATCACTTTCAGTATCTGAAAGTATATTCTCTTTCTTGATCCACTAATCTCACCACTCCTGTTTCTGAGTAACATTTAACTATTTCCAAAAAGCAAAATCATCCCAGTAAGATGGAGAGTGGTTACTATTCTTTTTGTTTGTTTGTTTGTTTGTTTTTGTTTTTGTTCTTTTGAGGCAGGGTCTCCCTTTGTAGTTCAGCCTGGCCCTGAACTCACTATATAGGCCAGACTGGCCTTGAACTCACAGTGATCCTCCTGCCTCAGCCTCCGGAGTGCTGGGATTACAGGCATGCGCCACCACACCCGGCTGAGAGTGGTTACTATTGACAGTGGTAAAGAGAGAAGAACCCACAGAAAATTCTCAGAGAAGACCTTATAATAAAAAGTGAACATAATTGGTCTTAATTTCTTTAATACTCTGAATAAGGGAACTTCAGTGATTACCCAGTCTTTAGTGTGCATTAGAAAACTGAAAGATAGGATTGTTTTTCAGTACCTCTGAAACAGGGTATCACTTCATTCAATGTCGTTTGATGTTGAACTTGGCTTTTCCTGATTAGTATTGTAGAATTTAGATTGCTAAAAGTTGGAGGAAAACAAACTTGAGAAAGGAACCTGTTTTTCTCAAAGCACAGTATTTTTGTTTTGTTTTTAATACTCTTTTCCTTCTCATTTGATAGATAGTTGGTCATTTTGATTCAGGCCAGTATGACCTTCCCCAAGGTCAGGAATATAGTTAGTTCTGTCTTCAGCAGTGCTGTGGGAACAAGGGGGCCACTGGGCCAAGTACCTAAAGGCATCTACATTCAGCTGAACAAATGAATCCTATGGATACCTTGAGCTAAAGTAGAGTCTCCCATAAGTAGATTGCTTTTTCTTTTTTGTTCTTTCTTTTTCTTTTTCTTTAAATCTCTGTGAGTCCTTAACCTCAGCCTGTGAGATTATCAGGGTCCTGTGGCCACTAACTTTGAGTTTGGGGATTAAAAATTACAGCATTCCCCAATATATTGAATTAGGCAAATAGATGCTGCCCAATAGAATAGAAAAACTAAACACTCCAGATATTGCAAATCTATCTTCTATTCCTTTCCAGAAAGTAATTTTACCAATAAAAATTAGCCTTTTTCTTCCATACTGGTAATGTTCCTAAAGTTGGATGGATTGGGTTTCTTGAAGTGGAATGAATCTGGCATGGCCTCCTCTTTAAATAATCTGTAACAAGATCCTATTTTGTTTCTCTAGGGATTCCTTTCACTAAGGTGGGAAAGGGAGGCTCCATGGGTAATGTTAACCTATGCAAAGTTACCAAGTGGTGGTAGTTGCTAGAATGGAAGACATTTTTTGGTTCTCATTCTGATGCAGTGCCCTGAATTTACTCTTTTCCTGTGAGTATTCTACTTGACCCTATTCATACCCCATTGTCATGTGGATGTATGTTTACCATAGGTCTTTAACCTGTTCTCAAGAAGACAAAGCAAACAGATGTACATGAAGCTATCTTATGCAGTAAAAATGTGAAATTCGAGCATTGCTTTGCAAGTATTGTATAAATAACAAGTCTGTAAACAAATTTCTTATGTAAACATACAGGGAAATAAAGACTTTTATCTGTCCAAATGAGAGCATGATGTTTAGAGATGTAAATAACTCAAAATAGCTGCTGTTGTCCTAAACTGAAAACTCACTTTTGCAAAAAGGATTTAATCCCACTGTTGAATGACAGTAAATTCCAGAAGTTTATGTGAGAGACACGGCAAGGACATTCGAATGAGTTATAGCCACACTGGAGAATAAAACTCATGGTCAAGTAGAACAAAACACCTGTGAGCCTATATTTGCTTTGATGAGACCTGGGGTTATAAATTGGAGCCCAGATTTGCAGCTGCTATTCTCTAATTTGATTTTTAATATACCCAGGCCTATTTAATTGAGCATTTTAGGTTGACAAGAACAACTTTATGCCCAACGAGAAATTGCTCTCATTTAATTGCCTTATACGCTTGAGAAGCACGGCATCCATAGCCACTGATGGTTCAGATCCAGTTGTGAGTGTTACTGTAGCTACCCAACATATCTACCCATTTGGTAGAGCCAAATGTTTACATATATGTTTGAAGTCAGTAGGCCATGGAAATCATTAGTTTATTGTACATCCCTTAATTCTTTGATTTGGTTCCAAGACTGTGAATTTCAATTGATGCTGTATTTCTGAAGTTCCTATGAGGGGATATTTTGCTTCCTATTCACTATCTACTTGAGAAAGTTTCTCAACATTCCATATCTTTTTAAGTTTTTGGCAAGAATTTTGTCTTTGCTATTCCCTTTAACTGTTACTTCAGTTTATGGTATGGAGAAAAAAACCCTCTGATATATTAGATTAAGGAACTTTCAGCCTGAAATGTAAGTCTCGATTTTGATTCTGTGAAGCAATCTGATGACCCTTACTATTTCAATCAGATAAAACTTCCAGAGTCAACCCATCCCAAATCATCATCCAGCACTTAATTTTGGTTGCTTTGGAAGTCAATAGGGACTAGTGAAGTTAGTTGCCAAGTCATCTGACACTTTTGGGGACTGCTTTGCTACTCCCTGAAGCACATGAGTTCTTATTGAAACCTATTTGGAACCTCAAAATAAACAAAAATGGAGTTGCCACTAGAGGAAGTATCAAAAAGTGTGCTTTGGCCAGGGATTTAGCTCAATGGCACCTCGCCTGCCTTACGAGTGCAAGGTCCTGAGTTTGATCCCTAGTACTCCCCCTCAAAAAAGTGTGCTTTAACCTGGTACATAGTCCTACATTAAAGCAAGAAAAAAAAAGAGTGTATTTTGATTCCTTGCTTAATTTCATGTGTTAAGCCAAAATAAAAAGAGACATGCATGACCTAGTTTGAGAGAATTATAACAAAATGCCTAACTTAGGCTTTGTGCTAAATAAGATCCTTGTACAGACTGTGAGGGCAGCCTCTGAGCCTAAGCCCCTGAGGATCAGGCTTCCTTTGAGTTCTCTGGTCACAGATTATCTGCTGTGCATGTCATTGGTCACCATATGAACTGATCCAAGGCTTGAGGTTAAAGTAGTATAAAGCTTTCATTGCTTTTAGGCAGTCTGCATTAAATAGGTTTTCCTGTTAGTACAAGGCTGTCTTCATATGCAGTGACTGTTCACCCTGAAAAACACATTTTCCCCATAACAGATCTGCATATTCCAAAAAAGACCTTTAACTGCTAAGAAGACTTCATGTCTACCTTCTGTTTGCAGTTATTTGAAATCTCTTCTTCTTTTAACTGTCTTGTTTTTTGTGTGACCACCACCAAAATTCCCAAAGGGATATACTCTGGCATTTCTTTGTCTTCTGGAGTGCCAGGCCTGGAAAGTTGCAACAGGTGGTTATGGTATGTGCTCTTTGCCTCAGTCACTCTTGGACTCCTCCCTAAAAAATGGAAAGGTTCAGAGACTTGGCCTTCTTGAGGAAGAGCCACTAAATGTGCTTTTCTAGTCTCAAAAGGCAGATTCATGCTGAAAGAGAGAAGAAATAGCTCTTGTCCTTGTTTTGAAGGTCAGGAGACTAGTTTCCCCTCCAAACTTGACATTATGGTGTTTTTTTGTGAGTGTAAACTTTTGAAAATTGTTGGCATTAAATGTGATTTATCCCATTACTCACCATGAAGGTCATAGACTGTGTTCTGAGTTGAAGGGTTTTCTAAGTGGATTTTTTGACCAAAAGTCCTCTTTTTAACAGAAATAGTTTTGGTGGTTTAGGCATGTTCTTCCTATCTGACTCTGCATATGGGATACTCTTGGGCCCAAATACCTCTCAAAATGGAATCTGGCACTGCAGACATCCAAAGTGCTCCTGAGGCATTCAGTCAAGCCAATGACTTGCCATCATATGGATCAGTAATCAAAATGAACACTACTTTGAGTAGAGTTGGGTTTGGTTTTGGTTTGAGATTTTTGGAAATTTGAATTGAATTTAGTCAAATCAATTGCTTTTTGTTAGCCTCTGCACACAATTTTGTTTGACTGAATTCAGTTTAAATTTAAAAAGGAAAATACTGACTCTAGTCAAAATAGGGCTCATGTTGATTATCAATCCATATGATGCCAGAGGTAGTCGCTGGCTTGACTAAAGTTTTCATTTATTTTTACCTAAAAGATATTTTGCTCTCCTGCATCAACTTTTAGAGTAGTTTTGGAAGATGATAAATTGTGCCTTAATTTTGGCAACTGAAACTTTGTCTAATTGTTGATATGGGAAAAAAGTAATATAAGGCATTTTAGGGGCCTCTTGTTCCCTTTGAAGACTAGTGAATTTTATTTTGGAAAATTCTTTTGACTCTTTTTCATTTGGATTTTGCTCAGAAATAATCCTCTGGGTACCACCAAGACAGATCTAATATCAGTATGCTTGCTGGAGAAATTAGGATATGTCTCTCCACACATATTGTTGGGGAGAAGATGTTCTTGTTTCCTATAAGCTGACTGGTGCTTTTGTATCACTATATAACTGCACATATTAAAGTTTGTAATGCAAGGAAAAATTTATTCTCTTCAAAATCACATTCTTTAAATGTTCTTCAGAAAGCCATTTTGCACCAGTATAGAATTTAACTTAAAATTTGAGTTTGGAACTCACTGAATGCACTCATTAGAAAGAGAAATAAAAATGGGTGAAAAAAAATCACTTATTTTTTTCTGAAAACACTATTTTAGGTCAGAACTGTTTTATAAAGAGCACTGCTAAAAAGTTACAGGATTCAGAGAAACATCGTATTTTTATACCTTATCTTATAAAATGTTCAGACCTCTCTACATTCTCTTTAAAATGTAATGTCTCTCTAAGTAACTAGATTCCCAATAAACTGATTTTGATGCCTCTTCTGCTGTGTTCTGTGTGCTTAATTCAAGCAGAAACTTTAGCAGGGGATAATTTTTAGCAGAAATTACTGCAAGCTGTTTACACAGAAGGGGAGCGGGCCCATGTGGGAGGGGATAATGGAATTCCACCTGTACAGAGGACCTGAGTCACCTGTGGCTCCAAGTCATTATACCTAAAATTCTAATCCTAATGGGTTGGGGAATGCCACTGGTATCTTTTATTGGGCCTATGATGAAATGATACCTTTACCCCCAATTACCCTTTGTTTGGATTCTTCTTGCTTAGTTACATATGCCTTTTTCCTGCCCTTTTGCTAACATGTGCCCAATGACATACTTCTAACCTGCTAATATTTCTTGGAAGGTAAGCTGTCTTGCATTCTGATAATTGTCTATTTGATTTTAAAAGCCAGAGCACCCTGAGGCACCTCTACCTAGAGACCCATAGACTAGTATATTGGAGTTTGTTGATACTTCTGTAATTACTCATGCATTTTACTCCTGCTTAAAGATCTTTAATGATGGATTCATTTAAGCAGAAGAGATCTTTGCTAACTTAGAAGACCGAAAACAAAATTCCAGGGCAACTCTGACTGAAGGTGACTTTATTTAGCATGATTTTGATTTTATAGCCTTCCCTTAGAAACCTTCAGTATTTGTATTTGTGCACTCTGGTGCTCTTTGAGTAGTGCTTGTGACGTAAATTATCAAGCAAACTTGGATTTACCGAGCAGCCATGCTCTGCTTAACAGAGGGTCTGTCCCTCTGCATGTGGAGCAGATGGCCACATGCCAGATACTGAATTGAGTTCATTCTCAGACAGTGTTTCTACGTAATCCAGAGCTGTTATGATATATGTGGAGATGAGCGACTGAGGTTTTTTTATCCCATTATGAGCCAGTGCCAGGTAGAGCAGGTGTCCGTGCCTGGCCCCTTAATTAGGAGCATTGTGTAGTTTTGCTGAATGTCTGTGTGCCTAACATCTTCATCTCCTTTCCTGCATATTGTGCCTTTCATGTTCCAATATGTGAGACAGTGATTGGTTGTGTTGCAGTTTGTGTGCAATTTCATTGCCTGACTTTTATTTTTCTATTTTTCCTTTTCCATTTTCAACATCTCTCATTTGGTCACACAATGTTTCTGCCACGGGTTGACCATTAAATGTTCTACAAAGAATTGAAATGACCTACACATTAATTCTGCATTTTATGCTTTTCTAGGTCTCCAGAGAGAGCCCAATCCCTGTCCTGTAATCACTGTAGAGCACTTTAAAGAATCGGCGGGCATTAAAGGCCTTCCCCTGTATCCAGACCCCTCCAGAACACCTGCTGCAAAGACTCAGAACAACTTAGAATCTGACTACTTGGCCAGAGATGGCCCTTCAAGCAACAGTTCTTTCCACAGCAGTGAAGAGGAAGGGACTGACCTGGAGGGAGACATGCTAGACTGCAGCGGGTCTCGACCTCTCCTTCTGGAGTCTGAAGAAGAGGATGAGAACTGCAAACCTCCCCAGGGGAAGCTGGGAGGAGCCAGTCCATTCACCCAGCCCAAAGTGTCTACTGAACAAGCAAAAGTAGTGCAAGGCGGAAGAAAGAGCCAATACCAGTCCCTCCCACAGCTGGCCACTGATGGTCTTGGTGAGCCAGATGTTTTTGCCACAGCCCCCTTCAGGAGCTCAAGGGTTCCAACTGATGACATGGACATTTTCTCCAAAGCTCCATTTGTCTCCAAGGGCAATGTGGCTCCCTCCCAGCCAGAGGAGGTGGACGTGTTCTTGAGAGCTCCTTTTACCAAGAAGAAAAGCATGGAGGAGTTAACAGTTATCCAGAGCTCCTCCCAGGAGCTACCTGCACAGGCCAGTCTCCTCAGTCAGGCAGTTGATGTCCCTTTGTTCTCAGGCCATGAGAGAGCAGGGTACACCTCTGTCCAAGCTCAGTATTCCATGGCTGGTTTTGTGCAACAGTCTAACCTCCCCTCCCATTCTCTACAAGCAGCAGACCATCTTGACAGCATCTCCCCCATGGGACCCTCCATGGAACCTGGAAGCCATTCTAATGACAGAAACAAAGGACCTCAGCCCCAGAAAGAGGCCGTCTCAGGACCAGTTGCTGGCAAACCATTCCGCCCCCAATCGTTAGCCAAATATTCACGTCACTATAGCCCAGAAGATGAGCCAAGTCCAGAAGTCCATCCCATCGCTGCCTACAAAATTGTTTCACAGACCAATAAGCAGTCGATAGCTGGCTCTGTTTCCATCACATCCCTTTCCTCCAGGACTACAGAGTTGCCAGCTACTGATCCTTTTGCTTTAGCGCCCTTTCCTTCCAAAGCAGGCAAGCAGAAACCTTAGGAAAAATACCTGAGCCTTAGGACTCTCTCTGTACCCCACCCCACCAAAACCAACCACACCACTTCCTCCAGAGCCTTTTCAAGAAGAAATACTATCAATTATTATTTTTCAGTCCTTTAAATCACCAAATTCAGTTGCAGTGATACTGAGATGAAGCTCCTTTAAGTTATGCCTGTTTCTTTTGTTTATATTGAATTCTGGACTTTTAGGCACTTCTGTTTCCTTCATAGATACCTCCCATCTCCACCTAAAGCTCTGCTTTTTTTTTTTAAACCCAGAAACTTTTAATCCAGGAATATTTTACCCATATCCCCAGGGGCCAAAACTCTTGCTAATTTTATTCCTGCAGCTCCTGTTGAGTCGTGTTCCTTGAAGAGTCGAGATGAATTCCTTCAGGACTTGATTTAAAACTCTTGAAAAGGAGAGATGACTAGAAAGAAGAGCAATATAAAAGGCCTGTGCATCAAGAGAAAGTATAATCCTGCAGCTGCTAATCATTCCTGTAGAACCAGCAGCTCTCGAAGAATTTTGTGGATCTGAGTCTGTGCAAGCCAAGCGGGTCGTCATGCATGAATGTGGTTGTGTGATGTGCATCAGATCCTACCCTAGGTAAAAATGACATGCATAGGAGAACTGTGCTCATGTCCAATCATCTGGGCAGGGCCTTCCCCACATCCACACTTTTTAAACTAGTATGGATGCATAGGCCGTGTGTGCGTGTGTGTGTGTGTGTGTGTGTGTGTGTGTGTGTGCGCGCGCGCCCTTGTATGCACAGAAAACATTTTCCTTTAGTTCAATCCTATCCCACCACACCTACCTCCACAGTCAAATCACTCATTTACTGGCATTTGCCTGCTGACATAACTGACTTGAACCATGTTTTTATTTAGTTTTATTCTTACGATAAAATTGAATTCATTGGAAGGTGTAGGGAAATCTTGCTGGAACTGAGATTTCGGGGTAGATTTATTTTTTCTCCAGAATTTGTTCCTTACTATTAACAGATTCTTTTTGCCAGGCTGGGGATGTAGCTCAGAGGTAGAGCCCTTGCCTAGCACGCCCAAGGCCCAGAATGCTGTCCTTAGTGTGGGAAAAAAAAAATACAAATTGCATTTACCTGTTTGAAAATTTGTCCTACTATGTTTTCCCCTCAAAACAATAGAAAAGAGAACCTTCTTACAGTTCTAGGCACTGGGTATCAAGACTGAATGCAGTCAGTATAGAATTGATTAATCATGAGACTAGGCTACTGCTTGTTTTGTTTTATTTTCCCCTTTGTTCTTGCCATCTTTCTCTGCTGCCTTTTGAGGAAATATGGATCTGAAACACTAAATACATTTATCTGGAAGAATGGAAAAGAGCTGAACCAGCTAGTGATTAAAAACTTGATATTCTCTGTACTCTTTAGATGTTAAAGTAGGGCAGACAGGTGACTGGCTTATGGTTTTGAAAGCGTCTTTTATTTCTGGAAGATCTGACTCATTCCTAGCTTTTTTCATACCCTTTATTTTTAGTGCCCTAAAATCAAACCTACGTGTCCATGGGACGATTTCTGCTGAGGAAGTTCAATTTAATGGAAAAAGTCACTGCATCAAGTTTCAACCTGAGAGCTTCCTGTGACTTCTAGTAAATGTTAGCACTTTCTTCACTAGGGGGAGAAGTTCGGAGAGTTGTGTACCAAACCAGATTAGTGATTTAAGAATTACTGGAAATTCATCCCAAAAGCCTAAATGCCAAGCTCTACTGCAGTTGATTGGGTGTGATGGAGGGGGGTTGTCAGTGGTAGACCACATGCTTAGCATACACAGACCCCTGGGCTCGATCCAAAGCACCAAAAAAATAAAATTCAGAGATCTTGATAGTAAAATAAGATTAACTACTTTTCCATACTCATTATGTTTTCTTTTTTGCAGTTCTTGTGATTGAGCCCAGGTCCTCATCCATGGTAGTCAAGCTCTCTATCACTGAGCTGCATACTCAGACCAGTACTTTTTTTTTTTTAATTAGTCTCTATCTGTTACAAATATCTAGGTTAAAAGATAAACATAAATAATTGGGTCAGAGCACCAGCTGTGGTTTCCCAACAAAGGTCTCAACTGTGCCTGAAACCTTTCAGTTTGGTGGATGCTAAATATTTGTTCTAAGAATTTGCTTTCTCTCAATTACTATTTTTGATTTTTCTGTGTAACAGTGGATGCAGAATTGTCTTTCCATTGAATGGTTTTGGCTAATGCATATGGATCTTTGTACCTTAAACTCTTCCATAATAGTTATCTAGTGAAGTTCTCAAAGGCATGACCTAAAAGGCTAGGAATACTCAGGGAGTGTTTTTACCTGAAATCACAAACTCATTAGGTCTGATGGTGCACACTTGTAATCCAAGTTACTTGGGAGGATGAGTCAGGAGGATTGTTTGAGCCAAGGAGTTCAAGGCCACCCTGAGCAGCATACAGTGTCTTTAAAAAAGAGAGAGGGGAAAAAAGAGGAAAAACTCTGAAATGTGGGAGGTCATTCTAATTCATTCTTCGAAACATTCATGATTACTCCATAATAGTTGCGTAAGATGTTTTTCCTTTAATTGATTGTTCCTCGCAATCAAGTGGGCCATATTTATTCTCAAGGTACAAGTCAGAATGAAATCATAGTGATTTTATTATGTAATAGAATCATTTGGGAATTATTTGTAACCCTTTTTCACTCTGTTGAAGACCTACAATAGGTTGAAATCACACACCTTTGAATAGGGAAATGAATGTAACTGTATTATGACCTTTTTTCCACTCAGTGATGCATGAAGACATTTTGTATATTGCATTAATTATGAATGGTGAATTCTGAAGACTAGTACTATGGTAGGGTTCTATTGCCTTCCTACTGATTGTCTTTGGATCATGCAGGGTAAATCTGTCATTTAAAAATTAAGTGACCTTGCCAGAGGTCTTCCTGAATCTGAAAATCTGGAAAATTTCATTGTAAGGGAAATCAGGAGTGCTTGCGGTGCTACGAATTAGTAGCAAATGGGTGTTTCTAGTAATTATACTGCAACAATTTAAAATTTAAAAGTAAAAAAATAATACATGGTCCACAAAATACTGCACTTTAAAAATATTTGTGTTGTGTGTTCTTTACTTTACACCTTTGGTAAATACAGGAATCTGACCTTTCGTTTCAGTGGAAAGCAGTGAGATAGCATATATTTAGAGCATTGAGCCACAACATGCACTGATGAACTCATAAAGAATAATGCCTGATAACAGGCCCTATTGAATTAGTGAAGTTAGCTCCAATGTGGTGGAAAGTATTTTACCACTTTCTTGGTTGGGATTACATACAGCTCTTGAGCTCCAAATCCATGGTTAGAAAGATGAAAAAACAAATTGATGGTGCAGAAGATGCTGAAGTCCTAAACCGTATTTGGTATGGTCTCACTGTTAAATTGAAAATCTCACAGGTAGGCTAATGTGTATGGTTATTGGAACATGTTGTATCTTGAGTTTCACCTGGTAGCTAAAGTCTCTAAACTTTAAACAAAGATAGTGGTGTCTTACTGGCTCATTATTTAATAACTTTTAGAATATGTACACATCAATATTTTCAACTACCTGGTGGACATTCCACTGATACCTGAGTTGGTAGCTTTAAGTATAATCACCAGAGTGACCTGATGATGTATTTTTCTTCCATAAAGAAAAAAAATCAAAACATATCAGATTATATATGTATACATTATATCAAATAGGAAATTTTATAGAAAATTAAAGAAGAGTGAGAGTTGGTGCTCTCAAAGGAAGGACAGAACTACAATGAAGTCATTTGGGTCTTTTAAAAAATTTTATTTTCTGCTGTGTCTTTGGAATTGAAATCAGAGAACACATTTCAGTCAACTCTGAAATGGCTGCTGGTCACACAGCAGTTTGATCTGAGAATTTCGGAACCCAAATTATTTTGATGAAAGATGCATAGGAGTGTTGCAGAAAAAGATGAGGGGGGCCCTTGCTGTTGTCCATAATAAACTGGAATTCCAGTCCGCCAATCCTTGTCTAAAGGAGTAAACATTTACTATTTTAAATGGGATCATGTAATATGAATTCTTAGTTTTTTCCATTGACTTTGTCAACTAATACTTGTTTTTTTTAACCACCAGAATACTTGAAAGCTTGTTAAAGAAAACTTCACAAAACGAGTTTCAAAATGGTTAAAAATGAAAAGTAGTATCTGGTCGGAAATTGTTTTTGTTTTATCTCTGAAAAGTCTTCCTAGCTCACATCTCTCATTCTTTTGCCCGCATAATTTATGCCCTCATCGTTCCCCTATTTTTTTGTACCTGGGATCAAACTCGGGTCTTTGCACTTGCAGGGCAGGTGGCGGAACCACTGAGCTAAATCCCTGGCCCCTTTGTTCCCCTATTTTTACCATACCAATAAGTACATGATAGATGAAAGGTACTGTTGAGCCATCATTTTAACTTTTAGTTGCCTCCCTTGTTACAGTAAATAGTTTAAGTTTCTGTCCAGCCTGTGACAATCTCACCAAATAACAATGAATGGCTCGCTGTCTCCATTTCTCTTGACTAGAAGATAAAGCAAGATTGGCTGGATCCCACCCTGTCTCTGGAGATCCAACCCAGGGAACCTCCCCTTCATCTCACCCAGAGTGCTCTAGAGTGCAGGGCCAAGTTTATGCGTGAAGGGAGTCTGGAATAGGTGGTAAAAGGGGGCTAACTATTAACTACACGTGGCTTGGTCCAATATTTCCATAATTTGTAATTCCATAAATTTAGTCTAAGCAATATTCCAATAAGTTCTATGTGTGACACAATTTTGAGTTTATAATGATGATATTGAAATCAAGTCAGTGTTATCTGGACTGCGTTGTAAAAGAACTATATGGCAAGGAATTGCAGAAAATTTTTTTTACCAACATTAATTAATTGGTTTATGGCTGAGGGTGTAGCTCAGTGGCAGAACACATGCTTAGCATGCACAAGGCCCTATGTTTAATTCCTAGCACCAAAAAATAAAAGTAAAAAGTGGGATAGATTAGTCTTCGGAGGTGAAGGGAGACAATGCAGCCTTTTCACACAAAAATGGCAAATCAGTTGTATTCTCTGACTGCCAAAGATTCCTATTTGGGGAGTATGGATGGAGTGTGTGTGTGTGTGTGTGTGTGTGTGTATCTGCACCTGTGTACATGTGCATGCATCCCATGCTTGCTTCTGTAGTATTCATTCTACCCATCCCTCCTAATAAAAGCATCCAGAGAATATTGAGAAGTGACCACTAAGTATCTGGCATGACTAAATTCAATTCCCTTGGCCAAAAACTCAAAATTAGAACCAGGGTTGTTTTCAGTAGACATGGGGGCAATTGGCTATTCATTGTCTAAGCCTTCTTCCCAAGTAAGCTGATCTACAAGGTGAAACTTGGTAGGGCTTGTCCTACGTAGCGTTTGGAGAGGAGCAGTGATCAGACACCACAATATCTGTGAAATGTTACTTTAAATGAGGGAACATTTAATGTCATTTTTTAGGGGAAAAAAGCAAGTAATAAAGGACAAGGACCATGCTCATCCTGTGGAGAAAAGGTGAGCTTCCTCTGGTGACTGTACTAGATTTGACTCAGTAAGGGGATCTGTACTGCTACAAGGAATATTGAGAGCATCAGGCCTCAGAAAACAAAGTACAACCTCAAGGGCTGTGAATAAGGGAAAGGAAGGCGGGGAGAGACAGTCAATCTTAACAATTTCTGTAATACCTCTTATTTGCAGACTATTGGATTGGTGTTATTGCACTCGGTGTGATCTATCTTATATATCTGATAGTTTTAAGAAAAATTGTTTTGAGTTGTAAACTCCAATACACTTTATTAAAATGAACCTAATTAAATGACTATACTTTGTGTTTTTTCTTCAGTGAGATCTTCCTTGAAGGAGTCTATAGGTATCTTTCACTAATATAAAGCCTTATGAGACATATTAATATTCCTAAAGACAGACCACCATTAACAGAAAGAAGTCTTTAAAAAAATGAAACTAAGAATTTTTTAAATCCTTCCTCTGAGAGTGAACCTTCCTGTCCATTTCCTCTCCAAATTTGAGAAGATAACAGTGACATTTGTCCGAACTTTAATGAGTTCAAATTTAACATTCAGAGAGAGCTGGCGATACGGTGAGTTCAGAGAGAAGGTGTTCAAAGATCCAGGAATCCAGGGTTCTGGCATAATGCAGGAATAATGCCAAAGTTGCCTATTTTTTCTGAAAATTTAAAGTCTAAATATAGACCTCACCTAATTCCACAATGTGAAGTTCTTAAGTTTTTTATATTTCAAGTTAGTGTTAACCAAAAGTACAGCCTTTCTCACCTATAACTCTGCAGCTGCTGTGAGAAAGGCTCTTTGAGAGTGAGATTCACACAGCTTTCTGCAAGGTGTGGGGTGTGGCTCACCTAATAGCTTGGCTCCGCCTGCAAGTGAGAAACCAATTCCTGCAGGGTGGGCTCTGTTCGCATTCACCCTTTTGTGCCTCACTTGCTCCTGAGACTAGTTGACAAGACATCAGCCAGGGAGGAGCTGCACATATATTGTTGCCTCCTGAGAACCATGAGGGAGAAACCAAAGAAAAGCCACGAGAAGATGGTTTAGATCTAGTTCTCTAGGTTGAAGACAGAACTCTTCTTTTTCCCTCATATTTTCCCTTATGCTGTATTAGTGTTAAATCTGGGCTTGGGTTAACATAGGAGACCAAGTAGTTCCTCAGTCTGCTGTTATGTAAGCTGTTGCCTACGGGCCCTAAAGGAGTCCACATTCCTTTCTGCACGCCACCCAGGTCTCCAGCAGTGGGATCTGGGGACCAAGACCAGTTAATAAAATTCTCACTGTCGGAGATGGTGAAACTCAGTTCTCCCAAATTCCTAAGTCATATCCTGTTTCGGAGCACGACTTTTTGTCCTTAAGTACAGATTTTATTTTTCACTAGAGAAAACATAAGAGGGAAATTGTTTACAGTTTTCTTAATAAATGGTCAGCCTTTATTCCAAATGTAACCTGCAGAAACAATTAAAATTTAAAATAGCTTAAACTATGAGTGGTTAAAAATTGATGGAACTAACTGGGTATATTGGCATAGTGTTCTCTGGGAGGCTGAGGAAAGGGGATTGCAAGTGTGATTTAGCCATTTATTGAGACTCAAATTTTTGGGGGGGGTACTGGGGATCAAACTCGGGACCTTGCGCTTCCGAGGCAGGCGGTGGAACCACTGAGCTAAATCCCTAGCTCAAATTTTTTTAAAAAAGGGGGATGTAGGTCTGTGAAGACTCTGGGTTTGATCCCCAGTACTGGAAAAATAAATTGAAATTTAATACATATAGTGGCTACAAGAGAACTGTTACCGAAGATATCATTAGTAAAACGAACCAAAATTAGACTCATAAATCTCCACTGTAAAATATATATAGAAAAAAGACTTAACAGTGAAAATAATTACAATAAAATGAAAATGTATAGGAAATTGATCCAAGAATTAAAGTGGCACAATAGAAATGTTTATTAAGAGTTTTTCCACATATCCGTGTCCTAATTCTCAGAACCTGGGAATATTACCTTACATAGTAAAAGGGATTTAGCAGATGGGATTAAGGATTTTGAGAAAGGGAGATTATCCTGGATTATCTAGGCAGAGTTTAAGGTAGTCACAGCATCCTTTAAGAGAAAAACCAGTTTTTATTTTTTGGTTGGTTTGAGTTTGTTTTATTTTTTTTCTTTTTTTTTTTTTTTTGAGACAGTCTTACTATGCAGTTCAGGCTGGCCTTAAGCTCACAGCAGTCCTGCCTCAGCCTCCCCAGTACTGGGACTGCAGGTGTGTATCAGCACACCTTGTTAAGAGAAACACAAGTGAAATCAAGAGTTAGGGAAGGCACCAATGTGATGATGGAAGAAAAGATTGGAGGATGCTCTATGTTTATTTTGTTGGATTTTTTTCTTTTTTGAAATGGTGTTTTACTATGTTCCTTGGCTGGCCCAAACTCTTAGGCTCAAGATGTCTTTCTCAGCTTCCTGAGTAGCTGGGCCTATAGGCTTATGCAATCATGCCAAGCTTGGAAGATGCACTTTGAGGTTGGAGGAAGCCAAGGAATTTAAGCAACATGGCCACTAGAAGCTGAAAGGCAAGGAAATGTTCTCCCCTTAGAAACTCTTGAAGGTGTGTTGACATCTTACCTTTTGCCCAATGAAAATTATTTCAAACTTCTAGCCTTCATGCTGAGAAAAAAAACTTACTTTGCCCTCCTAAATGGGGTGATAATTTGCTCATCAGCAATAGGAAAATAACAATGTTAGCTGGATTACTTTGATTCATCAGTAATAGTGGTGCCACCTTATGATAATGGCACAGTTCCCTCAGCCCAATAGATTTCAATTTAGATTTTCCTTGCTGATCCCCATTCCCCAACATCCCCCACATACATTGAGGATTAAACCCAGGGCTCTCACACTGAACTACATACGTAGCCCTCTTCAAAAGTTTTTTAAAAATTTTTTGAGACAGAGTCTTGCTAAATTGCCCGAGCTGGGCTTGAACTTGCAATTCTCCAGCCTCAGCTTTGCAGAGTGCTGGGATTACAGGTGCAGGCCACCTCACCTGGCTTCTTGACATTTTTTAATATTGGCATTTATTTCATATTTTACATGTGGAGTTGACTTTACTAATATCTTATGTAGCACTTTCAAATTCATATAAAATGCAGCAGTACTAGAGACTGAATAGAAATAGGAAGAGAGTATGTAAAGGTGCAGATTTCCAATGATGAATGTCATTATATTGTATACCTTAAATGTACCAATAAAATTAATTTTAAAAAGAAAGAAGAAGAGAACAGGGAACTTGCCAGAGGGAGACAAAAATGAAGAACAGTTAATGAGGATAATATTTGAGATGTCTGAATGCTCAGGCAGCCAAATTTAGTGATGAGGGACAAGCCATCTGCAAAGGAGAGGGCAGAAAAAGGAATGAGAATTTAAAAAAAGTAAATGGATACTGAGCGTGACTAGCACCCAGTTATTTCTTTCTGAATACTGTTCTTAAAAGAAGTCAAGTCTCTGAGAAATGACTGATTCTAGGGCTGAAGCAGGAAATATACAAGATGTACCAGGAGCATCTTGCAGTATAGTGAAGCCAGAAAGTAAAGAAATGTTTAAAGAAAGTCACAAGGACCCAAGAGCCAAGCTGAACTCCCAAGGTCAAAACTAATAAAATTTGGAGCAATAAAATAAATACCGTAGAATTAATTGTAACAAGAATACAGAAAATATGAGCCCATACTAATATTTAAAAATTGTTGAATGGGCCAGGGATATAGCTCAGTGGCACCGTACCTGTCTGGCAAGTGCAAGGTCCTGAGTTCGATCCCCAGGACAAAGAAAAAAAAAGTTGAATAAATGGAGAAAAAAAGAAAATCAGAATTTCATCTAATTTATGTAGCTTTCCCCCTAAGGGAGTGGAGCTTGATTCCACATACCTTAAACATTGGCTGTGGGCTGTGCTTCCAAAGAGGGATGTGGGAGTAAACCTAACCATGGAAAAACTGACAGATGCTGCCTAGGTAGAAGACTAAGGGTGACATCAACAATGATGAGTCACTCTGACAGTGTGCGCCCTTGCTATGTGACAAGAAGGGCACATCACTTCTGTGGTCCTTCCCCAAACTCACTACCCCATTCTAACCAAGAGAATAACATCAGACAAGTATCCGATGAAGGATATTCTACAAATTACAAAACTGTCAGAAGTCTGAGAAACTGTTATAGAAGAGACTAGGAGCAGTCATTGTGCTAGGCCAGGAGGGCAAATAGGGTCCCATAAGAGGAAAAGGGGGAACAACATTCTAACAGCAGGACCAGCACCATCGAACTAGAGGAGAGTAAGCCTCTGCGCATGCGTGAGGAATGCCCCGTGCCAGTGTGGCAAAACTAAGCAGTAATTTAGCTGCTAACAGTTGGGTGCAGCCGTGGCAGCAACGCCGCCCGCTGCCTATAGGGTGCGCTCTTCCCGGTGCAGTCCCAGCTCTCTGCCCGTCTGCGCCTGCGCAAGGTTTCTGCGGCACAGAGGCGAAGCAAACCCATTTACGGCTGCGCACTCTCCGACTGAGACAATGGCAGCTTCCGCCTGGTGGGGTTGGGGAGCTGCGGCCGCTGCCGCTGGCCTGCGCAGGCGGTAGGTGACGGCCCCGGAATGCGAAGTAGGGGTGTCGCTGGTCTTAGCGGAGCGATCACCGTCTCCCGCCCTCTGTCAAGGGGAAGGGAGTAGTGCATCCAGTGGAGCCGGAGGCCTGGCCCCGGCGCGCTGAGGGGGTTCAATCCTGAGGTGGAGGCCGTGGGCCGCGCAGCCGGGCGCCTCTACTTCGGACGGACTCTGCGGAGCCTCGTCCTGACTCAGGCCCGGTGCCCGGGGGAGGCTCGCAGAGACGCTGTAGAGGCAGAAGGAAGGAGCTTGCTTTAAATTGTTTGCTCCCAGCCCTTCCATCACGTGTATTCATTCCCTCTGTCTTAACACAAAATCAGGTCACGCAGAAGAGGGAAAATGCTGTCTCAACTGTCTCATTTCCTCACTTTCCCAATGAGGCCCAGGTGTTCCTCCCAAGTCACATCTTCTAAGTGATGAAACTCCGAGGAAAATCTAGACCCCCGATGTCGCACCAACACCCTTTAAGTCCTCTCGGTTCCTCCGATTTTACTCCTTCGTGAGCCCAGCCTTTGAGTTTCAGCTTCGTGAAGACATCTGTCAACATCAATTAGCGGACTTATGTAGACGTCGGACCCTCACTTTACTTCTGAAAAAAATGCCTGTCTACCAGTTTGACCTTTAGAAGCTCTAGTTTAATGGTTAAATGGTTAGTTTGAAGTGCCTTTCCCAGAACTAAGTTTACAGAAAAATGACATGTTAATTAACACCTCTTCCCCCTTACATATTTCAGACGTCTTCTTGAGTAATTTAGCTCACTTCATTTTGTCTTTAAACCTTTCTGGGTCAAACTATGTTTCTGATTTATCCATTCTGCTACTTTTTCCCTGTGTTGAAGGGACAGGAATACTGACTTGCAATGTACAGCATTTCCAAATTCCAGGGTATTCATAGAGTGATTTAATCTCAAGCCTTGAACTTCAGTCATTTCTTAAGAATGATTATTTGGCACATTTACATAATGGTAGTAGCTATCATTTATTTAGTACTACTGCGCAGCTTGGCACTGACTTAAGTACTTCAGGTGGATTGTATGATGTACCATCACTCCCTTTATGAGTAGCTTTGAATATTAACCTCATTTAGAAATGAGGAATTGAGCTCATAATGCTGGCAGCTGGGGACACAGAAATGAAGACAGTCTTTCCCCTTAATAAGTTTCCAGTCTAGTAAGAAGGACATTAGCAAATAATGAGGAACTCATGAGTGTTGTAATAAGTGTAATAATTTGAAGTGGTGACACACTTTACTGTGGTCAAGTGTTACAAATTAGCATGGAGAATGGCAGCCAGGGACAGATTCCTTCATTCCCCATTTAGTGTTGTAAAGAAACTGTGGGTAACAGGCCCACAGCATCCCAGTAAAGTAATCTTTTGCTTATAAATGACATTTAAAGATTACTGAAGGTAGGGAAAGTTTTAGGCAGTCTGTAAGTGGAAGCATACTTAATGCACACTCTTTGTGACAAGCAGAATTCTGGTTTTGTAAGAGAAAATGTGATGTAATCTCTATTGCTTCCGGCCTATTTTTGATGACAATAACCAGAGAATTTTTGTTTGAAAAAGTGATAATGCGTGTGATTACAGAAGTAACTCCTGTTCGTAAAATACTTCCATGGCTCCTATGAAATGACAGTTGCAAACGAGGAATGGTGGCACATGCCTGTATTCCCAGCTACTAGGAAGGCTGAGGCAGGAGGATAAAGTGACATAAAATTACAACAATGGGTTAATATGTTTCCAATCAAAAAGTATATAGAGATTGTTGACTGCTTTAGCAGTTTGGAGGATAATAGTACAATTTCTATTAGACTTTTTTAGAGCATTGAAATATAAGTTGAGCCGGGCCTGGTGGCGCTCGCCTGTAATCCTAGCACTTGGGAGGATCGCTGTGAGTTTGAGGCTAGCCTGGGCTACATTGTGAGTTCAGGGCCAGCCTGAACTACAAAGGGAGAACTTGCCTCAAAAAACAAAAAACAAACAAAAAAGAAATGTAAGTTGAGTATCCCTTATTTGAAATGCTTGGGACCAGAAGTTTTTCAGCTTTTGGACTTGGGGTTTTGAGTCATTTGCATGTACGTAATATGGTATCTTGGGGCTGAGACCCAAGTCTAAATATGACATTTATTTATGTTTCATAAACCCCTTATAACAACCCGAAGTTAATATTTTTCTTGTGCCTGCATTTTGGCCGTGACCTGTCACATGAGGTCAGGTGTGGAATTTTCCACTTACAGCATCTTGTCAGTGTTCAAGAAGTTTCAGATTTTACAGCATTTCAGATTGTCTGATTAGGGATTCTCATCTTGTACCCTGTGTGTGTGTGTATGTGTGTATGTGATTCTGGAGATCAAATCCAAGGCCTCCTGCATACTAGCCAAGTACTGTCACTGAACTATACTTCCAGATTTTACTTTTAAAAATAGATAGTATATATAATCTCTAGATAATATGATGGTAGAGGACAGAAAAAGAGGGAGGATTTCCATTTTATATACTTTTATCAGCTTTGAGCCATGCGACTTTATTACCTAGTTTTAAAATTGTTTTAAAAGAACGCAAGGGATTTAGCTCAGTGGTGCCGACACCTGCCTCAAAAGCACAAGGTCCTGAGTTTGATCCCCGGTACCAAAAAAAATTGTTTTAAAAGAAGTAAAACCCCTGGGCTGGGGATTTAGCTCAGTGGTTCTGCCACCTGCCTTGTAAGCACAAGGATGTGAGTTCGGTCCCTGGTACCAAAAAACAAAAAAAAGGAAAACCCTAAAGTCCTTTGCTTTGATTATGCATAGTTAAGGGACTAGGGCTACAGATTTAAATCACTGATATAGATGCATCTCTCTAATACCTGGATCTTATTATTGGCCCGTGACCTCCAATTATCAAGGCTGTGAATCTGTATTTGATTTTTTTTTTGGTACGGGGTATTGAACTCGGATCCTTATGCTTGCGCAGCATGTATTTGATTTTTACCTATGTTTGAATTGTTTATATTACTTGCCTAAGAAAGTAGAAATAATAAAGATGGAAAATGAAAAGTCAGCTCTGTAATTATTTTTATTGATGGTTATGTTAAATTTTACATGTCTTTTTTTATACATGAGAAGTAGAAACTGACTTTAAAAGATTAGATATCTTAAAGTGTCATTTATTATTTGTTTTTAAATGTAGATTATGTCATATGACGAATCCATACACTATCAAAAAACAGCCTGTGCATCAATTTATACAAAGACCACTTTTCCCACTACCGGCCACCTTATGCAACCCAGGTAAAATTTCACCTTTCTTTCTTCTTTTTCTTTCTTTTTTTGTGTGAGGGACTGAACCCAAGGTTTGAACCTAGGGTTTTTGCACTAAGCTACATTCCCAGGCTTTTTTTATTATGAGACAGGGCCTCACTAAGTCACTACAGTTGCAGAGTCTGAACTGGAACTTGCAGTTTTCCTGCCTCAGCATCCAGAGTGCTGGAATTATATGCCTGTGCCACCAAACCCTGTAGAAACTCACCTTTTAGAGCAAATTGTATTCCAGAAACTAATGGAACTGTACCTGGATATTATGGATCATAAAAGACAAGGATTTGCAAATTTTCTGTTCAGAGGCCTATAAAATGAAGGTAGAGGATTTTTTCCATTACAACATCAAAGGATATTATCCAATAGACCTATAAAATTTTAGTATCTTGTATAACACATTTCCTGGAATATGTGCTGCTCACTAAATGATTTCTGAAATGAAAATATTGTAAAAAGAAGGTACAGATGGATTTGTTTCAGAGAATCATGTTTTTAAAGCTATTTCTTTATTTTGACAAGAATACCTATAAAATCAATCATTTTCTATCTTTCATCTAGACTTTCTAACATTGGACTTTGAATGTAGTTTTTTTTTTGTCAAAATTGACTGGTATGCTTTTAATGCTGTTATATACTTTGATTTTCTTTGATATTGGAAATAGATATGAAGATAGGATTTTTAAGTAATTTGAAATATGACGACTTTACTTTGGTTAGGGAAGTTTGGGAAGAGGGTGTGTGTGCATGCATGTGTGCGTGCGTGCATGCGTGTGTCTGTGTGTACATGTGAATGCATGTTTATATATGGTTATGGAGCACTAAGTATAGATTCAACCTATTCTTTTTTCTATCAATACCTTAACACCTTCTTGTGATTATATTCTGGAATGTGGCTGATTCTGGCTAAGGGCATTCTTTGAATCAGGGTAGAGACCTTACCTCTTCTGTATACTGGGGCAAGAAGAGGCATACTAGCCTTTAGCCCTGCCTGTCTGCTTGAATCTCCAAATAGTTCAGATATAAGTACTGAGTAACTCAGCAGGTCAAATCACTTTAATTGGATTTAAATTTTGTGGGACTGAATTACGTGGTCATGTAGGCTTTTCATATTGGGTACTCACTGAGTTTAGCCACTGATACTAACTTTAAGCACCCTAATCTATATTTTATGGGAGCCTATACCTGCCTGCTTAGGTACCTATTTAAAACAAAGAATAAGGAAAACATATTTTATATCATTTTCTTTATCCTGTCACAACTCAGGAACATTTTTCTAGATGATGGACCTAGGAGTGATTTTTTAAATACCTAATTAAACCAAGTTTAGGCTATTATTGGAATGAGTTTGTTAAATATGTCTTCAAATTAGTCTTTTGAAATAGCTTATACATTGTCAAAAAAGAAAAGTTATGTGGTGTTGTCATTTTTTGTTTTGTTTTTTTGGGGTACCGGGGATTGAACTTGGGACCTTGGTGCTTGTGAGGCAGGCGATGGAACCACTGAACTGAATCCCCAGCCCTTTGTCATATTTTTTAATAAACTTTGTCAGTACTAGGGGATCAAACCTAGGGCCTTATGCATGCTAAGCAAGCAGGCCCTTCCACACTGAGCCACACCTCAATCCTATTTTCATAATTTTATTTTAGACAGTATATATATAATATTTTTAAATTTTTCTTTCTCCAGGTAGTATTATTCAAGTGGACTAAGATAAAGCCAGATATAATTCTTCCAATTCTGGTAGGAGTGCCTAATGTATGCAGAGATTTTGGTTGTCAGTAAACTATTTAAACTTCAAGAAATGATTGCTTCAAAACCAAAATTAGAAGAACCTTGCTGTCCTTTGTTTACAGAAAGTGGTGGCAGCCTTTTCTTTAATTTTCCTGTGTACCTGAAATTATCAAAAATTATTCCCGGGCTGGGGATTTAGCTCAGTGGTTCCGCCTCCTGCCTCACAAGTGCAAGGACCCGAGTTCGATCCCTGGTACAAAAAAAAAAATTATTCCCTAATACCACATATTTTTCAGAGCAATTTCTTGGTAGGAGGTATGAATATTTTAAGCAAAGTGCTTGAACATTGAGTTTTTCATTTTTCATTTTTCTGTTTTTTAGGATTGCCTGATCACCAAGTCAGCAGTTGATGTCTAATTAGGACAATGATTTAAGCAAAATGTGTGGGAGTTTAGTTTCAGTTTCTACTTCACCTAAGAAATAATTCAACATCAGTTAGCTGGAACTGTATGATGAGGTACAAAAATGACTCTTAGCTTTCAAACTAGAGCTCTTTTCCCACAGTTTCAGGTCAGGGATGTAGCTCAGTGGTAGAGCACTTGCCTGCCAGGCAGTACCAACCATATGGTCTCCCAAATTTAGTCTTTCAAATTTAAAAATAAAACTGTTGCTTCTTAAAATTTTATTATCCTAAATATGTGGTATGAAGATTATGACAGAATTGGAAGACTGATCTTAAGTACATTTTTGTGTTATGCCTAGCGCCAATAGCTAAGGATTGACAGTGTGCACACTAGTTAAGAGAGTCAGCACTAAAAAATTGCCCACTCTTGAATCCTGGCCTTATTATTTACCCATGGTAGATACTGGATAAATTTGAGTTATTATTATAAACTGCCGTCAGCCTATTTAAATATACTTCTTTAAGATGAATTTTTTTACTCAGATTTGTTTCATAAAAAATAGTCTGTTTTTAGTTTTACCATTTTTTTTTTGGTACCAGGGATTGAACTCAGGACCTTGCGCTTGCGAGGCAGGAGGTGGAACCACTGAGCTAAATCCCTGGCCCTGTTTTTAGTTTTAAAATTTTTATTAGTACATGTTTGCACTACATAATGATTACATTTATCATGGGGAGTTGGTACATGTATATAGCACATCTTAATTCTTTTTACTTCCCCTTCCCACCTGCTCAGGATCTGTTTAATAGTTTTAAAAACTATTAAATCTCAATGTTATTCTTTTGTACAGTACCACAAATATTTATAATAGCAAAGAAATTAAAGATACTGTTTTCTCTTTATTGCTTTAATGAATTCATTCTAAATCTAATTTCAGTCCTAGAAGAAATTACAAGTAATGAGCCTATAAAGATTTTTTTTTAATATTTCAGAAGGTAATTCACATATATTTCCACTTATGTGATACTTTTTACTCTCACTAACTGTACTATTGAGCAAATTATTTAATATCCCTCAGCCTCATTTTCTTCATTTGCAAAATGGCAATAATAGCACATTCTTTATAGAGTTGTTAAAGGCATAGATACATTTTAGCAACTTGACTCTGTGTCTGGCATATAATAAGCAACAGATGTTACTGCTAACAACGATAAATTGCTAACTTTATTGTCTTTAATGGCAGGACTTTGGAAGGAAGAGAATAACATTTTACTGTACTAATTTCATAGTCATAATAATCTGTAATTTAGAACTGTGATAGCCATTAGTACCAAAATATGACTCCTGAATTATGATACACCTTCCTATATAAAGTATAGGATGCTTATTGCTAGAATCTGTTGAATAATATAACTATCTAATCAATCAGTATTAATACAAAATTCTATGTAGTTATTTTAAATAAGTTGCTATATTTTTTCCTTTTTTGTGTGTGTGGTGTAGGAATTGAACCCATGGCCTTTGCACTAGGTTACATCCCCCACCATTTTTAAATTTTACTTTATTTTTGAGACAGGGTCTCATTATGTAGTTCAGGCTGGCCTTGATGTCACTATATAGCCCAGGCTGGCCTCAATTGTTCGGCAATCCTTCTGCCTCAGACTCCTGAATGCTGAGATTACGGGCATATTCCACCATGCCTGCCTATTTTTTATTTTTGAGACAGGTCTCCTAAGTCACTAAGTTGCCCAATTTGGGCTCAAATTCATTATACTCTTGCCTCAGCCTCCCAGAGTGCTAGGATTATAGGCAGGTGCCACCATGCCTGGTTATGTTTCTTTCTTATCCTTGTAAATTCTTTTATTTTTATTTTTTTTTGTCAGCTTTGGAAACAAAGCCTTCTCCCTTACTTCTTCTGGTTCTCTGAAAATGAGCACTTGATAATCCATAAACTTGTTAACTACTAGTTTTCCCTAACAACATTCTTTCTTCTTCTTTTTTAGTGCGATACATGTTTATTCAAACACAAGATACCCCAAATCCCAACAGCTTAAAATTTATACCAGGAAAACCAGTTCTTGAGACAAGGACCATGGATTTTCCTACACCAGCTGCAGCATTTCGCTCTCCTCTGGCTAGGTATATGACTGTTTACATTTGCTTTTACCTAGAAAGACTTCAGTTAAGACAGCCTTATCTTAACTTTTGAATTTTTATGTACATTGCAATTTTTTTCAGTGTGGAGGATACTTTATTTTCTTTTCAAGTAAGATATAAAGATAAGTAAGAGTTGGTATTAGAAAACTTTTCCTTGAAGAAGGATATATTTGAGAGCTCTGTAGCATGAATAAATAAAAATTTGTATTTTTACTTAAGAACAGAAATCCTCCAAATTGGTAATCATGGTAAATTTCCATTCCAAATCTATGTGCTTATCTTTAAGAACAATCTGGAACCAGGCATGGTGATGCATTTCTGTAATCCCACCACTCTGGGAGGCTGAGGCAAGAGGTTCCCAAGTTTGAACCCAGCCTGGGCAACTTAATGAGATTCTGTCTCAAAATGAAAAATAAAAAGGTGTGGAGATGAAGATAGATAAGAAAGGACAAACTAGCTAGATACAGTGGTACATGTCTATAATCTCAGCATTCTGGGAGGCTGGGCCATGAGCACCACAAGATCAAGCTCAGCTTGGGCAATTTAGTGACTTAAGGCCTTGTCTCAAACTTAAATTAAAAAGCAGGAGGGAGGGCTGAGGTTGTAGCTCAATGCAAAGGTCCTGGGTTCAGTCCCTAATACTGCCAAAAAAAGCAAAAAGAACAGCAACAACAATAACAAAAACACCACAACTTGTTAGTTTTATTCATAAAGGTAACTGAATTTTCTTTTTCTTTCTTTATTTCTGTTTTTTTTTTTTTTTTTTGAGTTAGGGATCTCCCTAAGTTGCCCAGGCTAGCCATGAACTCACAATACTCCCACCTCAGCCTCCTAGTAGCTGGGATTATAAGCATAGGCCACTTTGCCTAGCTTTGAATTTCTAGATGTTGCAAGATGGAGTCATTTCTAAAATATTTCACTCAGAACTATAAATGAATGTAGTTATCAGATATAGCATGATTTTTAAAAACTAGTCAGTAGGGACAGTTTTAAAATTTACTCAAAATGTGTTTCCATGTATGTCAGAGAAGATAAAGCACAAATAATAAGATTATTAGAAGAAACTTCTACTTATAGCTAGAGAAATTATTCATAATAAGAAATACAAGTCACTTAACATCAGTTGAAATCAATTGTTTATTTGGTGCTGGAGATTTAACCCAGGGCTTACTAAGTGCATGCTTTACCATTGATCTGTTTACCACAGTCCCAACTGAAATATTTGGTAGCCTAATCTTGATATTGATTACCAATGATATTTGGAAAATAAAGCTTAGATAACTACATCTCTATATGTACAGCCATTTTATATATCTCATTCAGGGCAATGAGAGAAAAAGCTCAAGAAGTTTTTTTTTAATGTCCAGTTAATAAATAAATGTGCATATATATATATATATATATATATATATATTTACTTTAGTTTTCTGAGACAGAGTCTCACTGTGTAATTCAGGCTGGTCTTGAATTCACTGTTGTAGCCCAGGCTGACCTTGAACTCACAGCAGTCCTCCTGCATCAGCCTCCTGAGTGCTGCAATTATAGGCATGCACCACCACACTTAGCCTACTTATTTATTTATTTATGCATGCACTGCACTGGGGATTGAACCCATGGCCTAATGCATGCCAGGCAATTGCTCTACCACTGAGCTACATCCCCAGCCCTTTTTAATTTAAACGTGGTATTTCCCCAGAATATACCTTAGAGCATTTGTTTTTTACACTTTTTTGATACAAGCCACAATAAGAAATGTTTTACTTTGTGATACCGTACACACACTTGTATGTATATGTATAAGAAACAAATGTCTGATGGATAGTTTTCACCTTTTTCATTCTTAGAATAGGTAATACATTCTTATATTTCTTTCTTCATATCCTTTTGTTATTCTGTAGTTTTCAGTTTTCTTTTGTTGGGTAAAACACTGATTGCTACATATTTGATTTCACAAGTCCCTGCTAGGTTTGAACTACCTTAGAGTTTTACTCACATGTACACAAGGTAGGGCTAGGGATGTTTACTGTAGCCTTGTTGGTAATGATGATAAGTTGGGAAAAGACTAAATATTTATTAATAGAGTCAGGTAAACTTTATCCATAACCTGCAGATGTTAAAAAGGATGAGAAAAATCCATATTTACCATCACAAAAAGACTCCAAGACATTCATACTATTAAATGAAGAAAGAAAGCTGCAGAACAGAGCTGGGTGTGGTGATGCACGCCTGTAATCTCAGCACTCGTGAGGCAAGAGGATCATTGCGAGTTTGAGGCCAACTTGGGCTACAAAATGAGTTTAAGTCTAGCCTGAACTATATAGTGAGACTGTCTCAAAAAAAGCAAGAAAAAGAAAGTTGCAGAACAGTGACTACTATATGATAATACATATGTAAAACCAAAAGACAAATCCAGCGATCCAAGTTCAATGCCTGGTACCAAAAAAAATAATATGTATTTTCATTCTCTTGGGTAAATACTTAGGAGTGAGATTGATAGACTGTAAAATATTTGCCATGAGGTGATAATTGTTGAAACTGATGATAAGTATATGGAGGTTCTTTTACTTTTATCTCTTAATTTGTATATTTTTTTTCATAAAAGAACATTTTATTGTCTTTTTTTTTTCCTGTATTCACAGGCAGTTGTTTAGGATTGAAGGAGTAAAAAGTGTCTTCTTTGGACCAGATTTCATCACTGTCACAAAGGTATACGTTGGATTTTATTAAAAATATGATTTGAAGTACTGTTAGTGTTTGCTGAGTCCAGTGCCCCTCTCTAGAATTTCTATTCTTACTGCTTTATAAATCCAGTAAAAACCTTAAATGAAGTTTACTTCTTCTATTTTGCAACTTAATTACTTAAGAGAATTTTCAAGTTGAAAGTATTATAATCCAGATACCTCAAATTGAGTCTCAGCCAGTTAAATGCAGTGTCCCAGATTATTGTTATAATTTTTTTGGTACTGGGGATCGAACTTGGGACCTTGCACTTGTGAGGCAGGCAGCAGAACCACTGAGCTAAATCCCCGGCCCCATGTCCTAGATTATATCCCTAACCCACAGCAGGACTCGACCTTGGCAGGACTATAACTTAGGCTTCCAAATGTCACTTTTATTAATTCTTCAAATTGATAGAGTAAAAGGGAAGCAAATAAATATGAGCATATTATATGTATACATATTTTGTATAAACAAGTTACACATGTATATGTCAGATACCATAATATAAATTCCCATTTTAAAAGGGATATATATTGATTCATCATTAATTTGTGTGTATATGTATATGTGTGTGTGTATACACATTCTACCATCTTGCCATAATATTCTACAGGTTCACAAATAAGAACAACAGACTATATAATTGTAGCACTTGATTAACCTCTAAATGACACAGAATCAAGCTAAATTAAGTTTTCTCCATTAATAGACATGAACTATTTAAATTTGAATTATATGTGCTTTTAAATTTGGTGATTGACATACACTGAATTTGCCCAATATTGTGTCAAAATCAAAAATATTTACTAAATTCCCCTTAAACAATTTTAAACTATTCTTCTGAATTCTTTTTTTTAATTAACTTTTATTGGGACATTTTAGGTATACAGTATAATGGCATTCATCATTGGAAATTTTCACCTTTACATAATCTCTCTTGGTTCTTATTTTTCCCCCTTCTCTTGCCCTCCCTTCAACCCCTCCATCCTTCCCTATTTACAAAGACTTTGTTTCCATTTTTTCATTTTCTCATATTAATTCCATTCCCTTCTTTCCTTTCTCCTACCCACCCCCACTTTCCCTTCCCCTTTCCCCCTTTTCTTCCTGTTTCACATTATCTGTTGTAGCTTTTAGTCCTTATTTACATTTTCAGTTTCTCACAGTAGAGAAACTATTCAGTATTTACACATGTGTGTCCTATTTATTCACTTAAGAGTATCACCTCAGTGTGCATCCATTTACCTATAACTGTCTCTAATTTCTCATTTTTTATGGCTGAGTAGTACTCAATTTTATTAAAAAACCACATTTTCTTGATCCAGTCTCCAGTTGATGGGCATTTGGGCTGCTTCCAAGTTTTAGCTATTACAAATTGTGCAGCTCTGAACATGGGTGCATATATATCACTGTAGTATGATTCTTTTAATTCTTTGGGGAAGATACCCAGCAGGGGAATAGCTGAGTCAATCAAATGGGACTTCCAGTCCTAGTTCTTTGAGGTACTTCCATACTGATTTCCACAGAGGTTGCACCAGTCTACATTCTCACCAGCAGTGGAGCAGTGTTCCTCTTTCTGCACAGGCCCACCAGCATTTGATATTGGTTGATTTCACAATAGCAGCCATTCTTTCTGGGGTGAGGTAGAATCTCAGCATTGTTTTTTTTGAATGGCCAGTGATGTTGAACATTTTTTCATATGTTTATTTGCTGTTTCTACTTCTTTGAGAAATGTCAAATGTTCATTTCAGATGC